AAAGAATACGGGCCGTATTGCAATCAACGAATGTCTCGTGAAATAAATTATATACCCGCACGATCTTTGTTTTCGATGTCTCAGTAAAATTACTCGGCCGCGTAAGGATCCAATTCATAACTAACAAATTTAACATTCGAGTGGCCGATATTTTATCCGTCTGACTCGATAAAATTAATACGGTGCTCGTAGGTTAAAGCTCGTATCAAAAATAGTCGGGAAAATCTGCGCTCGTTAAAATTCTACAAGAAATATGTGCTGTGAGATTCATCGAACGACCACGGTTTTCATTGTCTACGTCCGATTCAAAAATGGCTATTCAACGATTGTTTGCACGAATGGAACCATAAACGTTCACGTTTCCTCGCTATTTCGGTACATACTACCTTGACCCCAAGGATTCTATTGTGTTTAGTGCGGAATATCTATGCTGAATCAGTCGTAGACGGATATCAGCAAAAAGTAACCTTCCGTTTCTGTTATGCCACGCGCGCTTATCGCTGCTCTCCTTCTCGATGATTCATTCAGAACTACACCGATAACCAATAATTTCTCGTTCCATTAAATTCGCTGCTCGATACATATAGTTCAATGAAACAATTGTTACTAACAGTTCTCGCGCAATTATTGGAACAAATACGTGGGCAATTAAACGTTTCAAGTTTAAATGGACCCGGAGGAACCAACGTTCGATCGGTAAGAGACCGTTCACCCGTTAGACTTTGCGAGGAGGCTCGCTCGATAAGAGAAACGAGCAAGTAATTTCTATAACTAAATTTAAAGGATAATTAAAATGGCGATCATTACTCGCGAATTGGTCCGAGTAAACGCGACAGTAAAATGAAAAGAATTCCGAGCGCTGAATTTCGCTGTTGTTTTTCTCCTTGAAAATTATCGTACGCTTCGACACTGAGGAACTGAGCTAACCATGAGTCGGCGTACCTACTTACTTAGGATGCCTAATCTTTCTTTGTCCTTTGTTCGAACGAATCGAGGCATACCTGGCCTGTGAAATTCTTGGAAAATATTGCCCCGCGTCTCATCGGAAAAGCGCTTGTTTGTTCGGGACGATGATTAAAAACAAATTCTAGAACAAGAGTTGCCAAGGCGTTCTTATACAAAATATAATTCTTCATTGCATACGTTACGAATTGTAATTATACGTGAAAGTAAATATATATTTTTCAAGGGAATTTCAATGAATATAACTCTAGTCTTAATTTCTAAATATACTAAATTACTGACTGTGCATTTTAATGTATTAACTCTGATTGTTAACAGACTATTAAATAATAAACTGTCAGTTGGATGTTTGGCATGCACGGTATGATATTAACAAATTTCTGTATAAATGTAGTATTGTTTTGTTTAGAGATAAATTCTAATAAAGTATAGTCATTTTAAGCATTTTCTTCAATGTTTCAAACATTTCCTTTTATCTTCTTCCGAAACAATACATAAAATTCAGTTTACTAAAAACGTAAGAATTAATTTCGTTTGAACAAAGTACCTACTTACGTAATATAGTATAAAAAGATAAAATTCGTGTCAAAGAAACTAGAATAACCTAAATAAATACATAAAATAATATTTATAATCGAGTTAAAATTGCATTGAAAGTATTCTGAACGCAATATTATGAATTGACACCATTACGATCAATATTAATTTACCTGATTATTCAGTTTGATTTATGGAGAAAACAAACTCTACCTTACTATGCAAATATTTATAGATTACAGTTTGGTCTTTCGTTATTTTACAATGTATACCGTGCAAGTGTCGAGAAGGCAAAATTTAGATTAATTTTGAAAAAAAAGAATTTGCAACCTAGTGGGTTAACGACGCTGCAGAATCTACAGTACCCAGCGAGTCCGGGTCGCGAGAGTGGGTGGGCCTGATGTTCGCGATCCCAGAACCGAATCGACGGTCGTAGAGGCAAACTTCGAATGGCAGGGCAGAGAGGAAGTGGGGGCATGCGGCACAAGAGTCGGGGCCCCCGAGGGTCCCTCGTTCGAGTCTACGGGCCCGGTACAGCGGAGGGGGAGGGGGGTCGGGAGGGGTTCGAGGGGGCAAAGGCACATTCCAAGGCGGAACGGCTGCCAGTGAAGGTGGAAGGCACCAACTCAGTCTCTCACGATATTGCGCTCCGCTCCTATCCTCCGGTTGCTTCCTTTCTTCGAGCTGTTCGCCGTTGGTTACCAGCCGTGCCCGTGGGAGACCGTTCCGCGACCGTGCGATGCGATACGCGGCTCTTGGAATCGGATTAACGAGAATTTGCGGGCAAAGGTGACGACTCGGGCCGGCGTGCGTGCGATATACGGGACGTTTGGTGCGATACGGTGAAACGAGGAGAAGAAAAGAGTGCGCCCGTGACGTGCGAACGCGAGTGAGTGAGCGCGTGGTAGTGGTGCGGTGGTTTTTTTTGGCGCCACGCGTGGCGGCCCGACGATTCGAAAATGCGAACGCCTACCGACACGACGCGGTATTCCAGTGGGAAGACCAAGGGACAACGTGTTCACGACGAGAATAGACCCCTGCCTCGTGTACAGATCCGTGCTCCGAACGTCGGGCATGCGGAAGGAGCGTCACCGGGAGACAGTGATTGAAAGGATCCGGGAGAGCGGACGGGATCGCTTTGAATATTCGATCGTGCAGGTGAGACACGGCTATCTTGCCAGACTTTAACGCGAATACGCGATGGACGTGGATCGGAGACGTGCCCACGCGCCGGGGCGCTCTCGCGTCCGTAAAAAACACGCAGGTAGGAATCGCGTCGCGGAAAATACGGTGGAGGCTGGGTGTGCTCCGATCGGAGTGGGAGATTTTTCTCACGGTACCGCACGGGCCCCGTCGCGACGCGATCGACGCTCCAGAACCAGCCGGAATATTTAATATCGGATGCTACGCGATCGTTGCCCAGTGTATAACCATTTATCCGCGACGGTGAAACCGGTATCCCTGGCGGTTAGAGGCGAGTCAGATAGCTTATCTGACTAGTAGAAATTAACAGCTCCTAACCGTCCGATAAAGGCCGCTGTCGATTCGCGTCGAACGTCGCGTTGGTCCTTCGTGGCTGACGTGTGGGGTATCCTTTCTATGGTTTGCGATTCCACCGCGACAGACCGAAACGAAATCGATGTTACGCCGCGCCGGCACATTGTCGACTATAAACACGTTGTTTATATCGGTTTTATGATCGCGTAAAAACGCCCGGTGATACATTTTTTACCCGACCGGACGTTCGACGGGATCCGTCCGGTAACGCGTACGGTCGGGGTGGGGCGTACGGACACCGTCGGGGCTCGAAATTAAATCCACGTGCCGCGAGGTACGTATTCTTACCGTTCTTCCCTCGATCGTGAAGATCGTCGAACGACAGAAAAAGTTAACCGCGTCCGAGCAACGCCATCGGCATCGAACTTGACCATGGCCTTCGGAGGCTTTGCGCGTTCGTATAATGAGATACGAGGAATGCGAGTGGCCGAGGAGAGTCACCGGCTGTACTTACGAGGACCACTTCGGACTGGTTGCCCGTAACTAGATGCTCGATACCAAACGTGCTTTAAAGGCAGTCGTCGATGTGATCGATTTCGCAGGTGAAACGCAAAGGCGCCATTAAGCTAAGTAGATTCTCCGTTAAAGTAGCCGTAAATAGCTCCGCAGTACGCAGTCGCCCGTTAATGGCTAATAAGGGGGCTGATAATGCAACATTTTGTTCGCGACGTTCTACCGTAATATCGCGAGTACGGATCGCGAGAAATTCTGGGTAGACGGTATAATTGAACTACGCCGTGCAACGGTGCTTCCTTCGGCTCGCGGGGCGTTAAACGTATCAACGGTCAGGCAATCCTCGCGAGGATGACGCAACCCGCGAAACCTTCCTTCGATCGACTGTCGTACAGATCCGAGCGATAACAAACGCAACAATAGCTTTCGGTCGCTGCTTATTATCAGGATTCGCGAAAATTTTTTAACAAGGCAATACTCGAGAGTTAGTTGCGCGAGGGGAGGAGATTCTTCCAAATAAGCACAGTAACGGACCATGAAAGCCACTCCTCGCGATTCCAGAGAAGAATCACCTAATGCTCGCCAAAGATATTTATACAAGTTCCCCGAAAGCTATTCGAAAAGTTTTAACGACGGAAGGCGCTAATAGGCCGCGAAAGTTTCCCGCGTTTCCGCGCCCGGAACGGATGCGATGTTCGCGGTTAGCGTCGTCCCATTGCGTGGTAATTGGGAGATTCGTTAGTTCTTTAAACGACTGCCCATTGAATCTCGCGAGCTCGTTTGGCCAATGAATCGAAGGCTAGAATACTTCTTAGGAGAGGTCCGAAGGCTTGACGCCCATTTTTTGATCAGACTTCGCTCGATGATAGATATTAAACTACTGGATCGAATGGTAACCGATTTTGGGCGTAGACGACTTATAGTTTTTTAGATGTTAAGATTAACTTACAGGTACTTGTCTAAAGAAATAGAATTGCGTTTACCAATGGCCAATGTGGCGTGGTTGATAGGGTGTCTACCTGGAAGCGTAAACTTCCTTCATCGCAGGTTCGAATCCTGTTAAAACAAATTGGCCTTCTAATATATTTTTTTTCTAAACGGTTTTTCTAAGGGTTTTTTTTTAATTTCTTATGATAGTGTTGGTAATTAGTAATAAATTACAAAGTTGTACTGGAGATCGAAGGATAATGCATAGCAATGACGATGAAAACAATGTATATATAATATTTATAAGGAAACTAGTGGTAGACACCTTATCAATCACACCACACTAACTACCGGTGAACGTAATTCTATTTCTGTAGATGAGTACCTGTAATAACTTTAATGTTAAATATCTTAAAAACTATAAGTCGTCTACGTCCAAGACCGGGACCCATTCGATTCGGTAGCTCGATATCTATCATTGAGCAAAACCTCATCCTCCAAACCAGACCTCTCCTTGTTGGATGATAGTAACGAGTCGGCATATTGTATTTCCAGGCAGAAAGATGTCCCAACCGCAATTAACCACCGATCTGGACGTTCCGGAAAGTCCGCAACACCCTTGCCAATGCTCCGCGATGAGTAGCATGGATTCCATGAGGGCGCAGAGGGTCGCGGAGCGGGGCGTAGGAAGTACAAGAATTTCCAACAGCCAAGAACTCCCTAGGGGTCTCGAAGCGCTTCAGAGCGCTTTCGAGCCAATAAGAAGGCTCGAGAGCCCGCTGTCTCATCAAGAAAGTCAACAGATCAATTTGGAGAATACCAGGAACGTCGATATCATGGAACATCAGGCGAGCCTGTCGTCGAACCCGAGACCGATGGAGGGCCAGGGCGCGATTCTGTCGAGACACGGTCACAATCTTTCGTGCAGCGCGAGAAACTTGGATCTCTCTCGAAACTTGGCGTTCGAGGCTGCGCGAAGAGTTCAGGAATCCGGCAGCTTACAAGATAACCAACACAGTCTAACTTCCAGCCCTAGCCCTTTGTTGGAGTCTAGTAGTTCGGCGTTGTTGGAGGCATCCGCAAAAGATCTGGACAAGCAGCTGGAGGATCACGGCGGGTTATCGCAGAAGCAAGCCGCTTCCAGCAAAGATAAACTGAAGAATATTCAGCAGGCGCTGAACCCTTATCAGCACCATCACGAGCCGACGTCGACGGAACGGAACGTCCACGGTCATTTCCACGGCGACGCCCACGCGCACGTGCACAAGCACACCGACAATTTCCGAACTGGCACGAATTTGGACGTGGCCGATGGACTGATGGGATTTCAGCAACACCAGCGGCAGCACACCCATCATCACCACGGAAACGCCAAGACCACGAACGTGACCCATCATCACGGATCGGCGACCGTCCATCATCCGCACGGGCCGCAAGGAATGACGGGACACCATCATGGGAACCTGGCGCCCAGCCTGGCCAGCCACGTTCACGGAAACCCCGGCTCCCTGAGCGGTTCCAGCTCGACATCGATGAGCCACGGGAGCCAAACTGCCGCTGGCAACCCGAGTACGCACCATCATCCGAACGCGTCCGCCACAATGGGGCACAGATCGTCGCCGACGAGTCATCATCGTCTCAGCGGCGGCGCGGGCCTGAACAGTCATTATCCATCCAACTCGGGCTTCAACAGCGACCATCACGGCACCTCCAGCGCGATGAGCGGTGCCTCGTCGAATTCGAGCATGTTGAACCACGGCGGTTCGCCGGCGGTTCACCGACACGTGGTGAACGCGAACAGCAGCCTCTCGACGACCCCGTTGGCCGGCCACCATCGCGGCAGCTCGTCGGGAAGTCTGACCGGCCACTCCAGCGTGAATCATCATCACGTTAGTTCCGGAATATCGTGCGAGTCGTCCTCGTCGAACGCCAATACGAGGACCCATAGTCGTTTGGATCACGTCCACGACCATCATCATCATTTGCAACAAGTGCATTCGTTGCACGCAGGCCACCCCGAATCCCGACAAAGAGACAGAGCTCCATCGAGCTTGGAGCACCACAGTCATCATCATGGACACATTCACGGTCACGGGCATCAGCACCCGCAAAACACTGATACCAAAAACTCGTCTCTCATCGGAGTGGACTCGATTCAGGTATGCCTCGACGATTACACGCGATTTTGAATCTCAACGGGTATAAAATCCATTTCTAACGAAATACAGGGTTATCCAAATCGTGCGTCACATCTTTAAATTGAAATGAAACACAAACTATTCGAGCTATTTCAGGTTTTTCTATTTTAATGTAAAGTCCACTCCGTAACATTAATCGTGGAACACAATGTCATTCAAATGACCGCCTCGGTGTTTTTTGACGAGCTCGACCAATTTTCTATTACACTATTACATAATTGGGGTTTTATTTCATTAATGGCGGCTATAATATTGTTTTTTTTTTAAACCTCGTAGGAAAAAGTCTAACGGAGTTAGATCGCATGATCTTGGGGGCCAGTTGATGTCTCCTCCTCGAGAAATCAGGAGTCCATGGCGATTTGTTTATGTTTAGTGATGACGTGTGATGAAATATAACAAAGAACAATCAAAGCGTTTAGCAAGTCCATCTATTGAAAGACGTGACACTCAATTTGGATAACCCTATAGAAACCTGTTGGGACGAGAAAATATTATTGGGGTTAGATAATTTAACCCTTAAGTGGATTGTGGCCCTCCACAAGTTTAAACCAATATTGTATAATATATGTCAATGTAATTATTTGAAAATTTATGTAATCCTCCATTAGTTCATTACTTTTCAAAGACTTTAAAGGAAAGTTAACATAAATCAACATTAAGTAAAATAATTCAGTTGAGATCGAGAGTCCACTTAAGGGTTAATTCATTTTCGACAGTCGTCGGTCTGTTCCTCGCTAATATTCAACGTTTAGCAAAATAATAATTTTTACGTTTAGGTGTCGACTCCCTCGAAGAGCAAATGTCAATGCCACGTGATGCAAACCGGAGGGAACAAGAGAGGGCAAGAGGGTGAAAGCGATGGCGGCGTTGAAGTGACATCGAGAACGCATCAACCCCCCGCGCTTCCTCCGCGACCACCCCCCAGACCGACCAGGCGGTACGAAACGACGTCTGCCAATCAATGTAAGTTACGTTACCAAAAATATCTTGATAATCTAAAATCGAAGCGCCGGGGGTAACTAATTTTTAAACTCTATCCTCTCGATCCTTCTACCTACGACGGATACAAAAGCGATCAACAAAGAATCGCTGCTCGAACGTAATATCTGTCGCAATATCGAATCGATATCTCTTAAGCTTGCCAATTTGAATAGCTGATACACAGTGTCGCTTCTGTTCCGAGTGCTCTCTTCCACCCTCGCTTGATTTCTGCTCGAAACGGGCATGTCGCCCGGTCGGACAGCGTTTCCTGGAGCTCGGATGAAATTAGACGACGGGGGGTAGGTGGCTCGTAGCTCCACCCTTGGTCGCTTGGAGCGATGAGCATCGGGGGCTGTCTGCAATATCAGTCGCTTGACGGGCCAAGTACGTTATCGGGCGGCGGACACGCGTTATCGACACCGAAAAGCGCTGTTGACCGATTCTGCTCGCATCGCGGAACAACCCCTGTAGAATTTCAACCCTCCGCCGCGTCGTGTCGCTCGAATCGTCAGGGTATATCGACCAGTCGATGCTCGCACCAACCGAAAGCAGGAGCATCGTGTCGAAAAATGCTGGGAATCGAACAACAAGCTACGATAAGTTTACGTTCTCTGGCGTTGATTTGGGCTCGTTGGTGAATAGACGTGGGCGGAATGCCGTATTCGGGCTCTATTGAAACGGATTTCTAAGCTTCGCCTTTCGGTCCTGGAATCACCACCACCACCACCACCTGTGGGACACCCCAGCGTGCGGGCCAACAGAGATCTCGTGGAGCTTGGGTTGTTGTGCTCCCTCGCATTCGTCTCGAGCTACCTAACCGAACACGTAAGGGAAGAAAGGCGTCGAACATACGGAGGAACCGCGTGGAGGAAGAACGTTGCGTCGGTGCGACGTCGCGTGGCAAGGCGTTATCGAGTTCGGTCACAGTGTCTCCGTCGAACGACAAGTTCATCGAACAACGTTGCAAAAGTAAGGTGGTTCGGCGATCGTTGTTCGGAGATCGTGGTCCGATCAATGAGAAACTGGACGAAGAAGAGTTTGACCTTGAGAGGCGAACACCGTCGCGGTGACACGCGATGCGCAAACGTAGACCATAAAGCGTCGAAGTGGATAGTGCGTGGCTGTAACGTCGCCTTCGATTTATCCGTTTCTGCTATAATGCAAGCTCGCGTGCGTTGCAGTCGGGATTTCTAATGCGAGGGAGGTTGGAATTCCGCGACACGCGAACACCGCCACGGTTTCCCGTTTTCGGATTCTCCACGGAGATAAACATCGACCACGTGTGTTAGTTGACAAAGACAAAAGAGTGACCGAAATCTTCCGCGCGAGGCAGTGAACTTTGACGTCGTCGTTGCGCCCGGGAACAAGGAAGATGGATGGATATCCAGTGCTTCAGATAGTGCGATGTCGGGTCGGAACGGAAATGGAGATGGATAATCAGGGTTATCCGTTCACAATGGCGGCACACTCGCATTCCCACTTGCCACATCCGGCAAACCACGCGCACTTCCCGATATCGCATTATCCTCACCCCTGCGGTACGACGATTAACCCTTCTTGTTAATTTATCAATCGGTCCTCGAAACCCCATTCTGTCTCTACCACTGATCTACATATCCGTATAATCCGCTATTAGTTGTCCCATTAAGTCGCCTCCGGCGCGACAAAGTTACCCGCGATAATTAATTCTCCGCAAACACTCCGAACGTGATAATTCGAACGAGAGGGGGGAAGAGGATAAAAACAGTCTCTGGCGTATCGTTGAAATATTTCTCTAAGTAGAATAAAAAAATTATACGGAATATATTTTTGAATTACAGAATCATCCACTGATAAGCTTGATTTTATAAAATGCTGTATTTTAACTTTACTTTAACGCGACGAGTGCCTTCTCCAGCATCCGCGTTCTATTTTTGTTCGTAAAAAAAAGATTATGTTACAGCGTCGTAGAAGGTCGCGTGATCGTGGAAAGGTTGCTGTATAAATAGGTATCGACAAGTTCCTTAATAAAACGCGTTCGATGTTGTGTGTCGGAGGTGGCTCGATAGAATCTCGAAGAATTCAGCTTCGCTGCGTTGCCAATCGAGTAGTTTTCGAGTTCGTAATAAGGTCAGAGACTCTGATAAAAGCAAGCTCGGTACGATGACGCAGATCGAACGGACAGTGAAAAGTATGGTTGCTGTTGCCGGGGAAAATTGGAAACCCCACCGGGGTCCATTTATCCTCGAAATATAGTCTGTTTGGGCGGCTATGTCTAAACACCAGTTTTCTTTACAGTAACTGTACCGGATTCAGGTAGTGCAGGTGCAGTTGGGCGTTTCGGTCTTGAATTTTGGGCCGGTTGCATTCAAAGAAGTTAGCAGGTACTCCGAGGTTTTAGGTGAAACGATTTCCCGTAGGAGTTTCAATAGAGAATCGTGGGAAACTGTTACTGCAAGGTTGCGTATATTGAAATCGGAGAAAAAGGAGTTTCGAGTCATTGAGAAGAAACCCCCGCATTAGAAAGCGTTCCCTTTGGCGAAGTCACGTCAAAAGAAACCAGCTTAACCGAAAGAAATAGCCGTTCAAATACGCAAGGGATCTGTTTGTCAAACTCTGCCAAAATGTAAGAACAGGAAAAGTTCACGCTGGCCATTTTATTGCCGCGAGAATGGTCGTTCGACGTAAATTGTTCACGACCGTGGGAGCGTTAATCCCTAGCCACTCTTGTTTCAAGAGAATTTTTCAATTCCGAGTCACCTACATATTCTTCAACAGACTTTGCTCGTCGTCAGAAAAATAATTAGATTTTTAATTACAGAAGATGATCTCTCCACTTGTTCTCTAGCCGCTCTATAGAAAGGTTCAGTATTCTTCTTTATTAATGAGAAACCTGATTAAAAAATTCAGCTCTGTCGACTGTTTCTCTCTCTTCCCTCGCCCGTCGCCGGAATAGAGAAAAATCTGCTATTGTCTTCGGGGCTACGTAGTACCGACGCTTCCATCGCTTAACATTCATCGAGGGAATTTCCAATACAGCGTAGTCGGCTGAATCGCGGACCTTTGATAACAAAAGTCAAGCCCGGACGACGAGTGAATGGGATATACCCTCTGTTACATTCTGGGGTGAAAAAAAATCAGCATTCGATGCTCGCGAGTGGAGGCAATCTCGTACGCTGGCGTGATTTTACACGAAAACCTCGACGTTACCGCGTTGCAAAGAAAAAAAAAAGAATTATATTTTCCAACGACTAATCAAAGGTAATCGGCGACTAAGATTCGAAGAATCTCGCCCGCGGCACGTTTCTCATTGTGGTCGGATCGAGGCTCCCGTAGTCGGATTCTCACGCAAGGACAATCATTATCCAGCGAGAGAAAGAATCAGCACGACGGGAATAAGTCGTGCGAGACCATTTCTGAAAAGGGTCGATAACGCGTACAATGGATTCCGTTTTGCCCACCCGAAAATCGAATCTCGAAGCTATTTCGTGTTTCTCTCAGATCCTTCGAACCGATAGGACGACGAAAAGATTCGATGAATTCGGCGAGATTAGGTCCCGTTTCGAACGTGAAACCGTTGGAGATTTCTCAAAGTCCATCCCGTTCCATTCTTCGATTCCCCCCCGGTCCACGCGTTTCTCCGCGATCGGTGACCGATTTTTATTTTACAGGCCACACCGGGGAAGGTGGTTGTTGCAAAAAGTACGTTGTCCTTTGTTGCCTTTGTGGCGGGCTCAGCGCTGCGGTCGGTAGTCTCTTTTTGGCAGTGCACGCGGTCCTTTCAGCCCACACGGCCAGCCTAGCGCTCTTCGAGACTGTACCATCTTACATTCCTGGAATAATGGTGAGACCCGCGAGATCGGAATCTATTATCCTCCTTTAACGTTGACGTTCGAAATATAATTTCCATCGCGGGAAACGCGTTCCCGGCGAGACGCAAACAAATAATAATTTACATTCAATGCGTTTTACAGTTAATTTTAATGGGTCTGTTTACGATGCTACTTGCGAGGCGGAAGCACAGATACGGTCTCCTGGTAAGCAAACCGTGACTCGTCCGAAGATGCTGTCGCTGACAGTTTCATTGTTGAATCGTGTTCCTCGCTTTTTACAGATGAAGGTCTGCGGTTCCGTTGGTGTGGTGTGCGCGTTGGTGTGCGTGCTGGTCACCGTCACGACCACGGTGATACATATGTCTCGGTTGCAGGGTCTCCGAAAATGCGTTTACACCGTCAAAGCCAGGTACTTTTATTCCAATTAAAGTCATCGATGACAGATTTTGTTCACGATCGACGAAGAAAAATTTTTAAAAAATTTGTGAAAAAGATTGTAAAAAATTCGTCCGTAGATTCTAATTTATAGTGGACGTTGTTATAAATTAGAGCTACTCGGTTTTAGACTGCGTGAAAATAAAAATAGAAAAATGTCGTGAATAGAATTTGGCCGACTCTGAAACTCGACGAGACGCCTAACGATGGGATAATTATTGCTGCAGGTCGTGCACGTGTTACGGGGCACCAGAAGGAGATCCAGGAGTCCTCTTCGAGGGCACTCCTCACTGCGAGGCGGTGCACGGTGCCTTGCACGCCTGCCTGAGGGCCTTGTTCGGCGTCTCGGTCGCTGGAATCTTGGCCTGCATATTCTCCTGCATGCTGGTGTACCAGTTGTTGAGTCACGAGAAGAAGAAGATGTACTGGGAGCAGTTGGAGCTCAGATGCAGATCTCTGTACGGCCAGGGAGGCACCGTGGGACCGCCGACTGGTTCCTGCGGATGTTGCAACGACTGCGGCGGTGCTAGTCCCTGGTGGGCACAGACCCCGGGAAATCTGTATACGCCGAATCCTGACTTGGCACCGTCAAGGTACGCTAATTCAACCAGACGTCCAGCGTACACGAGCTCCATTTATTTCCACAAAACCGAGTTCGAGTTATCTCGTTTGCAACTTGAATCGAATTTCTTTTCTCATGCTTTACAACGACGAGAAAAACGAACTTTTTGTAAATGCTCATTGGTAATTGGAAACCTAATTCTATCGTCGATTAATCGAACTCTCTGCGCGCATCTGGCGGCGTTGGTTGCATAAGAGCAACGCGCGTAACGACTAGAGCTACGACTGTCGGTAGAACTCGACGGGCCGCGATGAACTTCATTGAGCAGTTATCGATGCAATTCAGACGTGGCGTGCACGTTTGTTCTCGGCGGGAACGATACATATTCAACGGATTTCATTCACGAGTGTCACGAACGTCGGGCGCGGGGCGCAATAAGCTCGTAAACAAGCTAACGATCCTCCGGTAATCCGTTAATGCATGGCATTAATTAAGCCGGAGTTCGACGCACTCTTTATGGCTCGCTTTTCGTTCAAAGTCGATGGCGAACATCGCGATATTTCGCGCGAGAAAAACATATGCGAGAAAAATAAGTAAAAAATGATTTTATGCACGAGATGTACGTGGTAATAAACGAAGGATTGGGGATACAATAAGTTTGTACAAACGCGTGTCTCGTTTGACTTGGTCCTCGAGTTACAGCCACTTTTAGAGTGCAATTACTTATAGAACGGATACTCTCGGTTAAAATAGAAACCTAGAGACGATAAATAATTTCTCAATCTTTCGAACATTCTGAGCATTTTTAAAACTTATTTTAGAATTGTCTGGCTACTTGATTGAAATAGAACACCATCTGATAGAACTCGTTCCAATAATTCACACGATTGATTATTAAAGAAATTACGTAAAATTGATCTATTTTCGAACACTGCACGTAAACGGGTTAGTAGAATCAGTTACAATATCTGAGCTTGTAGTTAAATAAATAAACAAGTATAACTCGAAAATATGGTCAAATAGAGAATTTTGTTCATTGTTTCTGAGTCCTATAGAGTCAGAATCGATAACACTTTGAGAAAACTAAAATATTAATATTTTCTTATTTTATAAATGTAAAATTAAAAAAAAACGTTAAAAAAATGCGATTTGATTAATGGTTCCGTTTAATCTTGCAGAAGATGGCGACTGCCATGGTCTAGATCCAGAGGACCAGCCCCGAGTCCCGATTCGAATTACGGGTTTCACACACAAGCCAGACAGACGGAGACCAACGCCGAGAACACGAACGGCCCTTACAGCGTCCTGAATTCGCAATCGAGCGGGCCTTACTCGGTTTTAAACGCGCAAACGGGCCCGTACACGCCCAGCACGGCCTCGTATAGCGTTCTGGAAGCACCGGTGCCTCTGTGGGGCCCTCCGCCGCCTTACAGCGATCCAAACAGTCCGGCCAGAAGACCCCAAGTAACCGAACAGAGGCCTAGAATCGCGAAGCGAATAGAGAATTTCGAGAACAACGAAGGTAAAGCACTGCCGCGGTTACACGCTCGTCAAATGCAAGCCGCGTTGCAACAAGAAAACGTGTTCTCGGAAGCCGAACGTTATCGTTACAGATCACAGATCGAGGTCCGCGAAACGCCCCTCGGATAATTACGAGAACGCCGAGGAAATATCGAACAGCACCGACCCGGAGGGTGGAAACGAAGGCACGATGAAAGGCAGAAGGATCAGGAAACCGTTGAAAGGGGTGGAAAACGGAGCGTTCCAACAAGAGGCAAACCCTGGACCGAAGCAATCGGAAAGTGAATTGTATTTCGGCGACGTGTCGTCGTGTTGCGGGCCCGAGAGCAGTTTCTACGACCTGGCCGTGGAGAAAGAAGGTAGTGGTACACCCAATGGCGAAAACAGTTTCGTAGGAAAAGTATTGTACGGTCGATCGTGGTCGATTAATCGACTGAATTTTCACAGGCGCGGAACATTCAGAGGGCGTGGACTACTTGGCGGCCCGTTTAGGCAAACGACAACTGTCGAAACGGTCCAGACTGCCTCTTCCGTTGCCATCGGACAACGGCGACATACCGTCCGACAATTACGCGAACAGCGACGAACCGCGAAACGCCAGAGGCCCGTTCCTGGCGCCCGACGCGCAGTACGAAGTGATCCAACAAGGCCGATACTCTTATTATCCGGCCAAGGACGACGAACAGCTTCAAGAGGGTCCGACCGCTTCCAGTTACTTCAGAGAGGAGGAGACTGACAGAGGAAGAGAGAGAGATTATCGGGACTACAGAAGCAGTCAGGAAGAAGAAACGCCCCAGTGTTGTCTGAGTGATTCGACAACGTTAGACTCGGGATGGCAGAGCGGCGAGCAACAGCAATCCGACGACAATGTTCGACCGGTGAACGTGTAACCTTGTCGTTAAATTTCGTTAGAGATCGTTCGTAGACAGACGACGATGCGATATAATTTTCTATAGAGGCAGAACCTTGACTCACAGTACAACTCGTCCTTCGATTCACGAGACAAGGATCACCGGAATGTCCGCTTAGTCTTTCATTGTATTTCTCGGAAGTCTCGTTTCAAGTCCGGACACACAGATCCACGAACTATCGCGAGCTAGATAGAGAAAAGTGTCCACGTAGATTACAAAGATGGTGATAAGTGGAAATGTAAGATTACCGTATCCGTAATATAGAATTTCAAGCGATGTGATTTGTTGTGGTACAGTTTAGTTTAAGACACGTAAAACCTTAATCGTTAGAGCGTAAGGAAAACGATGACGAATCGATCGGGTTACCACGCGATCGACGCATATTAGAAGTCTGAAAGGGATTACGCGAGATATCCTATTGTGCTCGCGCGAAAAGAAGGCTACGATGCGTTCACATCCCCACTCCAGTACCTGTCCGCTACCATTATTGGTCAGACATCGGCCAATAGCAAGGAGCGTAGTAGACAGGTACCAGAGTGGGGATGTGAACACAGCGTGGCCTTCTTATCGCGCGAACACAGTACGTAGCCATGTATTTTTGTTAATTAAACGATGTCTCGCCCGTGTTGTCCATAACATTAATCATTAGTGTATGCCGAAGAGAAGTCGTAGGCGGAGAAATGATTAGTTTCATAGGTGAAGCGCCAAAGGAAAGATCTCTGGCGACGACGGGGACGTTGTCTCGAAGAAAAACACACCTTTCCTTTGGCGATTCGTTAGAAACGTCCATGTACAAAAGTGTGCTTTACTCTTGCCAATACCTAGCTAGATGTCAGCTCGATTTCGCACTTAGACGCTAATCGTTGCAAAAAATGAAACGTTTACCATTAAGAGTTATGTTCTTGATTCGCGCCGCATCGATAGGTTTCATTGTGTTTAATAAACGCTCGGTCACTGCCACTCGACATTTGTTCTCCGCCTCGCACGATCGAACATAAGGCGCACTCGTGACTTGTAGCCATTTAGAGAATTAACGAAACGCCTGAAATTCGCCGATTCGCCCGCGTTCTCGATTTTCGAATTCGTATTTTTCTCCACCGCGATAATTCACCGATAATAGTGGCCAGGCTGTCGTTATTCGTGCTTGTTGAGAAATTCCATGTTGGAATCGTATTCGTGGTATGTGTTAGCTTCGTTGAGCTTTTTGCGTTGTAGGGCCGCAATACAATCCAGGTGGACCAAGGAACGATATTAGAAATAGATCGATCTTACTCGATCGACAGATAAAAAAAAAAGTACCGTCTATTGCCGTAGTCAACCGTTCGTATATACAGAAACACACGTGCACGCACACACAAAGCAAATACATATTTTCTAATCGTGGTTCAAGAGTGAAAGAGGCAAGGCCAGCTTAGGGGAGTAGTTTAACGTTGTTTACTCGATAAAGTGTACCTTAAGAGCGATCTACGTAGCAAGTCGAACGATGTAACTGACAATTAATAAGAATAAAGCTTCGTTTTGTAAAGAAGATCACTTTGATTCTTTCAAGCGTAACACATTCAAAAAGAGTGCTCTTTTTGTCCAACCAAATCGAACAAAGTAGTTTCTAAATGGAACATCGAACAACTAGATGTTTTAAGGGAAACAAAATTGGAAACTATAATTATACAATTATCCGTAATTATAAATAATTGAACCGTTGCTTGGTCAAAGATATGGATATAGCAGAAATGGCAGCTAATTGTTCTTCGGTCAACGATTATATCGTGCCCGATATGTCACTGAAACACGCCCAGGTAAGCATTTAACGAGGAATGTAAGATCTATAGCAGCCGTTGCTATTGTCAGCAATTTTCTTGGTAAACTCCCGCGCTCTCTGCGTTGGCCAATATCAGATTATGGGATTTCGCAACAGGCGGGCACGATCGTTGAACTTTCGCAACACGTATGCGCGCGTACGAGAGGCAAAAGCCATTGTACGTAACATTAGTTTCACGTAATCTGGATCGATCGGTAACCGGCTGAATAAAAAACGAGTCTATCGTATTCTTTCGTATTCCCATCCAAGTTCGAGCACTCGCGATAATGAATGAGCACGAACGAGTAATATCTTGATCGATGCCAGCGTTCCGACTTCCGACGAACAGGGAACAGAATCGGTCACGGACGTCGAGTTCGTTTAGAAACTTTTCTTTTATAAGCTCGTAATTGCCGACTAATTGACGGAATCAACCGAATTTACACGACTGCCGATCGAGCGGACCGAAACGCGTCGGACCTAATAGAGTTCGGAACAACTCGATGCTGTTAGCCGAAGCGTTTTAATTAACAGTGGCGAGGGAACGTAGCGACCAAACATAATAAATTGTAATTAAGTGTTTTCCAGGATCGTGTCGCGGGTGATACGATCTCGTGGAACGAAGACTCGTTATAAATAACTGCCGTTCTTTAACTGTATCCAAGTGCGCGTCTGAATCGACTACAAAGGCTGTGTTGCAAACGCAGTGGGACTTTGCGAAGACGAGACTTGGCTGTTTAAATACAAATTATTATTATACTTACGGTACGCTCGACAGTACGTTTCTATTGCACGTGACGAAGTCGTGGACGAAAGAAATTAGCGGCATGTGTTGCATGGAAGTTTATTACTTTTGTTGCGTAACGCGATTATCAATGACCTTACAATCGTGGAATTAGCAATTTTAATATTCGTATACTCATTTATAAAATACAGTCGAACTTGTTTATAACATTATTTACTATAACGTTTTGTAAAATAATATGAAACGCTGTTTAACAATTTTTGAAACTATACTCGTTCGTGTCGAATATTTTCTTCGTCTTTTATATCTTTTTATCGAGCTATTGAAAATTAAAAAGAATAGAAGTTCGTTCCCAAGTTCAACTTCTTCCCACGTTTTCTATGCGCGTTCGACATTAGCATATGCCAGAAGCGCATAAAGTAGTCTAGTCTAACGTTTCATTCATCGTCTATGATATTATCGTGGGTATTGAGATCGATAACAGCGTGGAAATTAAAGCACTGAAAAGTATTTCCCGATTATGTTCCCTAATAAACAAAACTATCTATACTAGACACCAAGGTACACTGTTCCTCGTTGTCTCTCGGTCACACGCGTCTCAGGAACAGGATCCTTCGACGATCCTGTGCGCCGCTTGGTTCGCCAAGAATCTCTCGACCCTTTCCCTGAACTCTCTGCTGGACTCTGGCAAGGGTAATCCCGGCGAAGAGATCCTGTGACCGTGCAACGCGTTTAAATTCTGCAAGTTTTCCGACAGTCGTCGATCGTGATCCAAAATGTCCGGCCTCGGTGCCGGTGGCTTCCTCTTTCCCGGCGCTCCCGCCTCCATAGTCGAGTTTCCGGTCGCGCAGTTCGCGTATCCCGATTCCGGTAATCGATTCATCATCCCGCGCAATGCAATCCTCGCGCTGAGGGCCGACCAGAACGCCTCCAAAAGCGACGCCACCAATACGTTAACCGTGAGTAAAATTTTCGCGTGAGACGCGTCGTGGTAATTCTTCTGCCAGAACGACATCACTCTGTTCTTGATCGTCTCCAAGGTTTCCTCCGTAACGATGTTCGATTCCTGTTGTCGAAGGGAACCGTCGTCGCCCTGATCGTAATTGGCCAGCGTCCCGTTATCGTTCTCAGGATCAGCCTCCCCGTAGTTCCCTACCGAGGTCCTTAAAATGTATCCGGATATGTTGGACATATTGTCGATTATAATCCCAGGCGTAGGGGCGTTGAAATTAATATTCATGCTGGGAACGAGATCGTGAACCTTGCTCGCGTCGAAGGTCTCGTTGGTCGCGGTGTCGTTGTCCGGTTGCCCGTCCAGGTGTGAAGGGCCTCGTGGCTGCTCGAGTATCTTCTCCAGCGACCACAAGGATCCTCCCGCGTTGTCCGCCGCGGCTGCGATGTCGAACATCGTGGCGACGAAGCACAGGACCGCCGCCACCAGAGAGAACAGGCTCCCGTAGAAGAAAATAGCGATGTTCCGATCGATGTACCAACGTCGCCAGGCGAGCAGTCCCGTCACGAACGGGACCAAACACGCGATCGACAAGATGGGGCCTTGAATAGACAGGGCGAGGCTTCCCAGGAGAAGGGAGAGCGCGCCCAAACCGAAATGTACGAAGGACAAACCACCGACGGTGGACGCCGAGTAACGACGCTCCGACGGGTACAGGGATGACAGAGCCGGCTTCGTTTTCACCTTTATCACGTACACGTTCTCCATCATTGTTCTATCGTCGAGTCGTGAGGTTAATTGGGACGGGAATAGAAACTGTTGGACACGCCTGGCTCGCGACAACGCATCCTCGATATCATTAAATTTCCCAGACGAGCGTGCGCGATCGAGGCATCCTGGATCCCTCCGAACGGAAATTGCTCGCCGCTTCCTGTCGTTTCGGAATAAAATGCACTTGACCGTGAACGAAACGTACCGGGTGACACGAAGAAGAGAAAACCCGAAGAGCGGTGGTGCGTCCGTCGCGGCGGATCGGTACTGGTTTCGCTGCCCACGATCACTCCTCCGGTCGCGTTAATCCAGAAAAAGAGTCGAATAATTTCCGGGTTGGCAGAAGGGAGCAGACGGCCAATTATGCTAACCGCTTCGGCTTAATTGAAATCTTCGTCCCTCCGTCGCGTGGATTTCTTCGTGACTCTCGCGGCGAGCACCGCGATTACGGTTGTGCAATTCGCTCGTAACAATGGAACGAGGACGAAAACCGAGAGAGGAAGAAGAGCTACACCGGCTGTATCCAATGAGCGTGAACGCGGAACGGTGAATAGATTCAACGAAACGACGCGTCGTCGTTGCTTCAGCCTCCTTTTTTTTTTTTTTTCTTTCTTCTCCTCTTCCTTCGCGGCAGATATTATGCAACCACCGATTGCGAAGCGATGCAATTATCTCGCTGCACGCGTGCGCCGGTGCTCGAGTTTTCTCAGACGGTGTTTTCACCCGATTTCTTGCCCTCTGGCGCGAACCGTTCTCCTTGTTTTCGAACTCTTGGGAAATCACCGATCCGGTTGTCCGCCGTCGAAAGCTACCTCGTCGATAAATCAATTGTTCCCGATCAATCTAGCGTCCAACAAGCTCGGGCACGGATTGCTAGCGGTCGAAAGAAGACATTTGCCAGCACCAGGCGCTCCGTTATTAGCACTGTTAAGATTATCGAAGGACACACCGGGTAAATAGGTTACGCGAACGTTCCTTAACACTTTGTCCATTACAACTGTTACGATAAACTCCTCTCAAACGATCGTCTGCCGTTGCATAAACGGTCTCCTTTCGACGACGTTTCGTCAGAGTTCAACGAAATACGCATCTTTCGTTTCCCGAACTCCGAATCTGAAATCGTAGACGCAAATTGGACGGTTCGCTGAGTGAAAATTCCTAGTCGATTGTGATTCGCGGCTGATTTGCAAGGACGGAGGATTATCCGCGAGAGACACTCCAGAGGAGACTGAGCTGCACACGAAGACTAGTTCGGGTTGAAATTGCTATGAGATCCTGAACGGGCCTCCCACACGGTCGGTTTCCAGTGAAAGGGACAACAGACAGCGATGGATAGATGAACCTTCGTGTGGTTTTAAGCGTTCTTCGCGCCATTTTCCGCAGCCGCGAAACGATGTCACATTTAGGTACGGAAAAAAGCAGCAAATTCACTTTATATATATATATCTCTCTCGAAGAGGTAAAGCATTTTATTTATTTTATTTTGCTTAAGGTCGCATTAACAGCTAAAGACCACCGATAATTACATTAATGTTCTTTAAAAAACCGATACGTGGATTCAGTAAATCATTAAATCCATTTTTTTTAATATTAAAAGTGAACGTACAATATATGCGTCCAATGTTGTCTCTAAATCTGGCTATTTATAGATTATGCAAATTAGTTCTTTCTAATCATAGATATTAGTGGAGATACTCTTGTTAAGTAAATAAGTGAAAAAATAAATATATAAATAATAATAGTATCGTTGCACCATAGAAAAATAGAAGAGACGTTCAGATTCATGTTTCATAAAACGTCGGCTAATGACATTCTTCATCATTTTTAGCATTCATGATCATTTATCGAGGTTTGTGAAATTGCTCGATCATAGGCGAAACTTGTTGACAGATATTATGGATATTCAAAGCAAATATTTTCCTATAATCCTAATCTGACTGGAGGAGTGCAAACGAATCTCAGAATCCTCACGAAGGATCACGCTAACCTTTATTCTTCACGGTAGAAACACGTAGGCTCGGCACTCGACCTTTTCACTAAGCTGTTGCTAAACAATAATACAAAGGTGAGTTTACCACCGATTTTCTCTCCGGCAAAGGGACCGTGCACAAAGGAACTATGGCTTCCTATTGTGCATGGCTGTGACTTACAAGTCGATTCCTAATAACGCGCAGAGTAATTAAGGTACCCAGCCGGTCTGTATCAACAGAACAATTAAAATGAGAATTAATATCGTTTATTACGGTTCATGAACCGTTGGTTACGCCAATTATACGTCATAAAACCAGACTTCGACCGTACAACGGACAAAGTATCGGACTTGTTTTATACCCAAATTGGACTATTCCATACGTAATAGCAGCAATCTGGGCACAACTACAATTTAAGTTCTTCAGAGTGGAGCATACTCGGAAACGATCTAATAAGAAAGGTAGGACAAATTGCAATTTAATTCAAACGACGAACAACTTCTATGTATTCGAATCCATCGGAAAGATTTAACAGAAGTAGTTACAATTTTAGTAAATAAAAAGGAAAATGAGATTATACAAATGGCGGGGAAAAATTGATGTATTTATCTACTAAAAATTAAAGGGTTGAAACAACCCTCTACGAAGCACCCATTTCAATAATTCTATCAATAGAAGTATGAATTCGCATAAATATGCACGGCCTGCTTGTAACAATTCTTAATTTGCTCGTACAAAAGTTGCACACATGCGATTTTTGAGCAACAGCTTCCATGCACAATTTGATTTGACCTCCCGTCCTGGTCTGTGCGAATAATTGAACGATTCAGACACCGTGGTCCTGCTCGAACATCAAACTGACAATGGGAAAAGGTTCGATGACTCACGTTGCCAGGAGCTCAAACGACCAAGAGTTCAAACGTACAACAAAAGAGGAACGTAGCGACACGCGTTTCGGCGCGTGTCGCGTGAATGACTACGCACGTGCGCGCCCGTGTTTTCCGAATCTCGAACCACGAAGGCAACATCGAGAGCGGTCGTTTCTCGTTTTTACGATACGCGCGGTCGAACAAACAAAAAGACAACTTGCTCGCCGCGGGAAAAAAGGAAAGTGGACTTTCTCGGTGTCCGGACAAAAATTCTTCTATCGCCGATAAATCGGTCGAGCAGAAAATCTGTGCTACACTTGTCTGGAAGTTAATCGCTATTCCGCGAACGATATCGCCAAACCGACGTTTAATGGGGAGCGACTAGAAAATCGTTAAAAATAAATCTATAGTTTTTCTCGTTTACCTAAACGAAGCCATACGTTAACGACAAAAGCGGGAAGAAAGTATCGTTTCGCAGGCACATTATTTCTGACCTGAATCGCCATTTTCACCGCGACGCTTTCGTGAAAAAAAACAACAAAATTCAATCGGTTTACCCGAGCACGAAACCAGTCTAGCGCCAACACGATTAATCGTTTAGAGCGTACCGGTGTTTTAAAGTATCCGCGAGAGATTTTGTTTTCCCAACGACATCTCCCTGCTGGATTGGTCGCCATTTTTCGCGTTCGGGCGTTCGGGCATTTTAACGCGCCGGGTTCTTCCCCGTTCGTCGAAATGGCTTTTCGGCCGTTAACGCGGTACGAACGAGCCGACAGTGTATTTGGTGCACGAAGAGTGAAAGATAAAGAGCGTGTTTGTGATCGAAACGCGTATGTGTTGGAGCAGCTGTTACGATCGGGGCACGCGTCCCAACGGTCGCAGCAGCTGCCCAGAAAATTATCTATAGTGCCCTCGACTGGAGTTCTTTTGCAGCACACACGCGCAGCAACGAACGACGACGCTTCCGCGGCGTAACGTTTGCAACAAATATAGTTCTAACTTGGTAGCTACGGAGAAAGTTAAAAATAAATTTCTGCGTCTGAAAAGCTGCAAAGTAATTCCATACATTTTCAGCTGTTCGAGCGAGGTACGTTTAATAAAAAAGAAAAGAGTAAAATTGATTTTTAAAAACGACGAACTTTGCGTTACTCAAAGACAAAAGCTACAGGTTTCGTCTTTTTTATTCGATTATAAAAATGGTAGCAATCTGATAAATTTGACGGAAGAGAAAGAAACGCGCGATTATTTAAATTATGTAAATTAATATCGAGTGGGATTTAAATTTTAAATGTCGCGAGGGAAACACAGCAGAGGCAGTCGCACAAATTCCTTAACACACTATCGAGGGTAGTAGTAACATAGAAAACGTTGGAAAGAACGTATTGTAAGAGACAGAGCCCCCATCATGCGACAGGGCACCAGGCCCGTATTATGCGAACCCTCCGACAACCCCTCAGGTAGTGGAGTCCACGTACACACGCTCGCTCGAAACGCGCGGAGAAACGCCCTTCGTGCATCTGCTCCTAAGGGAACTCGTGCGGCAGTTTGTTGGAGGCAACCGTAGTGCACGGACCGAACGCAATTCCAGCACTGGACTTTGCTCCGACAAACTCGCGAACGTTGCACGTAAAATATCTCACGCCACCGGTGATACGGAATCTCAAAACCGCGGGAAGCCGTGCTGAGAAAAGCTGTGGATTTTCCGGAAACGTTTCGAATACGCGGCGAGGAATATTTAGAAGGAAATTCGAGACGCTTCGATATCGTTATCTCGTCGAAAGAGCCCGCAGCCCCCGTAGAAAGTCCCCGAAGAGGAAGAATTTGAACGGGCACGGAGGCAAATAAAACTCGAATAAAATGTACAGGGATCACCGGCACACCGAGACAAGAGTAATTTCAGAGCCCGTGCAAACGGTGACGTTCTCCCTGGAAACTTGGTCGGCTACATCCTACACCAGCGATACGTACGTGATCCTCGTGAATCGATCTTGAGGACCGTAACGTTCTCGCGGCTCGTGCCCTGAGCGATGGACGCTGGAAGAAGCATTAAACGCGCGTGACGAACGTCGTGCGCGCCTTAATAGAGTCATCCATTTACGTCGAGTGCCGCGCGCGGACTATCAAGATATTGTGCCTGGTGCCTAGTGGTAACCGTACGCGGCGTAAAAACGTCTCGTTTTAAAGACATTAATCAAGCTTGAACGCGTTACGGCGATACGAAACGATAAAGGGAAAAAGAAGATGGCTGAAACGTCCGAGCCGGCGCCGGTGCACTGCTACACCAATCCCTCGTTTTGTCGACAATCGGAATACATTCCGGACGATCGGACCGGCGACCTGCCGCCGCCGCCGCAGTTTCAAACCAACGACGAATTACCGCCGCCCCCGCCGCCGTTGCAATTGCAATTGCAGTGCAACGGGGGCCAAAGTAACCTCGCGTTTCAAGGCCCGATCGAGGGCGGCGTGGTCGAGAACGGCGAGATCCGAGACAGATATTGCTACCTGGACGAGAACAGAGGTACCGCGCATCGAAGGTATGGAAGCCTTCCGGTGGATGAACGCCCCGCGATCTACAATCGAAGTTCAAGGTACGAGTACATACAGGACGAGCCGAACAACCAGATACAGAGGAAGGGCTCCTCGAGGTACGAGTTCATTCCGCGCCAGCAGGTGCAACAACGTTCCGCAACGGCGGCCAACCAAGACGACGGCCGGGAGCCGCAGATGCAAATATGCCGGAACAACGCTAGAAGATACGCCGTGATACCGGGTGATCAGGATTACCACGACGAGGAAACCGCTTGGAACGCCGTGAAACACGTCTCCCCTGTAAGGAGACACATCAACACGCCACAGGGTAGGTGAACGATATTATCGGTAAAGGCTTGAAATTTATTCGAGGTGCGTTTTCGAATCGTAAAATGCGACTTTCTCTACCTTGGTAACTTGGTCGTTTGTAATTCTACGCTGTTTTTCTTGGGATTGTGATGTTAAGCGATAGCGTGTTACCAGGTCGTTACAGCAGAGTGCCTCTGCAAGAAGAGGACCCACCGGACCTTCCGGACCGAAATTTCCACGAATTCGCGATTTCCGCGAGAAACAATTTGGCCACGCAAAAGCTGCACGAAATATTGACGACACCGAGGAAGCCGCGTTCCAGGTCTGAGGAGAGGACCCTGTCTCCAAAGAGACAGCAGTCCTTCAATCAAACCGGTACGCCACAAAGAAACGTACTCACGCCAGGTGGTTCTCCAACCGGTACGTATATTTTTTGACAAACATTCGTTTCGAGCAACTGCGTCTCAAATAATTCGATGCTTAATCCGAATCGTGTTTTAAAATAGCAACCGAAAATAATTTTTCCAGAACGATTTGAAATTTTTAAATTTAATTGTTAATAACTTTTTAACAAAGCCTCGATCCACTAATCGGTATTCTTTAATTTTCGTCTTATTTTGGCCTCTAGAATCTCCCATTTTCCCCAGAGGTGGTCGAACACCCTGTACATTTTAAGATATTTACAATGTTACAACCATCGTCGATCTACCCTATTATTTAAAACTCATGACCGTGTTGGTTAAAAATTGATATTAATATGTGCGGAAATTCAGGTCGAGCGTTCAGTCCTAAACGCACCACGCCTCAAGGAACACCCCCAAGTCGGGCGTTCTCCCCGACCAGGCCGCAAACCTCCACCCCCAACAAAGAATCGTCGGCCCGGAGGTGTTTACCGCTGCTGGAGAACTCATCCCGACAACAGGACGTCTGTCCAGCCAGCAACTGCGGGAGACTCCGTTACGTCGGCACGGCTCCGGTCGACCTTGTGTCAATGGGTCACGGCGAGCCCCCACCTCGTTACGCATACATGGAAAACGGGCCAGAGTCTCTGCCGATGGTATCCGGTTCGCCGAGGTATCAAGTAATACCCGCGGGACAGAAAAGGAACGGCTACCAAAGCGTAGAAAGTGCGTTCATCGCTAGGACTGCAGTGGTGAGTAAAGAAACTCTTTCAGGGTAACGTTCGTCGCGAAGCGGTGACGAAACGACGCCAGAAATGAAGATGTCGTACCGCTGATCTAACCGTGTTCGCTCGTTCGAGCAGGTCCCGCCATTGTCGCCGCCGCACAGCGACGCAAACACCACGTTGGCCAGCGGTTTGGAGAAGAATGAAAGGAGAAACGCGCCGCTTCTGCTGATCCTCGTTGGTATCCTGACCTGCGGCTTGGCACTGTATTTGTCTTGGACCCAAGGAAGACGGTAGTTATCTTCCCATAAATAGAAAACAAAACGTCGTTTGTGTCCTGGCAAAGAGAATACAGGATCTTCGGGTCATCGACCTCATTGAGATTTTGAGCACTGATTGATCTTGTTACGTCTTGAACGTTTTCCTTCGTTAAGTTGGAGATTTGTGCGTCGTTCTAATTGAATTTGTTTGCAGGTACTATTACGACAGCGCAACAGGTTGTGGAGCCTGTTGCACGTTGGCGGGAGCTTGCAGGACGTTGAGAAGGACGTGGACCGGACTTGGCCTCGCGGGACTCTCAGCGTTGAGTTGTGCAGGACTTTTCTTACTGGCTGCCAAATCGCCTAAAGCCGGGACCCCGTTACACGACGTCACTGCTGGCGCTTTGTGCGGCGTTTCTCTGCTGGGTGCTGTCCTAGCGTTGTTGGCGCTTCTAGCACCGAAATGCAATTTGGGACGACACCGGAGGGTGCACTCTTGGATACCTCGTCTTTCGCCTTGACTTTCGAGTCCCCGACTGTCGCGCGTGTTCCCGAAAAACGGAACGCAAAATTAACTCCGAACGACCGTCGTTAGAATTCTTTTCTACGCGGAAACGAGCTGTCGAGAAAGCGTTCGCCTTAATGCGGTTTCGAAACCAGCAAAATTCGAAATCCTAGTCTGCCGTTTTATTCTCGAAAGTATAAAATATACGGTGTTTTTTTTTTTATCTTCAACACTAGTGATATCTCTGCTATTCACGATGATACAGAAAAACGTGCAAAAGGAAAGTTGCACAGTTTGTTTACCAAATTTTTTTTCAAGATGCCTTCATTGTAGCTAAAACGAATTTATCCGTGTAATAATATTTAAACTAAAAATGTTCGTCACGTGGAACTATGCAGCTTTTCACTTATACATTTATTTTTATTATGAGAAATGAGAGAAATATTATGCGCGCTCAAGATAAAAAGAACGTCATGTATCATAGAATAGTATACAAGCGAGAAACGATGTGAACACGATTACTTTACGCGAGTCAGCGGCATTTGCATGTAAGACTTTCACGACGAAGCCAAATGAATTTGTAATATGTAATAAAATATATGACAATGTACGAAAATACGTACTTATAATAGATACCTAAGTACGAGATATTGTTTTTTTAAGAAGAATAATTTTGTAAGAGCTTGTACATTTTGGAATGAATAAAAAAAATTTGTGTCAAGTAATGATATGAATATATATATTAATTAAAAGAAAAATCCCATTTTAATGTAATCGTCAACATAACAGGTTTCGATAAAAGTATATGCTATCGATGATATACTTGGAATTTATTTTCGTTGACATTACGATAGCTATTAGATTAAAATAAATGTTTCAATGCAATGCCCAGATGTCATGTTTTTCACAGAGAAATTACAAACTTACGAGAGAGTCGTAAAAGTTAACGCCTTTGAAAATTTCTCAAACGCAGAAGTACTTTGCCAAGACAGGATTGAGATCCAAAATTCTGTAACGATATCTTTAAGAAAAGAATTTTGCAAACATCTTAAAACATGACAGAACTCTTTTAACAATTATTTTTATCTCGATGAAGTTAAAATTAAACGTGAATCCAGAGTCTAATGGAAATTTAAATCATAATGCTAACGACAGATTAATTATTATAATATAACTAGTATAGAAATAGTCTTACCAAGCGTACTGAATCCCAAATGTTTGCAACGAGCTCCGAGACAATTTTACTTCCATTTGATATGTGGTTTCTATTACTATCATTTTTAAGTGCGTCATTTACCACTACCGGATATATTCCTTATCGCAGATTCACCAGTAGGAAGTCGATTTCCTTTCCCTCGCGGTTTTCAAGTTTCACTCATATTAAACGTACGCTACATCTTGGACGCGCTACAAATGTAATACGACCACAGCACGATAACAAGATGTAATTTTACGGGAAAGAACTACGCCGGTGGTGACAGTGTCCTGAAATTAATTAAACTTTCTATTCCTTCGACGTTGCTGAGTATAATTTATGAGTGTCAATTCGTATTAATCAATAATGAGTGTATTGGAGATACTATTTCTCGTGATAAAAATTTCGATTATATCGGGACGATTGACAGTTTTAAAAAGTGTATCATCAAGACATCTACCCTATAAGATGTGTATGACGGAAGACGATGGTGGAGGTTTAGTATGGAACATCAATTTGACTTCGAGGGACTATGATGCACTTAAAAAACTTAGTAAGTTTTTAACAGGGAAGGTAATTCAATAAAGTCACGGTATTCATTAAACCAAACAGTAAATATATTCAAATACAACATACGACCAGAATCGTAGTAAACCATAACAAAAAGTTCGTTCCCGTGTAAATGTCTGAATCGTAGTATAAAATTGTTTTCGAGAAAACTAATTTTATAATTCAGACAGTTATTATCGACGTATGGCACCACAAACGCTACACTAACGCTGTTTATATATTTTGTAATCTATAATATATCTCGGAAATATTACGTATATACAGATAACTAAAGTTACACGATTTATTTAGTGTTGCACCCTATTCCCAATAATTACTCGTTCATTAATTTCAGACTTTAGGGTACTAAACTATTATCAGACAAAGGAAATAGACTGCGATCTGGATTCGAACGAAAGTTGCACGAATACTTGGAATACCGCAGGTTGGAGTTTAACAGATTCCAAAGAAAATCCTATGGGTCCGGTGTTCGATCGCCGATGGGAAGGTTTGTTTCAACAATTTGGTAATAATTTACGACCGACGAAATATTCAATTCTACACGACATTTGTATTTTTAGGCTTCATAGAGTATAATAATTTTGATGAGCCTGGATACTTCTCGCCCGACAAATTGACAAAATTACGAACTTTCGTAGTTTCTATTCGTGGCACGAATGACGCTCTGATACTATTATGTGAGAGTGAACATTATACTACCGATTTTTGTTACTGGATCATCCTTGGTGGCTGGAGGAACACGATTTCTGTGATACGAAGATGCGCGACTGGCGTACCGATTCTAGGACAGTACAGCTATACCTACGAGTGCGGTCAAGAAAGGAATTCTTATGCAGTAACATCCATCAAATCTTAAACCGTATACAGTTATACTCGTCCTTGAATATTTAATTGTCAGTTATTACTCATCCCCGCAGGGCAGTGTACTTTCTCCGACCGAATGGAGAACCTTCATTGTTACGTGGAACGAAAGCGCGAAAAACCTATCGGTTTATAATACAGAAAAGTTGCTCCTAACGTACGTGGAAACCGAGGAACTGTCATCGGCTACAACTGTAAATTGCACGCTATTCATAGGAAGTCACACCGAGATGCTATTTCGATTTCACTTATGTGAGTCTATCGTGTGACGTATAATTGAAACTTAAATCAGTAAGAATTTCATGTGACCGATTCACATGAAATTCCAAACACGCGAACTGCCGCTCGTAAAAGAAATCGATCAGGTAAATGTGATTTCTATAACGGAATCTGCCGATTACAGACAACTTCCTCCATACAATCGAATCGAAGGCAGCTCTGACGAGCCCTACGCTATCTCTTCTCGACGGGAATCTTTGTGTAGAAATAATAATTGGCCTGTGCGCGGAATGTGAGATGGAAATAGCATTGATAAATAATCGCTATGAAAAACAAGTGTTAGAAACAATAAAAGGATCAACGGTGGCCGCTGCTCACGGGCTGCCCATGTGGCAATACGTTCGGATCAATCGAACGATTTCATCCGACTTTGTAAATGTAAAGATACAGTTGATACCAGGACTCGAGCGGGAAAGCTGCAGTCCATTCTGGGCCGTAGCAAACTTTCGTGCGTGTCCACCAACAGGTGTGTCACTGCGAAACTACAGCACCGTGAATAATCATAAATTCAATCGTATTGCGACACGAAACGAAACTGTGAAAACAACGAAGAAAAATTTTCCTCGAAAATATAAAAAGAAAAGAAAAAAATATAAACTCAATATTAATTTTATTTTTAATTCGCGCGGAGTTTATAAATGTTCAGTCCTATTCAGTCTTGTTTCGTAACATTTAGCAGATAGTTCGTATACCCAAATAAAAAAGAATAGCTGCTTATAATACAGAAGAACTGTTTGAGTTTATAGGTATTCGCGGCGCTGTAGTTTTATAAAACATCGATGAAATACATATGGATTGAACCGCGGTTATTACGATGTTATGTTCGTTTAGGTTCTATACGATACGTTACTACGAAGAACTATGAGCGTTACTTGTGGCCACCAGTCACGTGCCAAAAACTGTTTTACAAAGAAAAGTTTGTCGTAAATTCCGATCTCGACGTCTCGACGTCTGTAAAAATTGGTAACACCTTATATTTATATCTTGCAAACGATCGTCGGAATAAGTACACGATCTTTGTCTATCTTGACAACAGATGGTTTCGACTGTCCCGATGGAAAGGTGGGACCCTACTGCTCGATAAATTGCGATTTTCAGACGGACAACTTTGGGAATTGCACAAATACTGTAATTTGCGAAAGTATGGGTTGCACGTGTCTACCCGGTTTTACTGGAATACAATGCGAAAACAGTGAGAAACATACACTATTACCATGGAGAAGTAGTACGAGAAAACGATTTTCGTTAATCAATTTTGTTTATAGCTTGTCCTCTTCATCGGTACGGACAGAACTGCGAGGAAAATTGTGGAGAATGTGATAATAACGTTTGCGACTTCAAAACAGGAAACTGCATGTATGGCTGTAACAATTCTCAAAGATACTATGTACCACCGTTATGTAAAAAAAGTAGTAAATCGATACACATAATAAGTACAATTTTATGTAATCGGGTGATGAGAATTTGCATGTTCTTTTTTAAAGGCATAGATGTTCTTCCACCGCCCAAAATCGACTTTATCAACGAGACAACCGTTCGCGCTATTGTTCCAGCAATAGAGGAATATAAATTAACATCATTCCGTTACCAATTTGTTATACTGGTAAGTGTAACATAATACGGTACATATTTTGTATACTTGTGCTAAAAGAATGCGCATCTTTGTCAGAAAATAATGGAGAACGTTGCCCGTATTATTGGAGATCCAGTGATAATATTTGAAAACACTACAGCGTTGATTGGATACACTAACGACTTAGAGCCTGGCACTACTTATAACATTTATTGCCTACTATACTATAATGAACAGCTATTTATTCTCGGAGAAGTGACCAACTTTACGACCAAATGCACTCGTGAGCTACTATTTCGTTAAATATATCACCGATTAGCATCAGTGTTAGAATGTAACGTAAACTACGAAATTTTTCAGCGACTAACGATTTCAGAGTAATCCCAGGAAATAATAGTTTGACGCTAGTGAAGGATCAGAACATAGTACGTAACGAATGGTACCTTCGAACACTGTTATAACGATTAAAAACGGTAAAAGGTATTGATTTCTAGGGCTATTCGTACTGTCCAGACAACTGGTACAGTGTCGTTATCGAGCACTCCGAGACAGGTGTTCAGATTATCAAAGAAAACGCACTCAAACTGCCGTACCACGTTTTAGACTTGAAGGCGTATACTTATTACAAGATTACGGTCGCCCATCAAACAGTGACGTTTTTCTCAGAGGAAGTTCGAACCCTCGACGGAGGTGATTAGAAATTTCGCACACTTAATTCCTTAATGTTTCGACCGATATTATATATCTGTTCGTATAAACAGAACCATCCAAAGTGACAAACGTTGAGACAGAACTGATTTCAAATAGTAATTTAACGTTAAAATGGAATCCTCCTCGACAGTTAAATGGTATCATAAAGTATTACAAAATTATATTGAAGGTAATGAAATACATAGAGAAAGGTAACGAATCAATTCGCCTATAGAAATTCGTTATTATATTTTCAAGATTGAAACTTATAAAGGCTGCGACAATCTGCGCAAGGATTCTCCAAAGTGGAACGTTTCAAACGAAATTACATCTACCAGCATTACTTTCGCAAATTTGGTTCCCTACGCGAAATACGTCGTAGAAATTTCAGCTTGTACGTCTTACTGTGGCCCCTCCGAGAAGAGAACCATCGACACCGTCGAAAATGGTAAACAATTAGTGCAATTAGCCTAATAAAAATTGCGGAAGCAGTAAATTCATTTTCCTTTCAGAAATGCCAACTTCCGTGTACAGTAATTTGAGAATTGAAGATTTCACGTTGAAATGGGATCAACCGGAAAATTGCACCACAATTTCTGGTTCTATGTTTACAAGAATCATTATTATCGGCATTAGCAAATCCGTTGCAAATGTCAACATTACTAAACAGACTACACTTTGTTCTATGGATTTAAAAAAGTTTCTTTGTGGCGCGGAAACGTACAAGATCCGAATTTATGTCATCAGAGGCTACGGTAAAAAGCACAATGATTTGCTTTATCAGGAAATTCGTTTCACTACGCCGCCGAAAGGTTAGCACTATTGCACAACCTTTGTCGAATAACGTGTCATCGATTAAAAACTATGTCTTATTTGTGGCAGCACCGCCTTCGGTAAGGAATCTAGAGATTTTTGAGATCGATACTCTATACAACACCATACATTTAAGGTGGCAAAAACCAGAACCACCTATCCATGGAGAAATAGAATTCTATACCGTAAAATGTTGTAACAACAGAATGTGCAAGGTTTTGATGAACATATCGCCAACAGCATACTGCAATTTGTGGAACGAGTACATCTGCGCGACTGCCGATAATTGCAAACCGATGAACACGATTATGGTAACCGAAGATGCGGGATAATCTCCATGCAAAATTGGCTACTTTTTCGAGTAACGTTCAACAATATTGTATTCGAATATCTGATCCAGATAAAACAGTCCTATCTAAACAATTGCCTGCCAATTTAACAGTTATGACGTATCGAAACAACATTTGCACTATTTTTAAATTAACGTTAAAATCAATAGTTTTCAAAATGTTGAACACACCGAGGCAAGTTTAAATACTCGAATTTAAACAGAAAGTCCAATTTTGCAGGAAGCATTCCTGCCGCTCGGTGTTTCGATATGATTCATCGAACAATTGCACGATACATGTATATACTCCAGGTTTCAGCCAACAACGTAAACGTTTCAACGCCCGGGACTTCGATGCCAATTAATTTGAACGTGTTTGAACCAGAGGCGCCTAAAATCTTCAACGTCGAGGCTCTCGAGAAAGGAGTCGTTAACGCGAGTTGGTCTCACCCATGGAAAACAGGCGAACGGCTCGCGGAATTTCTGATAACCGTGGAAATGATATCCTCGGATCTGAGAATGGAAATTAGAGACTCGATAAGAGCTACGATATACGAATACCAGGTCAAGGAATACCAGGTTCGGTACAACGAACAATTGCACTTGTTGTCGTCGACCATTTACGACGTATCCGTTTGTGCATTAACGATATCGGGAAAGCGTGGCGCGTCAGTATCTAAGCAAGTGCGGACACCATTGGCCATGGCATTCGAGGGAGAATTAACGTCGAAAACAAGCGATATTCACTCGACGATCGAGTTGCGCATTCCTGTTGTTTCGAACGTCACGAAAAATAGCCTGATCAACGTGGCGGTGAAAGGGTCACAGTCCTGTGATCATTATATGAAATTGAGCCCGTTTCTCCGCGAGAAGGCGGGTATCGGCTACGACGAGATCGCCTGGAACGCCGCCAGGATCCCCGTACGTATTATCGAACTTTTAAACGTATCAACATGTAAAATTTAACGATATGCTTTATCGAACAAATTGCATTCCGCGCGACAGACGCACAACTTTGCCGGTAGAACGTTTACAATAGGCGATAATAAGGTTTACGGCGGTATGAAGAACTGTCCGCTAAAGCCCGATGAATCCTACGAGATAGTGGTTATTTTGCAAACCGAAGGAGGATCGATGAACAATCAGGCGATGGTCGTGAAAACAACGTCGATTCGTATCGGCGAGGTCCCGAAGCGGCACGACGAAGCTTGGCTAGTTCCTCTTACGATACTTCTCCTCATAGCGATCGTCGTAGCAGTTTACTTTTATCGAAGGTGCAAACCATTTTCTATCGTACCGGACGAAATTAATTTAAAAATCGTTTGTTTCCCTTCTCATTTGTCGCGTACCCGTTGCAGAAAGAAGCCAGGATTATTAAAGACCATCATTGTTCGCGAAGAAATGGCGTTGGCTCGTAACGCCGGGAATCTCGAGGACAAATCGATTTTGACAAATTCGAAACAAGTTTTATCGGTCGCGCCCATTGCATCCGATAAAGAATGCGTGTCGCGTACGAGCACGCCCGACAGTGACGATACGACGCTCGTGAATTACGTAAATCCGAAAGAAGAAGCAACTTCTCTGGTAAAAGTGAAGGATTTCGAGGACTACGTGAGACAAGCTATCGACTCTGGACTCCTCGACAGGCAGTACAATGTGAGCAATTACCCGAGAAGTTCCAGATTTAACTCGCGTAAAATAAAAACGTTAGGGACAGGTTGTATCGCATGACATTGCTGTATTACGAGCAATCGATAGTTTCCCCTGGAATATTAAACGACACAACCATCTACAAAATGTAATGTTTTTACATTTTACGACGATACTCGAATTATTCTAAGATTTTCTTTTTTAGTTAATTCTCTACTAGGTAATTTCACGTGGTACGACCTAATACGGTTTAAACGGTTCAAAAACAATATGATGATTTTGCAAATTATTTGAAAGATACTCCCGAGGGGCCAAACAAAACCATGGACGTACGGGAAGCTGCCACAGAACAAATCGAAGAATAGATATGGAAATCTCATAGCGTGTACGTAACATTTACCTTCTATAATTTTAACATGCTTACTGATTAGCGTTTAACGAACCACGAAACGTTTTATAGACGATGAAAATCGCGTGATACTGAACATACTTCCAGACGACCCATACTCGGATTACATTAATGCTAATTACATTAAGGTACTCAGTCTTGATCCTACTACACGTAATTTCATACTAATTAAACGGCTAATATATTAACTTGAAAAATTCTGCAAAAGGGTTACAAAAAAGAGAAGTGTTACATAGCTACCCAAGGACCAAAACCGAACACTATCATCGACTTCTGGAGGATGATTTGGCAAGAAGGGACCCTTATTATTTGCATGGTCGCGAATCTAATCGAGAACGGAAAGGTTCGATTTTTCTCATTGTCACTGTACCATTCCTACGAGATAATAATCGACAATGAAATTGTAATAGGCAAAATGCGAACAGTACTGGCCCGACATACGAAAAAAGAAAAAATATGGCGACTTGCTAGTCTTCCATGTTAAGCAGACCGTGTTCGCGGATTACACGTTTCGTACTTTCCACGTAACCTGCGAAGACGAAACTCGTAAGGTAACAATGACAACAACTCGTTCGGAGCAGTAAATGTTTCCTAGAATCGAGAGAATCATTGGAACGATGTTTTAAAAATTCAGATCGAGCATCTGCATTATACAGCCTGGCCGGATCACGGAGTCCCTTTATCCACGCATTCGGTGGTCAGGTATTTGAAGAAACTATTGGCAACGTCACCCGGAAACGGACCTGTGGTTGTCCATTGTAGCGCAGGCGTCGGAAGAACTGGAACCATAATTTTGTGCGACGTTTGTCTCCGACGAGCCGCCGCAGAAGGGGTACAACGTTTTAAAAAGATATTTACCATTGCTTCGTGGTACGATGCGACGTCTTCCTTTTAATATTTCCAGGTGGTCGACATGTTCGCCGAAACCGAGTCGATCAGAAGTCAGAGGGCTAACATGGTAGACACGAAGCAACAGTATCTCCTAGCTCACTTGACGCTAGTTGAATGTTTACTTTCTATCCCAACATCGTTGCCCTGCAACGAGATTTTCCCAACGAAGATCAAGGAACTTAAAAAGCAGCTGGCGATGCAGCAACTCAGGTAACCGCTCCATTTGCTTGTCGACGAACAACGAACGAACTAAAGTGGAACGAAATTTACAGTTTGGAGAAGACTATCTGGCAAGACGAAGCCCTTCGTCCAATTAATTCAGCGCCACTGACGGAACGCAACCTTGCCAAAAACAGATTCCCAGAATTAGGTTCAAGTTTCGAATTGTCATTCTACGGTCACCCCCTCGAACCCTTTCGCGCCTGTTTTCTAATAATGCAATGTCTGCTTCACAGCAACAGTCAACAGAGTGTACTTGAAAAGATATCCACCGGCAGATGAGGACAGCGATTACATTTCCGCTGTTTACGTGGATGGTATGAGATTGCAGAAACAGTACATTGCAACGCAATTGCCGTTGCCTGGGACGGTCAACGATTTCTGGAGAATGGTGGCCGAATATAACGTCGAGTTAATCGTTATGCTACAGCCGCCTGACCCGAACGACACGGTTTGTACCTTATCATCCCCGTCGAACCGCATCTCTATGAATTGATTATCCAGCTAGCATCGATATCGCGGAAACCATACTTAAGAAATATATTCTGCGCAGACCTGCTGTTCCATTGTTCCGTATGAGGAATTCAAGCCGGTGCCATACATAAACATCAAGACAAAAGAATTCATCGAATTCGAATTTTACACCTCGCAGAAGCTGATACTTGTTGATAATTCGGAGGTAAAAGAAGTACACTGGTCCCTCCATTTATGCGAATGATACGTTCCACGTACATTTTTTTTTTACGCAGAAAATCACCCCAATCGCGTATATCGCGCTCCCTTTTCAAGACGATTTAAAATTTCAATCTTCGCGTCTAAAGAAATAAAGTTTCTCATAATCTCTTTTTTAAAAATCATTTTTAAATATTTCAAAGTCAATAGAACAACAAACGTAAAGAACGCGTAAATCGAGGAATCAATATATACATGTAACATATCAAACGGGACAATATTTCGTAAAAGTGAAACATAGACAGAAACTGCTTTAAAACATAGCTTTACAGTTATTGTACAAACAATGGAAGACGTATCGTTTTATTTGTTCTTTGTTCAGAAGCCCCCCACAGAACAACAAGTAACAATTTTGTGCTCCACGGAATGGAAAGCTGGCAGAAATCAAGATCCACCAGCAACGATGATGTTAATGTCACTGTGGCAAGCCTCGGAGAAAATACCTAGAGGAGATGGGCCAACTGTCGTAGTTTGCCAGTAAGGATACATCGAATCTCCAAAAATATCTTCGTATAAGTGAACCATTTAACGCGAAATATGTTAAAGTGTTCTTGTTTTCAATTAGCGACGGCGTAACAGGCTGTGGACTTTACCTAGCTTTAAGTTTTCTTTTGGAGAAAATGGCCGTAGAACGAGAATGCGACGTTTGCTTGGCGATTCGCGCGGTTAGAAGATCCAGACCCGATTTCGTCCGATCTTTGGTAATTTTTATTGGTTTCTCGTTAAATGCATTGTTTAATGAAGAAAAAAAATCCAAGAGATAACGTACTTGTTTGCAATATTACTAGAAGGCTAGACTATTATTATTTTTATTTGTTATAAATTTCTCGTTTTGTTTCAGGAACAAATGGAGTACTTGTACGACGCAACGATTACGTACTTTAAATACTTCGAAACGTACGCGAATTTCATGTGAAAAATCCCTACTCTAATTGTTCGTTCGATTCATCGTACAAATTGTTTCGATTGATTTTAACGAGATGAAACTAGTTTCCTAATACGAGCATCGTTCGTCCCATAAATTATACCGTTACGTAATTATTTAATACTGAAATTCTCGACTCTCGATTATCCTATTTTCCTTTACTTTCCTGTTCCCCAAGGCAAACGACTTTCATTCCCACGAACACTATCGTGATTTATCATAATCGTATGCAGCAATGACCTCGCTTCACCGGGATTCCCCTGAACCGCGTGCTGCATACATTGCACATACGAAGAAGCGTATTCGTCTCGTTAAGTAATCGTAATAACAGTTAACAGAAGCATAAAAGTTTTACGCAAACATCCAAGCATCGATCTCAATGCAGCCATGCACCGATCCACGATCATATAAGACGCGAACAGTTATTCAAAAGGTACTTACGAAATTTCGAAAGCGGTTCGTCTAAATTTATTCGTCTCTCGCTCGAGTTGAACATCGCGGTAATCGAGACGTGCCCAGTGACGTCATTTACTCACGCTTTTCCCGCCAGATTTCAGCGAACCGGAACGTTCCTTTCTTTACAACGTTGCAGAACAAGATACCTAAATAAATCGAAACGAACACCTTAAAACTATCTTTCGATTTTAAACTAACGTTAGCGTTTCGTCGTATGAACGAAAACGACGTTTGAACTCGCAGACATTGACTTTGGCAATGAGAACATAATGCGATCAAATTCACGAAATAACCGGGACTGCACGAATTACAACGACTATAACCCCCATACTTCACTGTTACTACGAAAAAGTACCAAACATGAAATCAAGTATTAATGTCCCATAAAGTGATTTTTTTTTCTGTTAAAAAGATGTTGTCGCGAACAATTCGAATGATTTCCCGGAAAAGCTATTAGTATACATATACTAGACTGATATGGAAAGTCGACTTGTTAATCCGAGGCGTTTGATCGCATTATATGAATGAAAATTCCCGACGAATAGTATGTATGTAAGTACTTACATTCCTCGCGGCATTCGTACGACCAGTCAAGAAGCTGATAAGCTACCAATTTTCGCTATTCGTCGAATTATCGACAGATTGATACAGCGAACCATTAACGGGATCAAAAACTATTCTTGGAAAAAGGAAACGAAGAAATGGACAGCGTACCGCTGTCGTGTTCCCTTCCTCCAGTCGTGAGCTTCCGCCAACGGCCGACAGAGGGTGCGTCAGTAGCGCCGATAACTCGTAATCACGAAAGGTATACGTCGACCTGCTGTAAACGTCCATCTCCGTGGATATCTTCACGTGCGTTTCCGTGGTGTTCGTGTGTCGGTGGAACGAGTGCAAAGTAACGAAAGGTTTCCCGAGGTGTGGCTGACAGGACGGAGTTTTCTCGTCGATCGTCGCGAGATAGAAGCAACACGCGAGAACGGGCGAAAGGAACGTGTGCTCTCACAGCAGCAGGTGAGGATTTTTATCGTTCACGGTGTCGCGAGTGGAAAGGGCGAACACGTGTGCCCGTGTGTCACACCAGTGTGCTACCTTTGGCCACGACTCGAGGAGTCGTCTTCCTCGATCGAGACTGTTTGTTTTGTTTGACAAGATGCGGGACACGCGTGTCACGTCTCGTTTCAAGGCCAGGGAAGACATATTGGCGCGTGAACAGGACCCATTGAAAAAACGTACCGCCTTTAACGCGTGGAATCGTAATTTTTTCCTCGATCGGAATTTATTCGTAACTTCGGATCGGTCGTATCGGTCATTCAGTTCATCGAGTGCATTCGCCTGACGAGTTTACGTTCGCGCGTACTGCGTCACTCGTACCCGCTTGTTGTTCCTTTTCTGTTATATAAGGAACACGCTTCGCACGAATGTGCCACCACCATCTTGGCGGACGTAACGCGGCGCGAAATTTGACTTCTTTCGACGATTAGCCACCGAAGCGCGAGATGTGAAATAGCTTTTAAGGTCACGTGCACACGAACGATACGTCGTCGTTACGTTTCTGTGTGTTTCTTTCTTTTACAATTAAAACAACAATGACATACAAGATTGACGTTCCTGTGTCCGTCTTCGTTATTTTCAATTGTATGTCAAAGAAAAACATAGAAATCTAGTGTAAATCGATAATGATGGAAGTAAAAGATTTTGTCAACTTCACGATAAAGAAATAAATAATCGAACAAATTTATTGAATTGGACATAATGATAAAATTAAATATGTCAAATGATTATATTAACATTTGTCATTCTTAGGTCACATAATCGTTATTCGTTAATTTCGTGAGTTTACCCAGTCTCTTAAATAATATTATTTTGGCACACGTGTTAAAGTGCACCTAATCTATTCGAGTCGTACTTAACGTTACTGCCTACGTAGCTGATTGAAGTAACTAGCGTTTATAGCAAGATTTCATCGGTTTAACGAGAATACAGTGATAAAGAGCTTATCGGATTGTTTGCGCAAGCTGTAGGCATACATTATAGATCAGTGTGTTCATATTTCTTCTTTCAGAATCAGCCTTTCATCTTTCAGAGTGGTGCATAACAAAATTATCGTCCACCTAATGACGATCTTCAACAATAACCTCGTACTCGCGGCACGCTATTACGCTATGAACGTTTTATAATTTAATCTATCCTGTCCACTCATTTATCCATTCACAGATCATCCGACCGTGGCATATTTTCCTCCCGCTGAATGGTTAATATCCTCTAAGAAGCGACTTCTCAGCAATCGTCGTCTGATCACGTTTCCATTATTAACGAAACGCGTCTGGAACCATTTCCTTTTTCTATTCACATATTACGTTGACAACATTTTCGATCATCTCGATGAACTTAACACATCGATAAAAAAATAACTTAAAAAAATAAGGAACTGGGAATGCAGATAAAAACATCGACAGTTTCATTCTATCAACATTTTTTGTATAATATTGCATTTGAAATGAAATGTATATGATTGTACCGTAACGTCTTTAATAGCCCTACTTTGCACGATATCTTGGCCAACTGATAATAGATACGACGATATTACACGGACAAAATAAATATTTTTGTCGATTTTACGCTAGTCTTAGTCAATCCCATGGACAATTCCACCTTACGTTTTCAATGTTATTATTAATAACAATATTAATAATAATTTATTTATGAGTGTGTAGAAGTAGAATAAAAGTAAAATCATACCACGTATGCGAATACTTTTAAATGCTTACACAGAGATACTTGAAACGTAGAATAATATAAATGTTGTGCATACTGTTTATAATATGCTGCCCTAGCGTTTTAAACTGGCCAGTCATTGGTACATTTACCTTACTTAGGCTCGCTTGTCATCAACTTCAATGTAGTAGATGTCGGTCCAACACCTCGTATGCGGTGTGATTTGCAAAAGAGGCGGAAGAACGTCCGCGACGAGTGCGTTCCGTGGGAGAATCGTCCCCAGTGGCGGTGCACTTGGTACGGCTCGCAGAAGGAGAAACGATTTTAAATTGCTGTCAAGTCGGGCCATGGTCGGATCGATTGTCGGAGTTAGGCGCAATTGCGCGACGTCGATTCGCGAACAAAAGAAAGAAGGTCTTTGTTGCCATGCCGCGAAAACCTGTAATCGCTTTTCAATTAAAACCAAAACGTTCGAGACGATCTCTCGATCAGTGTAGTAGATGGAATCGATAAAGGCTCCTCTGTAAAATATTAACAATTTTCTGATTTAACAGATCGAGTAACCGTTTGGTAACGTGTCTGTGTCTTCGAATGATTCGCAAAATCCATGGAATATACAATCGGAATTCTATACAGGTTGTCAAATGGATAAAAAAACTTCGTGTAAACTTACATTCGAAAATGCTTTATTGCGGAAGTTGTAAGAAGTTATAATGCAGACTTCGTTGAATTAGTGATCGTCGAATTTTTTCAAATATTCTATCTGTATTGGAAATAATAGTAAATACATTTTGAATACGATTCCAAAGTTGATCTTGTATTATTGAGAATTTATAATACGAATACGATTCTATACAACGAATGGGGCATTCAATGGTCGAGTACTTGTGAGAGAACCTAGCCCCCTGGTGGCGACTGAGAGAAGTGTAGCGATGTAACATTGGAGCGTTAACAGGTCCCTTTCTCGTTGTTTCATACATTTTTCCATTGGAGGTTAGATTTATTCTATATCGCATTTGTGATTACATCACCAGCGGATTCTCACGTCACGCGACACGCGATTAAGCGTCACGTGAGGACCGTTAACGAACACAACTTTCGCTGCGATATCCAGCCATCGTTCGATATCGATTTTTTAATAACAAGTAATGTACAGATTTTCGTACGAGTATGATTACTTAAAGCTCATCGCGTTGAAAATATTTCGTGCATACATGTTAGCCCAACTTAAATCGAGCAATTGAAAGTATTGAAACTATTAATTAAATACTATGTTTGTACTGTATCTTTAAGAATTTTTAACCATCAACCGGGGAGAAAAGTGAGCATTGTACGTTCGAATCACGTTTTAACGTAACGTGTACGACTATCGCGTTCGCGTTGCATTTTTACAAAATGCTTTTTCAAATTCGGAGAGACGATACCGTAAGATACGTTGCAACATCGGTGAAGGCGAAGTCATCGAAACCGCCAACGAAGATGTTTCACCGTAAAGTGAAGAAACCATCTTTTCAGGGGAAATGGCGGCCACCGTGCCGAAGCTCGCCAAGGAGAACAAAATGGAAGCCAAACGTAGAAGTTGGACAGCGAGACCGATTTTAAGCTCGGACTACACGGACGATCCGCCGCTCGAGGACGTCTACGTGGGACTAGTGAAGCAGAAAAAGGACATCTCGACCGCTATTCGAACCATCTCGTCCGTACTGCCGGGATTCAGTCACCTGAAACGTTGCTCGTCGAACAAGCTGCTGTTGGTACCGCTGTCATCCTCGAAACCGTCAGGAGAAATGGAAGAACCGTCGTCGGGGGATAGAACGTTGTCCATAGACGAATCGAAGTCTTTATTGAAAGCAAAAGGGTTCGATTTGAATTTGTTGGAAGACGATTTCCAAGTCCTGAGAGTACCAGCGCGAACAGCTAAGACGAAATCGCAGGCGGCGCGCGCCTCGAAGATTTGGCCGTTGAATTTTCACCCGGATCCTGGCATCGAGTCTCTGATCGATGGGTCGATCTTTACGGATCGCCAATTGGATCTCGTAGAAGGGTACATGAACGTGGCGATAGAGGCGGCGAAATTAGGAGCCGTTGGCAATGACGATTGCAACGGAAGCGCGGTGATCGTCGATCCCGATGACGGGAGGATCCTTGCGGTCGCAGCCTCGAGGATCGATCAGCATCCGATGTGGCACGCTGCTATGCTGGCGGTGGATCTCGTTGCTAAACTTCAAGGTGGCGGTGCTTGGAAATTGACCGGGGAACTCGAGGGAAACGCGACGCGATCGGAAACGTCGGTTCCCAACGGGGACTACGCGGCAAGGGAGAAAATGATCAAGAGGAAGTACGTCGAGGATGCTCCGCTCCGTTACCCGGAATCGATATCGAAAATTTGTCTTCCGAAAGAGGAATCTCTTAGATCGAATACGGCTCGTCGAGGGCGCGGTAATAGCGCGAAAAGAAAGGATTCGAAAGAATTGGAGAAGATCGAAGACGAACCAGCGAATGCGGATAAATGGGGACCTTATCTGTGCACGAGATACTGGACGTTTCTGTTGAGGGAACCGTGTCCTCTTTGCGCCATGGCTCTCGTGCACTCCAGAGTTTCGAGGATATTTTACGGTGTGCCTAATCAGAAGACAGGGGTTCTGGGATCGAAAACGATTTTGCACGCTGTGCCAGGATTGAATCATCGGTACCAGGTCTGGAGCGGCGTATTGGAACAAGAATGCCGATCAGCTTTGCGCGACATCGAGTTTAGAAACGCGGATTGACTCACGCTGCGTCCCGTTTGCGTTCGTCGCAATTGATTGTAATTTTCCAATCACGAGTGTTTCATCGGAATTCCACGAAGAATTTTTGCGTTCGACGAAAAAGAAACGCGTTTGGTTACTCTCCTGTAAACCAGCTTGTATTTTCGAGAAATTAAACGACGAAATTGATTTCTCCGATCGTTTCGATACAATTCACTGTCCACGATAGTGATTCATTAGCATCCCAATAACTGTGTCTGCGGAAGACGTACGTAATCTCGAAGTACGCCAATCAAGTCGCGGTGCTGTAGCATCGATACAACGACATAACGACCGGTTTACGATTTCAATCGAAACCAGGCGTCGCAGATCTTACACGTGTTTCGAACGTGCGCTCGTCCATCATCGTACAGATATACAAACGACCTTGGTGCCTTGGTATAATTTGCAGGAATAAAGACGCGCGTCCGGGTCCGTTGCTGTCCAATCGCCGTTAGACGATGACTCGTTGCTCGGCGAAGATCACGAAAACTGTTTTCGTAAATTCCTTCGTCCCGGTATCGTTCGCATTAAACCTAATTGAATTGATGCTCCCCTTTAAAGCTGTGTAACAGACTGATTTTTATACCCCAAAAGCAACCAGGACATTTTCTCTCAGCCGTTGATGAACGATCGCGGAGACGACAAACTTTAACAAATTAATTACTTCGAGCGAAGTTCGTTAAAAGCGTCGCGTCAGAGGTAAAAAATATCCATGCACAGCAACTTGTCGCAGCCTGAAGTTCGCTGAGATTGAGCACTCGACTTGTACCCTTTTCCTTAATTAAACATTTGATACCATACGTACAGGTTTATGCGAAATGGTGAGAAAAACTAGTACAACGAAGCTCTTAAATTCGTAATTTACATTCTTTGAGGAAGGAGAAAATAATTTTACAAGCCTTTATGTTGGGCTTGTAAATAGACAGATCGATGCTTAAAGCTATCAGAGAGTTGACTAATTTATTTCTGCAGGATGGTAAATTATAAATCTTTGTTAGTTTATAATCTAAAATACTAGCTGCAATAACTCGATAATTTTATAGATATACGATCACATCGATATTCTAGTTTACAGAACTTAATCTACTAATGTCAGTACCATAAGCGAATACTCTAGATTCAATCCTAAGCTAAAGTAGGCTATTTTAAGTGTTTGTTTCTTTAGAGCTCAGAGTAAGTTCACTGACAAATCGTCAGTACTTTGTTTTCATAGCCAATTCGAGAGGTGGTTAATGCTTTTGTCCACATAAAATTAGAGCATTCTATCACGAGCTGAAGAGCCATCACGCTGAAAATTACCTTGCCATTTAAGCACGTATCCCGTCAGAAACTCTTACTCTCGAGAGTAAAATTTGCCCAACGGAGACACCAGGCATGCACCTAAATCGAGAACGCTCGAAAGTAATTCTATCGTCCACGCGAATCGGTCGGTTGCAATTCAAAAGCACCGTCCCCGCGATGACGAACGACGGTCGCGTGATCGAATGTATCTGTGCGCCCCCTCGAAGGACGAATTCTTTCTACTTTCGGTGGCAAGGACGCGGGGCAATTCGTCGACGAGCGTGTGGTCGATGATCTCGAAGAACCGGACGAAACGTTGCACGAATGATTTTTCCCCTCGTTGATGGCGGGGCAACGCAAGAATTCAGGCGGCTCGTGGAACCACTTCGCTGCTCGCGTCTGCGATCTTTCCTGTACAAGACACGGACGGTTCAATTTGTGTAGAAACGAGTAGCGCACATAACAATGACCTCGCGGATTAACTTCAATCAGCGAAACTTCAGACGTCTAACCCCGTTGAGCCTGTGGTGGTCGTGCGTTGCCGAACGGATGTACGCGCAGCGAAGCGAAGAAACGTCAGAGGACGCTTGGGTGAAAACAGTGGCGAAAGGATTTGGGAAGAGAAAGAAGAGACGACGTTGGACCTTCGCGCGCACCTTCGACAATGATTATGTTCTGTAATTAGTAAACTCAGAACGATGTTCGTTTCGCGGTGTTACAATGCCTGTAAATAAAATTGATTTTCATTAAAACGAATGGAACGAGCGGACGTTCCGCGGTTCGCGTCTATGGACAATTTTCCTAGCAGCCGGTTGCGTGCACCTGTTCACGGGAAACGTACATTGATTTTGTTGTTTCAGGTTCTGGTTCGGGCGGTATTAGTTAATTGCGTCGAATTTCGCGGGACGAGGCCGTTAGCGATATTTGAAACATCAATCTCGACGAATTTGGGGGTGATCGTTGTTAGAAAGCAGCCTGGAGTTTCGTTCGACGGAAGAGAAATCACATGGTAGATAAGCACGGACGTGCAATCCTGTCGTAAAGAGACCAGAATTTCTATTCGAACGACCGGAATAACGACCAACAGTCGTTTGGCGCGTCCTTCGTTGCACCGGCCGGCGCGTGGCTCCATTAACCGTAACCCGGAAACGCATCAGCATCGTCTCTTGTCGCAACCGTCGTTCGTCCACCTCGTGAACGACATCGAAGGGACTAATCGACCGCTTCCTGTTGTTCGATCGCGCGCGATAACGATCGAGGAGATAACGCGCTTTTATAATATTTAATCCGCGCGACGAACAGAGAGTCACGAATTCGAGACGAAAATAAAGAATTCGGATGTAGTTGTTGATAGACGAGCAGAGTACAACGACATTGTTCGATAAAAAAAAAAAGAAAACAAGAAAAGAGTGTCACGGAGTCAGGTATTAATCTAAATTCGAATTCAGCGCATGACCGAATACAGGACGGCTCTACGAGGTAAACCGAGTCACATTTTGCTCATCAGCACTGAGTGGTTCCAATTGACGGTCGGGTCGACCCTCCAGCGTAGACACTATTGGTCAGCCTTTTAATACCGGCGGTCGCGATTGGATCAGATACCCAGATCGTTCTTAGACAGAAGACATCGCCGGAGCATTCGGTTCAAAACTTTTAACGTCGTCAGTGTCGCGCAATTTGCTGGCCGTCGTCGTTCTTAAGAGCGATCCAAGAGTCGGTACGCCTGTCCGGTTTATCTCAGTCGATTTAAGTCGGTCAACGGTATCAGCGTGCGTGAAGAGCAACGCGAAGGACGTGATTCTATCAGGAAGTCGACGCGTCTTGGCTCCCACGCAGTCTCGAAGGAAAATTTAACGCGGTGAACGTTCGATAACAAAGATTCGAGCAACGAAAACAAGAAATCGCCGCTGACGTTCGTCGACCAGACAGTTTTATCAAATACAAACAAGCAAGGATTCCGATATAACGGCTGTAGTCACGAGTACCCGATTGGATGGCTCAGATCTATTGGCTGTTGCTCTTTGAAAGATCCTGATTGTCACGCCTGGCTGTGAAACGCAAGAGGACAGAGGACCTCGGAAAGAAACGTGTAGGCGTTCCTCATTGCGGCGAGAAAAAAAGCAATCTCTGGGCGACCACTTCGAGGAAAGTTCTTCCCTCCAATCCGTCGACGACTTTGAGGACCGTCGAAGAACGAAATACCTATTCACATTTGGTTTTACGGTACGAAGCCTCGTTCTCTCTTCTGGATTAAGTTTATTTCCACCGACGCCATGGAACGAAGGATCCTGAAAATGTGGTGACGACGTGCCAGGCGAAGGCCTTCGATTACCTAGACACTACTGAGTGTGTGAGCCATAGTCGTTAGAAAACAATCGAGATTATTTCAAGTGTCCAGTGACACTCGTAAAGAGCAACAACCCTTTGTCGTTGTAAAACAAAAAAAAAAAAAAAAAAGAAACGTACGATCGTACCGAGGATTGAGGATAAGTGATCCAAGAGAAATCGAGAGCTAAAATTTCTTTCGTTCGATCGTACTCGAAAAAGTGATAAGTTTGTGCTCGAAGGATCAAGGATACGCTCGATACGCGGACAATCACGCAGCGCACCGTTGTCTTTTCGCGCGGCTTCCAGGTGTCTACGGAAAATAATAACAAAATGCTTTGCAGCCAAGGTGTGGCGATGGTATTCGAGGACGCGTTCGTCGTCTTTTCGCGATTTTTATCCCTGAGGTCGCGGGGTTGCGCACTCCTGGAAACGCACCGGCAACGTGAGACAACTGGTATCAAGAAATTGTACAACAGCTTCTTCGTGATGTTCTAAGGATAACTCAGTCCCGTCCGCGACAAAATCGGCCGTTAATCGACGATTAGTCGAGTGATGTACCGCGCGCTTCCGGGATCATCGAAGATCCAGCCGAGGAATACGCGGCGAACGCGTGAAAAAGGAGGACGTTTTGGTTAGACGAACGAAACCGGAAGAAATATCAAGTGGAACGAGAAGGGAAATCCATCTGACACGGAAGGAACATGTACACGCGCGGTTAAAGTGTTTAAAGAGAAACCCCCAAAAGTCCCGGTTTAATAGTCACCAATCAGCCTAAGACTCAATCGTCTTCTCTTCCAAATACGCTACCAAAGCGTTCTCCGATACAATCTTTGAGCACTCGAACGGCAATATTCGTAATCAGGATCGAAACAATTGATGCTCCGAGGGTGGTATACAGAGAAAAGAAAGTCTGGTGCGAGTGCTTCGAGATTTAGGGTCGTTGAATGGAGCTCCAATTCATCATGGACGGCGGCGCAGATGCTCTGAACGGGACGATATGGTTTCCCAACACGCCGTCTCCGCCGTACGAGCAGCTGTCTCCTGTTCGTCAGAACAGATGCGACGTCATCGCCACCCAGCACGTAAGTTCTCCACTCCCTCTCGTCAACGACAAACGGAATTTCGTACGCGACGCTCCTTTTTTTTTATCTTTTCTTAACTTCGTGAAAGAGAGAACAGTCCGCTTACACGTTCGGTCCTCCATGTTTGCGGCCGCATGCTAACGACGCCAGTAGCTTTCGCCTTGTTTGTATCGCTATTCTGCCCCCAATGGACGCCCGCCAAAGTCGACCACTTGCGGATGATTTCGGGAAAATCGTGCAGCAGCATGGACCTTATCGGCTTATCGTGAACAGGTTCCGTACCTCGTGTTTCGCGCGATCCGTCCCCGTAAACTGACGAACAAACGTTTTATAGGCGTCAATGGGATATCACAGTCAGCAAAATTGTTTCTGGCAGGACAAGTACAACTCGCCTGAGAACTCTCCGGAGGACGGTGTCCAGATACATTCGAACAGCGGATCGCCCCAACATCTGAGCCCATCCACCGACCATACCGCGAATTGCCAGCTGACCAGCCTGAAACGACGTGCCGGGGAGCCGTTGCAGCAAATCACAGAGCTCGAGAAGAAGCATGCTAGAAGAGACGGTCAGTATACCTAAAATCTTTATCAGATATAGCACGTAAGAAATGGTCAGATAATCTTAAATAACACGCAAAGTCGATCTTAATCTTTTTTTTATTTCAAAAACATCTCTTGGTAGTCTAACAGAGTTCATAGACACCTTTTATGGAATGTTTTTCGGAATAAAAACACTTGAGAAGGAAGGCCCCGCAACCCAATGATGGTAGAGCTTGAAAATCTAACGATACACGGTTTTTGGGGACAAACGACTTGTAATTTTTAAGATATATAACGTTAATGTTATCACTAGACTGTGAATGTTTATGCGTTCATAGAAAATTTTAATTCTCAAAAAACTACAAAATGCACTTAACGTCCAAAAATATAGTAGTAGTAGTAGTAGTAGTAGTAGTAGTAGCAGTGGTTGGTAGTATTTATTTCTCCAATATTGTTTTTAATATAAACATTGCACATTTTTGGTTAATTCCATCCTCCATACACGCAATTAACTTGTACTGTCAACATTAGACTTTTAGGGGGTCTCACAAACATAGTAAATAAAAATAATAAATACGTGCAAAACTATAAGAAATACTTAAAGTAAGATTCATTAATTTTATTAATAAAAATATGTTGAAAAAAATAGTCCAGTAAAAACTATAAGCTGTCTGCCCCCCAAAAATCGATTATCATTAGTTGGAATTTTTCAGTCAGCGTAAGACCTCGTTAGACCTTCTTAGATCGATGAAGATATAATTTGTAACTTACAAGAAAGAAAACTTTGCATACGCCTAGAACATCAAAAAATATTACACGTTACATTTTTTATATGGGGAGTGAAACCACCCCTGAAAGTTCATAAGAAGGAGTGCAACACTTCCTGTTAAACAATATTAGAATATTGCGTGGAATAGAACTTTTTTACGGTATAACTTACCATGTAGACGATGTTTTTGTCCTCAACTACCCTTATCAGGGGGTAAATTATCCTTGATCGTTTAAATGCGCCTGGAAGAGACTACGAACGTCTAAAAGAATTTATAACATTCTCAGGAACCCTAAAATGATTAGATATAAATTATTTTCCAATCACAAATTATTACCTTTATGATCCACAATTGCCTCAAATTCGATTGTAAAAATTGACACTTGTCCAAAGTTCTCTGCCCTTGTTCCTCGGATTTTTCAAGAATATTTGCACCATTGAACTGCAGTGTTGTCGTCATTATCGTGTAGCTCCACGTATAGATATATCGTACGAAAGGTCATGTTCAAACGACCCGTGACACACAGTCGTAGGCACGACGTTTCCGAACTCTTTCCTCGTTTAAAACCAGCGTGTCTGCAACGACGTTTAATCTTGGATTAAAGTATAAACAATATCAAACACTGATCCTTCGCGATTCGCAACAATCCTCCTCGTCGTCCACAAACGGGGACACGTGCCTTTGACGAGATCGCTTAGAAGCGTCGTCCTTGCGTTTGAAGAGAGATATCGGCCGATCCACGTGTCCGTCGACTGAGAAGAAGGGCTCCTGATATCTCAAAATGGCAAAGTTCACGGATTCGTTCGTGTGTTGATGCTACTTGGACGATCGGTTCGCGACTAATTCACGAAAAGCATCGTGCCAGCTTGCTCGCTACGTTCGACGCCTTTTCGACCACGTGGTCGCTGGAACTGATAACTCTCGAGTACACAGTGTATCGCAGATTAAGCCCACTCGAAGAAAGAGCGAAAGACGACGCTAGTTCTCCGCGCAAGAGAAACTAGGCGGAGGTGTGCGCGTTGTTTCGTTACGGTGGTGTTGCTTCGAGTGGTGGCCGATTCTTTTTGCTTCTGGGAACACGTAGAATGAAGTGGTGCGAGGTCGACAACTCCAGGCTACCGTTGCTACAGAGCCGACGATACCCTGCGATAACGTCCAAGGCGCGACGACGGAACGCGGTCACGGCCCTTCAGGACACAAAGTCTAGGATCGGGGCCATGCATCATCAGTTTTACATCAATTATGCCAACGCTCAAGCTGGTACAATATAAATTGGTAAAAATAGAGTCCTAGTCTTGACGGGTCCGACGTTGGCCTTGCAAAATTTCCGTCGAAGGAAAAGTAGAGATTGAAATGTTGCGTCAAATGTTTCTCTCGCTGTGATAAACCGATAAATTTACTCTAACGTTGGCAAAACATTGAACGATATACAGCGTATGCCAAATTACGCAGTACCATTTTAAATTGGTCAGAAATATTAGGGTACTAGGTTTAGCAAATAAAAGAATGTACCAACGACGCTTAATTATTATGACTTTTCAATAATGTACAAACGTACTCAACTTAACGTTTCTCGCGGTTGCAGGATCTGTCGGAAGCAATGGTTCTGGACAAGGTTGGTCGACTCAGGTGGAGGAACTGGCAGAACATCTTGCCGCCGATTTCGATGGATCCCTATCGGCACTTGCAGCATCCGATCTCGCGACAGCCGTCGCTTCTTACAACATGAGGTACATTCACTTTTTTTTATAAATATAAATAACGTACAAACGCGAAGGATACAAAACAATGGAGGCAAGATACTCTACTCTCGGAAATCGAATTTGAAATAGGGCTGGAATTGCTTGTCAAATTTTTCTACATTCGAACATAATTCAAATACTTGATACATCGGTACTCAAATACTCTTTGCACCGATGAAATCTTTGGATATTCAAAGTATTTGAATAATGTCATCTGGATCAGTATTTCTCAGACTGTGATTTCTTTGAAGAAGAAAAAAACATATACAACGAAATCAAAAAACTACATGTGGTATTTTATTAAACAAAATTTGTTCTATAGATTTGTCAACATTTTTTCATACTTGAAACACGTTCGTTGCTTCATATTGTTATTAGAGGCAATAAATCTGTATTGAATGTTTCATTAGCAACGAATGTTTGAAACTATAAATCAAATTCTTTAAGTTCGCCATTGTCTTTCAAATCATACTTTCATTTAAATGATATTTTATTCCATTCAAGTGCAATGATTGACATCACATTTGACATTTTCACAACAAGTATTTTCATACTTTCATTTAAATGATATTTTATTCCATTCAAGTGCAATGATTAACATCACATTTGACATTTAGAAAAATGATTTCTTTTATTTGTCCTATCTCTGTTCGGACGCAAAACGCTATTTTTTTGTTAAATCTTTTTGAAGTCGAATTCGACCAGCAGTCGATACCAACAGGTTAGCGCCGATAATATAGGTTTCTCTGACTGAAGTGCAAGCGCGAGCGGATCGAATCTCGATCGAAACATGGTCGAAGCATAGTGGGATGGAAGCGTGGCGTCGAGTCAGAAATCCGGTTCGAACCAGACACAGTTGTCGGTGTTTCGTCGCTCGGATGGCGTACACTTTGAAACCACGCCGGGTACAGACGCTTAGCGAGTGTTCGCGCGTACAGGCACGTGCGTTTCTCTGTCCCGGAACCAATTGAGAAATAAGTCCGCAAAATTCCTACGTCCGGCTCTATTAATTCACTTCTACTTTCGAGTTACTCTTCCAATTAACATACCAGACGAATTTTGCTATTCCGCGACGAGAAGTAAGTTCAGCTCTTGAATCTTTTCACTGCGCAACTCGTTTCGCTAGATTCGCCATGTCCTCTTATCTCACTCGAAACCATCGTTTATCGTGAAGATACTCTTTTCGGCGGTCATTCGAACACGCGTTTCGAAAGATATTCGTTGTTAACCTTTATCTATTATCAAGATTCGGATCACGACAGGGTATCTGAAGTCCATCGACGTTTACCAAAGACAGAAAGTGTGTAGAATCCGATCGATTCGAGTCTTCTACGCGACTAGATAGACGCGTAAACGCTAATAGGAGGTGCAGTAAACCACCGTCAGCTATCAGCTGGCGGTTAGTACGCACGTGGCACGCGAGCTCCCGAGCGTTCCGCGAGCATTTCGATCGTTCATGAATGAAAATTTTCGCGAAACGCGTAACTCAGGACGGAAATCTACGAGGAACCGGCATCTCGAACGGTTCCCGAGCGTGAAACACAGTTATTCTTGGCATTTGTGTTCCCTGTGGTGAATCACTTTCCACTTTCTCGGCGTGCTTGCTATTTAGAAGTACCGCGCGCATCCTTGCACGCACGTGACCCTAGATCACCCGGCGAAATTTAAACGGAAAGCTCGAAATCTCGTCGACTCGACAATCCGTAACGAAAGAACCGATACGACGACGATGATTAGAAACGGCTGTTTACGGTCGGATCGGGTGAGTTCGAGCTAGCGAATCGAAGTGTTTTGTGGATACTCGGTGGTTAAATGTTTTCGAGGAAGAAGAATCGCGAGTGATTTTCGAGACTCGAAAAGCATGCATCAATATTTGAAAAGTAGGTGAGTGATAGACTTAAACAATATATATGTGTTTATACGATTTAAATCAAATAATATAAATAAAGGCACAGGAAAATGCAAATAAAAGAGAGAAGGAAAGGTTTACGATGAACAGAGTACCAAAATGTAATAATCATAAATATAATTTTTTTACTCTTAAATAAATGATAAAACTTGATCGAATAAAGTGTGATTTATTGGAAGATAGAACATGCACGAAATATTTATTTATTTCATGCTTAATATTTACTCATCTGATGAGTTATCTACTATCTACTAATTATCAGTTTTTTCTCATCAACGTAATATGATCTTTGTTTCAATTTGTTTAAAAAAGTAATTAAATATTTGTTATTTGTTTTCAATTTCAATAAACCTTTATTCGACGAGGTTATAGAATGTTTTTAAAGAATAAATGAATGCATCGAGAAGCTTACCAGTTATTGCTAATTAAGCCGTATGCAGGCGTAAAGTCCTCTGTCAATAATTACAACGAAGTTTTCCTCAAACAAACGATCGTTACACAATATACTGTGTGTTTTTTTTTCTCCGGTTCATCGAGTAATCTTTTTTTCTTCGTTGTATGCTGCTTCATCCGATTTTATTGCAACAACGGGCAAAAAGGAAATTGTAAACAAGTTTCCACGTTACTTTTGGCATTACTTTATCGCGGTATTTCTCGCACGGCTGATATTAAATTCACTGCATTAACGAACCGGTGCGTTCCGGTTTTGGTTGACCTTAGTGACTCAATTCTTATCATAGAGGTTCTCAAACGATCCTCCGATTCTTCGTTCCGTCTTGAACGATCGAATGCATCGTAACGTTCTCGCGAACCACTTATCGATTTATCGTTATCGTATTCGTATATCGGTTCTATCGACCGGCGATCGAACCCGACAAAATTTACGATTCCTGGCTCGCAGATGGAAAACAAATATCAGAATAACCGAAACGCGTTTGAGAATGTTCATTGTTTTGTCTTTGCATAAAGTGTGGTTTACGCAAGCCACGGATAAAGAATTTGTTACGTTTCGCGTTGGTTTCTCCGTAGCGAAACGAAGCTTTATCTTTGAACAAATTGCAAAAGGTACAATGCTAAACAAATGTATTGGCACTTACGAATGTTACGACAGAAATACTTGTAACTGAACAAACGGATTTAAAAGAAACATTTTCTGACAGATTGTCTTAATTTATTACATAACAGACGCGATAACACAAGGAAACTGATGCATGAAATAAATTTTCCTTTAAATCAATTTGTTTGGTAGTTATAAACATTTGCATCGTATCAGTCATGCTGATTGCTGTTACTCAACAATTTGTTGTTTTCTTAGATTACGCATGCGAGTGTTTCTTTTTGAGTCCGCGATCCTTACGTATCGAAGTTCAAAGGTTTTCGCCAAGTCTCGAAAAGGTGAATTAAAGATCAACGTGAATACTAAACTTTTGTTCGAACTGTGTATTTGTATTATGTTAATACTTGTTCCGTCGGGAGAAATCACTATTCCGTACTTGACTCGGCACTGACAGTCGAAAACTTACGTTGACGAACGCCCCGAATAAATTATTCTTGATCATCCGTCTGTTCCCGGCGTCACGAAATCTTAATCAATGAACGCTGATAATGGAAACTGGAATCTGTCGGTTATTATCGGATGAGACATCGTCCAATCGAAAACCCGAATTACATTTCAATAACGTTTCGCGAGATAACGTATCTGTTGAATACAAAGCATCTTACGTGATTATTTTATGTTAAAAATTAAATTTTCAATGTACAAATACAACTAACGTATCGACGATTTGTAAATAAAACTATTTTAATAGAAAATTGGTTTACTTTTTTTTCTCAGTTTTCAAACACAGTTTGGGAAACGCTGCATCAGATAATCGCGTAGATCTTGCCTTATTGTTGTTGTACGTTGAGTCGCTGATTAGTGTGCGTACGATGGTCCAAAATTGTAGCCAAAGTTTCGTTTACTTGCAGCGAAGCCCTCCTCGCTCTGCCATCGCTGACGGTCTTCAAGCAAGAAGCACCATCGCCAGAAAATCAACAAAATTCCAAGTAAGTTCTCCAAACTTTCGCAATATTCACCGGTGAAATATCGATGTTCTTAGATAGTTATTCCAGTAAGTTTAAAATAACCAAATTCTACGAATACCGATATGAAATCATCAAAGCGATGTTATAACAGTATAAACGTATTTTGGAACATAATACCAGTCAATTTTCTATTATAATAAGGAAAAAGCAATCGTAAATTAAAAATTACCATCAGGCCACCATAACTGTGAATCAGTACAATTTTAAAAGTTCTTAAACTTAAAAATGTTTCTGTTTTGGTTGGCGTTGAACATGAATACTTTTTCCTTTATATCTTTTCTCTATTGTAAAAATATCCTCTATGTTCGTTGTTGATATCACCGTGATTTGGTGGAAAAAAATCGAGGTGAAAATGCAGTGAATGGTCAACTGTGACGTAATGTTTCTAAATAAAAGGAACAAAAATTGCAACAACCCTTAAAATTGTACAACCCTGACACAACAATCCAGGAAGATAATCGAGGCATCACGGAAGACTCGAAAGACATATCGAAAATCACGAAAGATAAGAACAACTTTAAGATTATAAAATAAACGTATAAAACGATAAGAACACAAATTATAATAATACGTTCATCGGATAGAAGATCAAGCTTGAAAACGAATTTTATTTCAAGTCGATAGCGCAGTTAATTCCGGAGATATAAGATTTCGAAGCATTTCATTGATAAATACCGGATCCTCGTAATAAATAGTAAATTCGTGTAAATAGTATGCGCGACTGACCACCGCACAGGTGACTAGATTGAGGTAGGTCAGCACGATGCGTGAACGAGAGAGAGGTTCGACGCGTGAGACGAAAAGAGAGATAGCGGAATTAGAAAAATTACGCTTCTATTTAAACGACGATATCACCAGAACGGAAAGTCGAATCGATATAAAACCATTTCAAAGTGGAACCTTTACTGCTTCTAATGGTAATTATGGATAAAACGTGACTAGCTTTGAAGATGCACGCATAAAAAGTTTTTGTACTCTACATATTTATTAAAATATTACAACCTGTAAGCAAATTATTCGGATAGTTTCATTCGTAATAATTCGATTAAATGTTTTTGACGTTCTTTCTTTTCTCTCTGGTTGTACTCTGTATGTTGTACCTTATAGTCATGGATAAACTTTTTGCAGTGCATCGTGAACATTTCCTGTAGGCTAGAGGTAAAGGTCTGACAAGTTAAAAAATATTTGCAACAAATTGAACCGAGGAAAAAGCAGTTGAGTTTTAATGATTGTTCGATAACTGTTCAAATCGCCGGAGTAAAAGAAGAATTAATATGGAGATTGGATGCCATACTAAGAACAACATCCTCTGGATTTGAGATAAACGCAGAAACGTTTAATGTGTACTGTATAGAAACCACACAATTATACACCGAAGAATATTCATGATACAGTGAATACTCGATAAATGTCCTCAAGAGCTGTTCCGTGATACATTTTTATCCCCACCACTAGGGGGATCCCCCTTGAACCAGTGAGGCGAAGTGTAACCGGAGACGAAGCGGCTTTCTTTAAATATCTTTATTGCCTTCGTCACCTGCGTTTAAATGTCCCAGTCAGTGTGACCACACTACTGTACAAGAAGAAAGTTTTTTATTTTTTACTTTTTTTTAATAAAAATTTTACTATCATGTGGGGAAGATTTTTCTAATTAAAATGAGTCTAAACACGATATAAATCGGCCAATATTTGTGTACTCGTATCTTCGCAAGGTCAGTGGATTGGTACATTTATCGAACAGTGGTAGCTAACGAAACCCCCTATTTCATAAGTGTTGCAGTTTTTGATCACTTACGAAACGGTGGAATCGTTCCGTTTGAAAATAGCTACCTCCCGTTCGATAAATGTAGCCAGCACCTCGATGCGTCGTTCTTTGATATTTCCGAACATAGAAAAGGACAGCACAAGAAGGATAAATAAAGAGAGAAAGACTCGCAAGTACAATATTTAATTCAATATTATGCTACCAAATATTGACCGATTTATATCGTGTTTAGCCTCATTTTAATCAGAGAAATCTCCCCAACATGATAGTGAAATTTTTATTAACAAAAAGTAAAAAATAAAAAACTTTCTTCTGTGCAGTAGTGTGGTCACACTGACGCGGATATTTAAACTGGGGCGATAAATCCGAGTTTCAGTCCATTTTTCTTCTTTAGCTACTGACTCTTTCTGCGTTCGAAGCGTCGGCAAACTACAATCAAATTCGAAAGACGATTCTCCTATTCCGTAAGTGTTGCTGACCGGACCCGGAGTAGCGACATTTATCGAGTTTTCACTGTACTTCGTGCCACAAAGTGTACATAAACTTTAAATACCCTTCCTTTGGAAGTGTTACGCTTGTTAAAAATACCAGATACACTTGTTAGCGATAGCAATGTAAATTAATTCTAAAAATACGTATTGCGGTTTCAATATTCGTATTACTTTTTTTTTTTAATGTTATGTAACGCTCAAACATTTGTCACAAACATATTTCTTCTTTCTTTTCGATTAAATAAGATAAATTTCATTTAACGTGGAGTAATACAAAAATATAGAACAGAATTAATGTTCATTGTAATAATTATTCCAAAATTTATTTTCAAGGGTTTATCCACTTTTGTGATGTTCTATGTTGATATTCTATTAACAGACTTAAGGGAGTCTATCCCTTTTGATATAAACTAGATACACGAATAGACGAAGGAATACTTACTGTACCACACTATAAAACACAAACTATTCATTTATTCATTAATTTCTATTTGGTCATCCAACAAAATGGTAAAGTGTACCAACGGAATAAAAGAAAAACAAACGATAGGATCTCCTGTTTCTTATAAACGAGAGTGTCCTTAAAACTTTTTTCAAAAATGCATATAAGAATGTAGGGTATCGAATATTCGATTAAACGTTAAAAACTTACTGAAAATTTCGTGTCGTTCGACAGTCTTTAACTTGAAATCGTATTCGCGATCGGCGAGACCCGCCGATTAACACGATCGAGGAGAGGCAAACGACGCGCGAGGAAACAAAAGAAAAAGCTGGAACGGAATTTACCACGAGACTCCCCCGCAGAGACTCGAGCGAGATAAGCTCTTTATCGTCCCGTTTCTTCGTAGAACTATCGGGCAAATGACACGCGGGTCAGACCTTTACTCTCTTACGCGGTTCCTCCGTAGTAATCTCGCGATGGCGTACCGTCAGTATTAAATGCCAGTTGGCGGATCGGCCACGCGAAAAACGTGATTCCACCGCGGTGCGATACCCGCGAAACGTGACGTAGTTGGCGATCTCGTGATCGACGATCGAGCATCGAGACCACTCGAAACGCGAAATCCTCCGTGCGAAAATACAACCAACTTCCAATAATCTCGAGCATCGGAGTCGTCGGACGATAGCCGGGGAACGGGGACTATTTTTAAATGTTTTGACAATTGGATCTATATTTACGCGAACCGGGCCTTCGCCCGTTGCCGGGAATCGTTTCGGTGCAACCCGGTGCATACGCTGTTGCACGAGCGAATGAGCAACGTCTTCAAAGACGAGACCGTTCCGGGGGAAGGAAATGGAAACGCTCGGTGCACCGTGCCCCGAAAGCCATTCGAGTAATGGATAAATTGTTCCTCTAGAAATTGCCACCAATTACTGAACGCCGATGTCACGTACAACATAACGCTCTCGTGCAATCGCGTTTACTGTTTCGTCGAAGCAGTGAAACTTCCCTGAGAGTCTCGCGACTTCGATCGACCGTCGTCCCGCGCGATCGATCGATCCCTTCGTGCGTTAAAAGACCGCGCGATCGTCGCTATGAGAACTCCTTCGGATTTGATCATCTCGCCGTCGGTGTTCCTTAATTTATAGTGAGTGAACATGAAATTATAGTGAGACCTCCGCATTCGCGGTCTGTCACGGTAAATGAAGAACAATGTGAACGTTGGAAAAGTGTTTCGAAATGCACGTGATGCGGAGGTTCCACTGTTCTCCGGATTATGTTTAAGCACAGTACCAGCACATGCATGCCCAGGACTCTCCATGTACCCGTAGAATTGATTGTTTTTTACTGTTCGATGTCTGCTTCAGCTTGAACCACGTGTCACATAGAACGATCGATTCAGCGCCAGCGAACAACGCGAATGGCACCGTCGAGGCTGACAGTAACAATAATGGACAAACGGCAGCCAGTCTCCATCAGTTGCTGTACCCGTCCAACGAGGAGTATCCTCCGACCTCTTCCTCGGGGAATCACGTTTCCTCCTCCCAGCAAGTGAACGAACTCAACGAGGATTGCCGGTACGCCGACGACGAATTTCTTGAAAGGGTATTTTAGTCTGAACGTGGAAAAAGGGATCTACTCTACAAGTAGATCTTACACCTCATGGACTTTCGTGGCCTGATCTGACTGCCATACTGACCCGGAAATTTTTTGGCGAACTTAACAAATTTCAAATCGTTTTGGAAAAATTATTCTCGGTTGCAGGGGTCAATTACAATCATTTTTGGTGAATAGACATACCCCCGAAATCTTACGCACTTTCGAGAAAAAAATTCGACTAGGTGGACTTTTTCGCTAAAATTAAAACATTTGAAATCGTTCTAAAAAAAATTATTTTTGGTTGCAGCGATCAATTGCAATCATTTTTGGCGAATAAACATACCCCCGAATTCCTACGCGTTTTCGAGAAAAAAATTCCTTACCGAAAAAATAATTTCTGGCCAGAAATGTTGCTCTGAAATTTCATGCGTATATTTAAACAGTCATAACTTCTGGACAAATTGAATGTTTCAAATCGTATTAGGTGAACGTTGAATATTATTTTCCACAGCTTTCAGTGCGTTCTTGCCGCGGCCACGAGCATCGCGACGAAAGTCAACGAGGAGACGCTCACCTACCTAAATCAGGGGCAATCGTACGAGATCAAACTGAAGAAACTAGGCGACCTGTCCGCTTATCGCGGGAAAATTCTGAAGGTACGTTGCCGCTGCCACCTGTTCACGAGATTACCTCGGAATGCTCTGTTTGTTTGGGTAGCGACATCTTAAAAAACGTGCTTGTTTCTCACGGTGGAACCAAGTGAGCTCATACTGGTCGTGTAATCGTTCCAAGAATAGCTAACCTCCCTTTCGTATGAAAGGAACGATGTCGTAACAAGGAGACGAAATTTAGCTCGAGCACGACAATGCAACTTCAAAAGAAAAACAAGCCTGTTTAGGGACATTGCAATTTACTTACAATTACACGTGTGTTATAGTATTATCGTTTTATTGAAAGTTTTTTTCTTGGAGCTTATCTCTTCAAACGCAACCGATTGTATAATATGATGCATTTTGTGTACGACCAGCAAGCGTCTAGGTTCGTAAAATATTGTTCAAGCAGTCTGTATACCGGTTATTGTTCAGAGAATCGTGAGAAAAACATCCAAGTGTTCACCATTCTGATAACTCGTCACTGTATCGGCATGTAATCACTTTCATTCGGTGCGAGCTCATAGATTCTCGACGTTCGAAAGATGTACGACCCAAACGGTGCTACAACGTCTCTGAAGGGACATCCGACCTTTTTGTTTCAGTCGACGATACGCATATGCTTCCACGAGAGGCGACTTCAATACACGGAACGGGAACAGATGCTTGCTTGGCAACGCACAAGACCCGGTGAAAGATTGTTGGAGGTTGATGTACCCCTTAGTTATGGGATGGTGGACGTATGTCAACCGTCTCCGTCCAATAATAGCGTGGAATTCATGTGGGATCCTACCAAGGAAGTTGGCGTTTACATAAAGGTATATCAAATTGATTGAAGTGTGGTATGCATAATCATTTACTTGTCACAAAAGTGTATAAGAAAAAATATAAATGCTATCAAAAAAACTTGTCACCGGTAGTTTGAGCTGTTTTAAAGGAACTCTGTACCAATTTGCCTTTCAATAGCTTATAAATATTGCTTTTTGGCTCTTTATGAGGTCTAAGAGAAATGGCCCAAGCTGGTTCATCTTGTAAAATGTGTTAATGCTATCGACAGATCCACAAGTTGTTCCCTAAATAACGTTGCTCTTAATTTCTTGGGTTTCAGGTAAATTGTATCAGTACTGAATTCACGCCAAAGAAGCACGGCGGAGAAAAAGGCGTGCCATTTCGAATCCAAGTAGAAACACGGCTGCCAAGTGGACCACGTCTGCACGCCGCTTCTTGCCAGGTGAAAGTCTTCAAATTAAAAGGAGCCGATCGAAAGCACAAACAAGATCGAGACAAAATTTTGCGACGACCGCCGCACGAGCAGGACAAGTACCAACCAAGCTACGACTGCACGGTTCTTTCCGACGTAAGTGATGGATTTAACAAACAACGTCGCGAAGTGATGAAATGGCGTCTCTTGGTTCTGTTTACAGATTCCTTTAGAATCTTTATCGTCCACTTTGATAGCACAGAACGGAGGGAGTCCTTACGCTTCGACGGAGGCAGTGTGAGTACGAATTCAATTTGCGTTAAGCTTGTGCTTATACAACCCATATGAAAAAGACACGCAATTTTATGTACAAAACATGACTTGTTTATGCTTGCGTTTGATCAATGACATTCGATATTTTCAAATTTACTCGATTTGCGGTATCTGTTATCTCTGTATATGTATCTCTTACGTATGGTCGTCCAGAATTATTGCATTTATTAAAATTCGTGATCATTTTTCGTTCATCGTCACCGATGGTTCGACATAGTATTGCGCGCGAAATTTATTGGCACGCCTCCATTGTATCACGCCGACAATAATTGTTATTCGTTTCGTGACGCGCAAAGTTGTTTATCGAATTTTCCTTCGCCGCGTAAACTTTAACTGGCCCGTTCCGGATATCTCAAGTTTAGGTCGTTCGTCCAAACAAACAGTAATCTATATCAGTCGACCCGGTACCTGCAAACTCCACGAAGTGCAAAACTAAATTATATTCGAACAAGTATCAAACGAGCTTCTGTTTAAAAGTCAACGCATTAAAATGGCGACTTAAAATGATAATTTAGTCTGAAACTTAAAGAAGTCGATTTCTTTTATTCATATTCTTCTAAAAGTTCTTAAAACTGAATTTCGTATATATTTTAACATTGCACTTCGAAACGTTGAAACTATTTTTCCCTCCTTAGATCAGACTACCTCCCCAAGGAAAAGAAACAAAACGAATAAGATACAAATAGGGTTAATTCCTCGTACGATTTTTTGTTGAAGAGATACGTAAGAGTCGAATGACCGATTTCGGTTCAAAGTACTTTTGGAATCGCAATTTTGATATTCGGTAACGCTTCAAAGTCCGTTCATTCACGATGCGTTCACCTTCTCGTCGTCGATCATTCTAAATGCCCATAAATACCAGATCTGACGCAGGACCGACATTTTTTTCGAGGCCAAGTTATTTATAAGCATCGTTGTAAACAAGGAACAAAGAATCGCGTGTCCGTGTTGTTGCGCAAAAGGAGCCTCGAACTTTCAGATCGTTTCAAATGGTTAAGACAAACCACGCAATAAAATGCGAAAAGGCAGTCAACAATTCCCGAGCGATCGTATCGAGTTTCAGTAAATCGTAAACGATTATGAAAATATATTGAACTGTTTGCAAGCTTGATATAAAGTAATATTTAAGTCATTTTTATTCTGTTGTCTTGCACACAGATACTTGTCCAATAGAAAAATATTTATGCCAATTTTAAATTGCACGTTTAACGTTTATAGATTATTATTTATCGGAAAGAACCGAAATCATTACAATTTACATATGTTTTTATTTGTATATAGAGGTTTAATTTCCGTTAATAAATAAATAAATCAATATTAAGCTTGCAGACTATGAGGTTTCGTAATTTTTTGCAAGCAACCAATTACTTTAACTACTATTTTAATCATAAAAAAAATTGATTCGCGAATTAAAATTGATAAATGACGCCGTGGAAAAAAATAATTTCGGCATTTCAAAAAAATGTACGCCATGTTTGGATGCGCAACGGGCTGCGCACAACGCTCTCGAGACGCCTCTTCGATGAGAATTGCATATGCATGCAACGCGTCGCTCTCCTTATCGAGATTTAGAACGTGTACCAACTATATAAAACTCAGGATAACGTAGTTTCTGAATAGCTAAACTCTTGAAAATGTACAGATCGTATTACAAAAATTGCAATCTCTCAAATACTTAAAGAGTCGCAAGAACTTTCGTCAAACTTGATCCTCTCGAATTATCTTCAGCCGAAGAGATCGCTTAAACCTAACAGTACCGCCGGTAGATTAAAATTGCGTAGAGTAGGGAAACGTACGTTCGAGAGAAAAGATTACGGTACACGATGCACTGAACGAACAAAGTTGCAAATGCATTGCAACGTTGCCGTACTCTCCGAGGCACAGTGGTCGTAGAAGGGGAACCGCCGATGAATCGAAGATGAGTGGGGAAGGGGTAGAAACGGTTGGCGAAGTGGCGGCGATGGTAATGGCAATGGACGATACGGGGTTGGGGGATAAGGTTGGTGGTGGAGGAAGAGGAAGAGGAGGAGGAGGAGGAGGAGGAGGTGCCGGCACGGGAGTCGGGAAACTGGCTCGAACTGGCACGAGCCGGCATCTGGTAGAGCCGACAACGATGTGCCGAGGGAAAGAGAGAGACAGCCTCGACGACAAATAGATTCAGAACGCCACACGATACACGCGTCGCTGCGCAGCCGCTTCGGTTTTCGTTTATTCATCAGCCTGTTACGAAAATACGGGGAGTCGTTCGTCTTTTCGCGATATAATACAGGTCCGAGGACTGCGATTCCGTTTCGATTTTCTTCCCTTGTTCGTCGCTCCGATCTCTCACGGACGGGATCGCGACTTACGTAGGAGAGCGACCGTCGAGCGTACAGTGATCAAGATAGTCGACGGAAAACGGTATCGAGTGAGAGTCGCAGACATGATCTACCGCTGAGAGCGCATGTTTATAAATAAAGCGGTGATCGGTGACTGTCTTCTCGAGTGAAAATTCCCTGCGCTCGGGCGTGTTATTGTCGATTCATTACCGAGCGATATTTCCTACGAGCAATCGACGCGACGTTGGTTATCGTTCGTTTCCACGGCCTCGAGCCACTTCTGCCAACCAGAGAGACACGCGAGCACGACCTACGCCAGCTTTTCATCGGCTGGTCGACGAGAAGATCACGGGAAACGAATACCTTACGTGGACTGGTCAGTGTTATACCACCGGGGTGATCCACGAGGCTCTCGTGCACGATGCACGGAAATGAGTGCAACCAGTTACACCTTGTGAGATAATTTCTGTGCCGTTCGTTCGCTTGGATCGCGTCCTTCGGCGGATTCGGAGCATCGGGGAAGAAACGGATCGCTGCATCGACCGTGAATTTAAAAATAAATCGTCCGTGGACTCCAGAACGCGCTCGTTCGCTTCTCGAACAGAGAGAGGATCCGTTGTTCAGTGGACGGTAGCCGGTCACAGCAGGGTACAGCCGAACGATTTAACGGTCGAACGCGTGTAATGTTGTCACGGGAATCGCGACGACGATAATCGTTGCTCGCGGGCGTCGCTCTCCGTGAATCATTCGTGTTTCCAATACGCCGACTATAGCGCGATTACGACGGATCACCGTCATCGTCGTTGCACGGGACTGGCGAAAGTTTCCTATTGTCGATCGCGAATCGAATCGAGAGTGAAGCGTCAACACACCGTTGGAATGCCCTCGTCCGGCGTAGAAGCTCAATTTCCGGCCGTTCGTCCGCAATTATCACGTGCGTCGAATATCCTCGGTCTCGAGTCGTTGTTGAGCGTCGACGACCAGCGCGTGCTTGTGCGCGAGATCCTGGCCAGCCAGTTGCTCCTGTCACGGCAGGATCACTTCCTCAGATGACGAGCAGCCTGGCCGCCGGAAAGCTGATGCCAGGGCGGTTCGATTCAGCCTTGAACTGAACGTCACCGAGAGTGACTTCCGGGCCCGTTCGTTCTTTCCTTTAATCTTTCCGATATCGCTTGATATCGATCGAATCGGATACCGGGTTTCGTCGATCGCTACGAGGCTCGATCTAAGCGGAAACGCGAATCGTGAGTGGTGATCCCGAACCACCGAACCGAAACAACGCGAAGCGAGTACCAACGACGATTTCCTCGACGAGCAAGGATGCGATCGAGTAATTTGTCGGTCGGCGCACCAAGGACTCCTTCGGATTAGAATGCGTTTCGCGGACGCCGGTGATCGCGTCGCGTTCGTTTCTTGAAGACGATTAAAGAGGAATCGATACATCGAACGTGAACAGATAATGTCTCATTGAAGAGGATCGCTGCACGAATGTAACGAGATAGGGTTTTGTTATCGTCGGAGGATCGAGGATTTGAAAAGTTTCACGCGACAACAGCCGACAAAGCCGTTACTGGAGATATCCGGTTTCGAGCAGACGCGCGTACCAATAGCGATCTGATTCATACCGATTGTATCCGGCGTCGACCTTCTGGTCCGCGAATCGAGACTTTCGAACGAACCGATTGGCTCGCAGTCGCGAATGAGGTACAAAGCTGATCGCGCCTCGAACAAGGCCCGGGATACGACACGAGGGGCACCACGTTGCTTTCGATCGTAATGTGGTCGCCGATAGTCGGAAGGTGAACCGAACGTGGAATTAACGATCGTCACTAAAATTCGTACGAATGGATGGAAAGGCAATTCGGGGTTCCTGGAACGTTCGCGCGGTCAGATTGCATGCACTCATGAAAGAACGAGTGAAGAGGCGAAAGAAAGCATTCGCGGGAAACACGAGCACGAGATAGTACCGGAGAACGCGAAACTTGCACGAAAGTGAGAGATCTTCGGGTAATGCCAGATGGAATTTAAGAGACGAGTACTCGAGATGCCAAAAAGCTGTCCCAGTTGGAAGTTGAAGAGCTGCTGGGCCGTTAGATCGACGCCCGGGTTTCTCAGCGATGTCTCGACTTACCTTCTGGAGCACGAAGTAACAGTCACCGGCGGCCCCCTGCAAGTGGAAGTGGTGGCTAAGTTTATTCATTCTATTTCGGAATCCAGATCGAGAAGAGGTAATCTAATGCGCGGCGGATTAGTCAGCCTGACGATAAGGAAAGGCCGAAAAAACAGGAGGATCGACGGGAAGCGAATCTCAAGGCTGATCTTCCGCTCGAGGAGTCGCGCCATGTAAGATTCCGAGCGTACGAAATTTCGTCGGTATCGAACAAAAAAAAAAAGACGATAAAAGAAAAAGTAACGCGACGGGGGTACGAAAATTCCACTGATTCGCGTGTTTCGCGATCTCGCGTGATTATGTAACCCGCCAATAAGTTGGACGACTTTAAGGTCAACGATTAAACTACATTATTTATTCCGTCGCGCTTCGTTTCGAAACGGAGCGCTCATTATGAATAATAGTCCCTCGTTCTCTGATAGCTCGACAAGGTCTGACGACTAATAATATTCGCACACCACTATAGGTTGCGGTGTCAATTATTAACCGTGTTTGCTTTCATTGCGCCTAATGCCGTTAATTCGCGCCGTGCGCGTACGTCAATCTTCCGTAACGTCTGCTCTACAATGTATCCTCGTTGACGAATGCAAAACTGCTCGCGCGTTAAACTAGCCAACTTCGAACTTGTACGCGGTCGGAATTGAGAGTAGTCGGATTGGACGGATGATAATTGTTCTTGCAATTGTACCGGACACCATATTGCCTCCAATCTTATCACATTCGCTGCCCACTACCATAGTTTCTATCCATAGTTTCTATCAAGATCTTTGTTATTATAAATACATTTATTTAAAAAAAAAAAAAACAAAGAATATAAAATTGAAGATTTTTATGGAAAATAATTTGCGGACAGCAAACGTGTTGGAAAAATGTTGCTAAAGGTTGCTCTGTTCTTGTAGATCACCCCAATTTATTTAAAAAAAAAACAAAGAATATAAAATTGAAGATTTTTATGGTACACGGAAAATAATTTATGGACGGCAAACGTTTTAGAAAAATGTTGCTAAAGGTTGCTCTGTTCTTGTAGATCACCCCAATTTATTTAAAAAAAAAAACAAAGAATATAAAATTGAAGATTTTTATGGTACACGGAAAATAATTTATGGACAGCAAAACGTGTTAGAAAAATGTTGCTAAAGGTTGCTCTGTTCTTGTAGATCACCCCAATCTCGCTCGACCATAAGCGGCAATACTTCGCCTGTGGTTGCACCGTTGGCACTTTCTGTTTCCAATCCCGGTATCGTACCGCTGGTCCCTGCCTCGGACGCCGTCAAGGAAAACGTGGGAACAGCACCAGCTCTGCCATCGCCCGCGGCACTCTTGCCAGATCAGTCCTGCATCAAAGCAGAAGTTAGTTTGCCCGCACAGAATTCTGACAGCCCGCAGCAACTGGTACCGATGAAAATCCAAAGGGTATATAAAATTAACCCAAATATCTGGTGCGATCCTAAAGGAAACTCAAAACCATGGAGTAAAATTTCTTTATTAACCCTTTGCACTCCTGTGTGGAGCGTGACTCGACATCGGTTCTTACGTCAGGTGCTCCTTTGTCGAGTCATGCTCGACATTTTTTCAAATTCAAACCAATAGAATTCAATTTCATTTTCATGTAATCCGAAAGAAAGCATAAGGTTTGTGCAGTTTGCTCAAACAGAGAAATACCCGAAGGAAGAAGGGAAATCAATCTTTTTTTCTTGCGAAACAAGTTTCAAGAGATGTCATACGCTTGAAAATTACAAAATACAACATCAGTGTAAATTAAGCAGATATTTGATTGAATTTGTTTAAATTGCTTTATTTTTTAGTTAACGTAAATTTCAAGTAAAACACTTAAAAGCGTTGGGAGTTGCTAGTAACAAAATTGAAATATAATTTGGAGTGCAAAGGGTTAACATTTTACCGGCCAGTAGCGGTTGACCCTATGTGCTTTTTCTTGCGTCTATAGAAATGTTAAATAAAACTTTCTGTTACTGCGGAGGTAATTATTTTTATTTTTATGAAAGTCGATTGATAGGATACCCGGTTGGTAAAGTGTTAACTTCCCTGGGTTGTACCATAGATTTTGGAATAATTTTATATATCGACTAATGTAAGAGATAACGTCGTCTTGGAAGATAGCTAATTGTTTTGTTTTAGAATTCCCTGAGATAATTATTTGAGAATAAATACCTTCTTCGAGTTCTGTTTCTTCGGTAGATTAGAATTGCTCTTGATCTTGAATAATAGGGGTATAATTGGATTTAGGGATCGTCGTATTTGGCACCATTGTCACCTGATGCTACCGCGACTCAGACGAATACGTGGCTCCGTGCCGGTCGATTCAGCGCCTTCGAATCAACGTTCGCGAGTTTCTCGGCCTCGGATATATTGCGACTTTCTCGAGACGACTTGATCCAAATCTGCGGTCTGGTCGATGGCATCCGATTATTCAACGCGCTCCACTCGAAGGCGCCAAACCCGAAACTTACCCTGTATTTCTCGCTGGAAGACAACGGTTCACTGTGGAGGGTCGCCTACTTGGACAGCTTGACTAGCAGCGCCTTGATGAACAAGCTCCTGAACACTTTAAAGTTACCTCATGATCGACTTCATTCTGTGCTCTTCCTTGGCCCCCAGGGTATCCACGTTTTAGTTACCGATGAATTGGTAGCGAACATGAAAAACGAGAGCATGTACTTCGTTGAAACTATCAAAGGTAAGAGGGGAAAGTGCTTCTTTTCCACTCTTCAACATTTCACAAATTCGATCACGTTCTTTGTTGTTGCAGATAACGCGAGCGAACGATACAAGCTACTATTGAAACCATCGTCGCATCCTTAAAGCGTACATCGATTAATAAATTAATTGCAAAACTGGGTAATACAAATCTACCATAGGTTTTACATTGCCAAATGCATCTGTGATTTGACGGAAAATTGTTACATAGGGAAGCATAAGGGCGTTTATTACGCAAACATAAATTTAATAGAATTTTATCTTTTTCTATGCGTAAATTACGTTGGAAATTTTAGGAAAATTTTAGAAAAATTTTTTGGAGTCGTTTAGTTATTTCCCGATACAAATCGTACAGATGAACGTACGTTTAATTTTTAGTTAATGTTAAATAACTGCGCGGTCGTTTTTAAATAAATAATTTTCTTTTTAACGGCGATAGGTTCAACGAATATAATGACTTGTTTGCAAACTAAAGGAAAAGAAGGAAAATCAATTCTTACTCTATATTTAATACTCATTAGAAGGTTTCAGTATAATCATGTTCCGAAAGTTATTTATACTTTTGACATTAAACAAATGAGTTGTTTTCAGCATTACAAAAATACATATGTACATATAACAGATATATATTTTATATGTATTACTTTACATGGAATTCAATGAATTTTCTTCCGATTTTTTTCGTAGGTTTTAAGCAAATCATTTTTAGTTTTAAACATACTTAGGAAATATTTACGTCGCAGCGACGAACCGCTGTTACTCAATTTTTGTGCCACGAGCAAATCTGCAAATCTAGTTTGCGAAATATTATTGTTGTTACGATTATTCATCAGCGTCGAATCTGTTATTATTAGGAGTTTACGTATGTTAACCGAAGCGTTGACGATACTGCTGATGAATATGATCTCTATTTACACAAAGTGTAATATTTTTTTTTTTTTCTACAAATTACAACGATGTTATGTAGCCGAATAAGTCTGAAAGAATGCAAAGCGTGTATTACTGTTAGGAATGAAATACAGTACCGAAGGTTCTGTTCTTCGAGATTAAACAAAGTGTCTTTAGAACAAAATATAAGTGCCTTTTTTTTTTTTTATTAGTCAAACATTAGAATCTATTTAATAAGCGCTTGACAGTTATAAGAGGAATGATTATTATCTTATCAAAACGAGGGACAAAGTGTCTATTTTATCTTGTAGTTCAAATTGAAAGAGAAATGGCAAAATTTTTTAATTGTCTTGGAAAAACGCGTGAAGTACTATAACCTATTTACCAAATGCTAAATCGTTATTTTCCAAAATTTTACGTCACACGTCGGTGTTTATGGTACGACTGCTGACAGTTCTTCTTTAATTTTCTCCTTGTATATTTTATTTACGATTGAACTGTAAAACATGGTTAATACGACGCGTAACGTATAAGGACGTATCGTGTAACAATTGAGAAGATTTTACGTGTGCTATACGCTCGAAGGAACTGTCTAACTGTAGTGTATTTTAATTTAAACTTCCACAGTGACACACGGAAGTTCGTGCGCATATCAGGAAACTGCATGCAGTATAGTCCGCTAGAAATTTCCATGCATGTTATGTATGTCACAAAACGGCACAATAAATAATGCTCTGATGCCAAAATATTCTGGTATTATCTGCGTATTTATCATCCACTAAACGACTAAAATTTTTACTCATAAATATATTTTATTTAATAAAATAGAATAAGTCATAATAAAATGTAGATCGTATTTTATCGTACATTAAATACGATTATCCGCAAAACGACGCAATGTGTCTGCGTAGCGCGTACGTGAACGTTGTACATTATATTTTCTTGCACTGTATCCGATGACGCGACATCCTCCGTGATTTTCGTCCGGTTTACTTCTTCTTCTTCAGCTCTTTATTTTTCTTCTTCTCTTCCCGCTTCGCTTCTCTCTCCCTCAGACATTTGAACAGTTTGTAAACGAAGAAAACTGCAATGACAAAAACGTGCATTAATAGTCCAACGGAAGAACAGTTGTAAAAAAAATTGCAAATAATGGCACTACGGAGCGAACGTAACGTACCAAGCACAGAAACAATCAATAGCACAGCGAAAAAGAAAACGGTATACGAGTGGGAGTACAGGAATCGCGAATACACATTCGAATCACTTTTATTTTCATCCTGCAAGGTATCCTTGAGCTTTACAAACGCATCGTTCAAGAATTGCTGTTTCTCCTCGTCGCTTAACTCTTGGTATCGTTGAAAAATACTTGACAGTTTTTCAATACCATTCTCCGGAATAAATTGCATCAACTTTTCTTGAACGTTGCCGGTCAACACACCTTTGCTACGCAAAGTGTCCAAAATTTTCTGCGCCATGTTTCGAACGCTCGAAACGAGAGAAGAAGCCACGAAATTTTCTTGCGACTACGAGACGGCAATCTTTAAACCGTAACACCCGATTCGTTTAGAAGAACAATGTTAATCTGATTAAATAACTGTTCGCGAGCGGTAGTTAAGTAGTCGATTAGATAACAAGCACCACAGCGAACGAACTGTAATCGCAATAGGTGTTCGAACTGCGACTCTCGGCCGTGATTGCTATGCAATATCGCTGATAAAACGAAAAAAAAAAATTCGCTTAATCAGCGTGAATCTTGTCGACGTAGCCAAGACAAGAGAAAACAGAACTCGACTTTATTTCTTGCGCGACGCAACTTATGTTAAATCTTGAACCGAACAAAGGCAACACGTTGTAACAGAAGTCTGGACTCGTTGGTCCAGCGCGCAGCAAGATATTTACCGAAAATTAGAACGACTACGCTCAGTAGGGACAAGAGTATCAGGGTCTGCATGGTTGGGTCATTGCTGGCTGCGACCGGCATAGCGTCTCCTTGAATATTGTTCATCAAGTCTTCCTTGAGACTCGCTTTTTCCTCGTCCGATATGCCGGTCATCGAATCGAGCATATCGACAAGTTCCTGCGCCGTTGGAAGGGTTCCATCAAAGGCTGGGATCGCTTCGGATGGCAAAGATGCATCAGCAACTGCATCGGAAACTGCTTCGGAAACTGCTTCGGATACTGTTTCGGATACTGTTTCGTAAACTGCTTCAGACGGCAAGGGTGCATCAGGATACACTTCTGGCGCAACATTGGGCACAACATTGGACGGAACATCGGGTACAACATTGGGCTCGACATAGGGCGCGACGTTTGGTGCGTCGTTAACGTCCATGGACGCGACACCATGAATCCCGCTCGCAAGTGCCATCCACATCCTAATTAAAAACATCTGTGATTCAGCAACGGGTTTCAGGCGATCGTCTCAAAAGACGCGTCGTCCAATAGAAGATTAGATAACGATATTTATACGCGGACACCGATAGTGGACGTACCGTGAACCGCCATATGTTTCTCCGCGATGCTTTAAGAACAATGCATAATATCGAGCACGTCTAACCAGTATGACAAAACAATCGCTCCAAGGTGAGAAAATCTATTTTTACCGTTCCATTGAAAATATTACTCATGTGCGTTTCACGGCCAATGATCTTTAACGAATTCAAAATTACTTTAATCCTACGGTTTGGTATTATCTTGAGAAATATAAAATAAATCCAAGGACAGCTTATAATCATTAGATTATGAATAAGAATCGAAACCAATCTCTTCGTTTGTGTTTAATAAATTTATGCAAAGAATAAATCTATACAGCAACGTGTAAAAATAAAAAACAATATATTCACAAAGTAAAGGAAACTGTATTATATTCGGTTGTAAATATTGTCGCTTAATTTTCGTTACATTTTTTTCTAACATACGGTCACACGCGAGTATAGGAAGAAAGAAAATCGATACGAGCCTATAATTGAATAGTTATTGTACGTCCTTGCATTTATTTTTTTTATTGAAAATAATACTAAACCGAAGAGTCGAAATGTAAAGAAGTCTTCGTTTGTTATATCCACGTAGTCCACTACCGATTACTTTAGCGTATTGTTCACGGTGTATGAACATTGACTAACTGGCATACCTGTAAGAATTGCTCTGTCGTTCAAATAGAGAAAAATACAGCGGTCCAAAAAACACTTGTTACAGATGATCGAACAGTGGAGAAAGTGGGCGTAAATGTTAGGAGACTGTGCACTCTCGTGGAAGATAATTGCTCACTAAGAAGATTGCTCGCGTTTGGCGGGAAGATAAGCGACGAGCAGACGTTCGGATGACGATTGGCCGATTCGAACGAGAATTTTTATCTTATTGGTAGCAGTGCATGCGTCGGGCCAACGTGGCTGCTTCCAACGTGTTAAACGAGAAGCCACGAAACACAGGTTAATCTACGCTGACCGACCTGACCTTTACGACGTGTAAGACGAAACGCGTTAGGCAGGCGCGTTGCGTTTCTTATACGTCACACGAACGCTACAATGTTCGTCTCGACCGTTGGTGGGATCTCGAAGCCACGTACACGATTAATTCGCGTATCGAAGTCGATGCCGTCTCAGAATGCATATACGAAACAGCCAAGCAGGTACATCTGTCTTGCGTGCTCAAGTAGATCGAGTACTTAAAAAATTTGCCAAACGACAAGATTAATAAACCTCTCCAACGATACATCGAAATGTCAGTAACTGGATAAAGATAAGCGTAATGTACCGATCCTAAGTAAGTAATCGTATGTTGGAATCATTTGTCGTATGTCCTTTCCTTCCCCCTGCATCGTCCAAGTAACTCGACACACTGTCTTTACTACATTGCAATTTTAAGAAACCCACTATGATTTCAAGGATGAACAGTTTTTTGAAACAATTCGGAAATATAAATTTTGTAGAATGCATTTGACACGTGTGGTTAACGAATTTGTAGCCTCGTAGCAATACAAGCACGTGGCACGTACGTAACATTTCAAATCGTTGAATCGGGACGCATCAATTACGTCGCTATTCGTCGCGTCACGCTATATTCATAAATCTGAATCACGTGCAACAGCGTCAGGTGTTTGACCCGAGATAACTAGGTTCAAACCTGTTGCCTCCGACGAGCACTTCTTAATCGAACAGTGCCGGATCGATAGCTTTCAAACAAGACTCGTCGTTTTCTTAGATTAGATGTATGTAAATAAACTGTTGTGGAAACAATAGTTCCTACTTCATTGTCACCCTAACATAAATAAACAAATAAGAGTCAATTTATGTTATCCGTTTAGAGACGTTCCGTATTCGACAAATACAATTAATGGAAAGAAGAACGGTATATAATGTATGTATATCTTTCTTCTACTCGTCAATTGTATTCGTCGGAAACGAATCGTGCCTGAACGGGTAATATAAATCGATCTTAGAAGCCGAAGCAGAAAAAGCAACAAAATTATTTGACACTAACGAGAAACCATATGTTTTCTAGAGAAGGCGTTATTCGTATACAGAGAACGTTAGATGCCGCGCTTTCCACAAGTGATTCTTACCGGCGAGCCCGATGACGATAATCGCAGGAATTATGAAAATGACATTGCCGAAGCTGTGCTCGATCGGGCCGTCGGAACCTCCGTTGAGATTCACCATTTCGTGGCACGATAAACTATCAACGAATTTCAAGGACAGATACGTCTAGCGGCTGTCTACGTCTAGAACACGTGTCACGATAACGCCATCTAGAAAACAATGGACGTTGCTTTGAGGTTAGCGTTCCATGGGCTAACGATACATTGTTTTATGCTTTAAAATATTATCTAATAACATTGTAACTCGTTTAAACAATAATCGTTTCTTCGGAGAATTGAATTTTGGCCAGTTTCTTTGCGGTTTACTTAATTGTGTAATGCTATTGCTATAATTTTCAAATTTTCTGTTATATTTAATCAAATATATTACAATAAATAGAACAACCTAATTTATAGTATACTGTGAATAACAATAGATGGTTTATGTATTTCATTAATGCTTTACTCACTTTACTTTGCAAAAGAATCGAGATAATCGTTTAAGTACCGCGGTCCGGAAGCTAATAACCAACATTTATATTCGATCATTTACACGAACTAATACCCATAATTTTTAATAAAAATAAGTAAATATTTTGAACGAAAGTAATCGACCATAATTATACAAAAATGTTTTGTAACAAATTGCCTTAATAAATAAAATATAAGCCAAGCAACTTATTTACTTAAATCATGGTGTTTCAGTACTAAGAAAAGCGCGGTAAAATGATCTGCAGAAAAAATCCGTTGCCATCGACCAGTCTGCTAGCCATTGTTACAGTGTCCTTTGAATCGTTCAGGTGAGACATCCTGAATTTCATCATGCCAATAGTAAATGGTTCAAAGGTATTAAAATTCGCGAGGCTAACCGATAAAGCTTACGCCCCTACGAAAGGATCGAAAAGTGCTGCGGGATATGATTTAAGAAGGTACGTCATCATATTCTATCTTTTACAGGGACAGTCTACGGAATTGCGAATATTATACTTATTTATTTAACAGTGCTTACGAGTACGTTGTGCCAGCACGTGGTAAAAATCTAGTTAAAACTGATTTACAAATCGAAGTTCCTCAAGGTACGTATGGACGAATTGCACCACGTTCTGGACTAGCATGGAAAAATCATATCGACGTAGGCGCCGGCGTTATTGATGCTGATTATCGGTGAGTCTTATTTGTTATATTTCGCTAGATAACAAATCTATAACGACGCAGTAAGCGATCAGTAAATTCAGAGTGTATGCACAATAGTTGTATGAAACTGGAAGCAATTGGTTAGATAGAGATTTTTCTGAATGAGTGTCGTGTTTAAAAGTTCTAGTTAGTATTTGAATGTGTCTATTACACATTCATACATAAGATATTGAAGTCTATACTTCTGTTAATACAGGGGAAATTTAGGAATTGTGCTATTTAATCACAGCGATGAGGAATTTAAAATCTCTCCAGGAGATCGTGTAGCACAATTGATATGTGAAAATATTACATATCCTGAACTTCAAGAAGTTGATAGTTTAGATAATACGGAAAGAGGAGAAGGAGGGTTTGGTTCAACAGGAAAGAACTAGATTAACACTTTTTTTTTACATGACATTGTTATACATTTATACCAACAAAGTACTAATATCTGAATAAAAATGTTTATTTCTAATGATTCTTCAAGGCATTAATATGCCACAATAAAATATCAATTAATAATGATTTATAATTTTCCATTAAGACCTATTTGCAACGATGGTGTCTTTATCAAATTTAATATTCTTTTAAAATCCTTATGCTTTGCATCTCCCAATATTTTGAAAATAACATTTTCTGAAGTTGCTATGTGACATCCTATTCCTCTCATTCTCTGTCAAAATAACAGAAATTACACGTAATATGTACCTGTATTAAGTCTGCATTTATTTTATAAATGATTTTTATTTTACCTCTAAAGCTAATAATCTATCTTGTTGGATACGGGAAGAGCAGCAATCTGCAACAATATGTACTTCGTATCCTTCATTTTTTAGATCAATTGCAGTATTCTCTATGCATACATGCGTTTCTACGCCAATTAAAATAATTGCATTTGGTTTCTGTCCAGAACAAATTGTAGAGAGTTCTTTAATTACCTAAAATGAATGAAAACATAAGAAATAAAATAAACTTAGCATAAGGTTCATGTGCACTCAACAAAAAAATAGTATAATTTGGTTACTTCGTGTGTACACATGCTAAATGAAGTTTTTTCAAATGGTCCTTTGGCACCAGAAATGTCAAATTCAGGAATCGTTTTTCCTAAACTATTTGGATTTTGTTCAGTGACTATCATAGGAACGTCCAAAATCTTCAATGCATTTATCTAGATACATTAATATAATTTCTGTTAACTGATTATAAGCTAAGTGTATTGCAAATGTCATTTTCCTTTGACTATTGCAATTTAGTAACACAAATTAAAAAACATAAAACTATTACATATTTCTGAAATTTATTTCAAAGACATTTTATATGCATAACAATGAACACATAACCTTTAATCTTTCTATATACACAGACATATATTATACATTAACGTCTAGGGTCTATTGAATCGTATAAGTGATATTTTTAGTAATTACCAGTTTTGTCGAATTCTGAGTAACTTTATTGGATTCAAAGATAGCCTTCATCAGTTTTTCTTGAACGTCGCATATTAGCAATACACTTTTACCCTGTTTTAGAATCGCTTTTGCAGCATTCATTGTCTTTTTCTGTAATAATAACTACTTCAAAGTTTAAGACGAAGTTGTAATGTCTATTTCGTCACGGGAAAAAATTTTTCGTGAAAGTACCGGTAACAAATAAGTCTACGACATCTACGACTTTCTCCTGCCAAGTAATGTGTTTTATGTAACGCATATGATATGTATCTATGTATATTTCTCCGTTATCTAAAGTTCATGGCCAGTCTTAGCTTTACTAACTTTAGATATGTTGCATTTCATCGATTTTGAAGTGCCCCTCTCGATGCGCAAGCGACATAATTAAGCGTGCAAGGGCACCGTAATAAATGTTTGTTTAATTAGGAAAACAAGCAAGATTAACCTAGTAGGACAATCTTTTACGCAACCCTGAGTTATCAATTGATAACATTACTGCATGGCGTTATCACTATTTGCTATACGATAGATCATGTATTTAAGGAATATATTATGAAAAGTCAAAATAAATACGACATTACTATAGACACTATATTACACGACTTTTATAGATTAAAAAGGTCTCTCAAATATATGAAATGCAATTGTGCATTGCACGTTGTTTCAGAAGACATACTTTTGCTGCAAGTACGAATCGTGACTGAAACGAATAATTTACCATAACCGTATAATTCTTATGCCTTGTCGGTGTTCCGTTATCTATGGGAAATTTTATGCGTGAAATGCGAACGTACACCGTCGGCATTAATTTGTAAAACATATTTTCTAATACGCATTTCGTGATGTATGTTTAGTGATTTAAATCGACTCGTTTGGCGCGTGCGTAGTATGTACTGCAGCGACCCAGGTGCGACTCGACTCGAACGTGAGAAGGCCACATAGAGTGGCAGCAGCGACCGGCGGTAGTCAAACAATGTTGTTCCGGCTGGTCGGATGCACGGGTTCGTTTCGAGTTTGTCAAGCTGATTAAGCTGATAGAACCAAATCGGCAACGATGTTCGCGTACGGTTTGTCGACTGAGGAATCGCTGACGTTTTAACGATCGAAGTAACAAGCTCTGCATTCCGTTGAAAAGAAATTCTCGTATCCGTGTAGTTTTAGCGAGACGAGTTTGTAAACAAAGAATGGCCATGGAGCCTCGTGAGATCGGGCATACGAAGCCGCTGGTGCAGCTTTTTCCAAAAGCATCAGAGTGCGTGTACACGAGTTGTTATTGGTAAGTGTTCAGCGAAATTCGCTCGAGTTCCCTGTCGTGCGAGTAATTATCGATTTGATGAAATAAACGTGTCGTATTGCGGTATATCCCGCGATGGATCGATACGTTGCAGTGGTACAGAGACGGCAGTGCGAAATGCCGCCGCCATCTTTAATATGTACAAAGTACCCACGAATCACAGCGCATCGTCTGCTCGGCTTTGAAAAATACCGCGCGTTCTGTGCTCTCGTTTTTCAGCAGAACTTGCAATTTTATCTTTTGTTATCGTTGTTCGACGAGAATATACGAGTGTACATGTACCTTCGATTAATAATGCATGCACGGCACTAGTGGATAATACATATGAAGCTATCGTGCCTCGCCTCGCACGAACGTACGATGGATTTTTAACGACGGACATGCATTGCTATCCTAGTTCTATTTTAATCACCCTCCGCGTATCCAGCTACCTCATTTCCATTCGCTATTTCGCAAAGCTTTGAATGCATTTATTTTATCAGTTGCACCATCTATCATCCGCAATTAACAATATTTCTTCGCGTAGCTTACGTTTGCGATTGCCTACATACGTTTCGCGAACGTTCTCCGCTAGAAACGTTTGCGTCTGGGTTTTCTTTGTTTGCATACCGTTCTGTTTAAATTTGATGAGCAGTCTTAAAACTCGAATGTAGATGATTCTTACCAGGGGTTGTAATCGTTGCCTAACTCGAGTGAAAACTTGGGTTACCGATTCGAAGTTAGCGTAAATCCACAAACAGTGGAAAACACCGATTTACTTGCTTAGAATGCGTTTTGCATATTTTGCATACATTCATTTTTGAATAATAATTTTGCCGTTCTGAATATATTGCAAATTTATACCAACAAGGAACTTAAATACACGTATTGCACCAAAATTAATTAATTTATTTTTAACTTGAGTTCTTATTACATTTTTAATTTGCACTACTTTGTTAGTAAGAACATTGCAAATATTATTAATTTTAATAATGATTAGAGCTAAAAAGTAGAGTTTTATTGATTATATTATGGTAATTGTATTAAAGCAATTCTGATACAATTTCTTTTTTACAGTTTTTGCATTTTCTTCTGCTTTGTATTTATAATGAGTTCATTCATATGATTATACCGCAAGTAATGTGTAAGATTGACAGCATATGTTTCCTTAAATTTGAAAAAAAGTTTCATTTCATTTGTAATTAACAGAATGTTCTTACCATTAATACTTAAAATATAAGTGTAATATAAACGTTATCTATTCGGAAGCGAGATAACTTATTTCTAATTTTATTCTATATCCTTCGATAAGACGTATGCATTTTTCAACCGTTGAATCAAAAATAAAAGTGTCGATGTAGAGCGTACTATCGTACAGAGAGCAATTGATGAAAAAGGAGGCCAGCTTAAAGCGTGGTAAATTTATTGTGATTTTATACACGTATCATGCTATCGACTGTTTTTTGTTCCACGGTCTATTGTCACTTTACCATTTCGTATTTATACTTCTCGGATTACCAACACACTAAATCGTTGCATACATACCCACACTCACCACAGACGGGCAAAATTTTATTCATACAATGAATGACGAATAAAAACAATGTGCATCGGCTTATTCTTGACATTTATTCGATCGAACTGTTACCGATATACGTTTAACTGCGTCTCGCATAAAACAACGTATAAGTATCTTAAATTATAGGTTTTAATCAACGAGTAACTGATAGAACGTTGCTTATTATCTGTTCGATATTTTTATCTAAATTCGAACGTTAATTAAGAATCGGATCTGGTTTGGGCCTCGATTACAATTCCTGACTTATACCGAACAAGCAGATTGGGAATGGAAACTGAAATTCACGATTAAAAAGAAATATGTTGCCTCGACATTTTCCATTTATTTTTCCGAGAGAGGATCGTTCCTTTTTCTATCGTAGCCAACGCTTGCTTAGCCACATTCTCCACTCCTCTTTTACCTGCGTTCATGTTGTTGCACTTCGTTGCGTCATATTTTCATCAAAGCACACAAACGTTTTGTTGTTCCTTGTACACATTAGTCTGCAAGAAGAAATTGTTATTTTAGCGAGGAAAATGTATGGAAGCTGTGCCAGGACGTAGCCACGAGACACGGATCGGAAATAAATCATTGCTACGTTGCTTTCGTGAGCAACCCCTGGCGTAGCGTACCGCTATGGCGACAACGGGCAGGAAAGGACGAGGATAAGCTCGTTGTTTGGGTCTGTTAGGAAACAAAATATGTGTAGTGTCTCGTTTAAGGGGTCTTCCTGCTGTAGACGTACGAAAAACGAAGTTTAAAAAATCTTTTTTTTGAAGATACCAAATTAAGATTGATCATTGTATTTTAAGTATATTTTTTAGTACATTTAACAATATTTTGGTCAATTTCGTTCGGTGAATAGGCTTAAGTATCGTTTTTTAGTTAACTTTAGTTAAGTTCATTAGTATATCTTGGACGGTTTAATCGTAACTTGTTTAAAATTTGAGAAAAGAGTGTTTGTGCACGGTTCATTTTTGCTTATACGTACATCTAATCAGCAATAGCAGCATACACATAATAATTCTGCTTCCTCATACAATACTTGTTTAGTAACTACAGCTTCTTTTTCGAGGAATTCTGGTCTTTTTGAAAATTCCACGATTCTTTTTCAGACGTGCTCGTATGGCGCGCGTTTTTTTTTTTGAGGCTTAATTTGTACATTCATAAACGTTCTAAGCCGTGGGAAAGTTCATATACAGGATGTCCAAAAAGGTTGGGACCAAACTTGTACCTCGCGTTACTGAGGTCAAATGGATGGAAAAAGTTCATATGAAAATCTTGTATCTTGTGAATGAAGCATTTCCGGATATAAGTTTATACGAACTTGTTTATCTATTTGGTCCCAAACTTTTTGGACACCCTGTATATGGAAAAGAAAGACGGATAAAAGTGAGCTAGTTCCTTTAAAGCGAACCTCCCTTCATCAGAGGAACAGTCTGCTCGTTTGTTTCATTTTTCGTAGCAACTACTCATGGATTTTAAGAAAATTTATGAATTTGTTTATAAAAGTACAGACACCAGTTTTCGGACTCGGAAGCACCGCAGTACTTAACCCAGCTAAATAAAGATGATAAGTAGTCTATCCTGTTCCTGATATACAAGATGTGCCATTTAACTGTATCAAATGACTTTACCTGTAAACTATTTATTGTGTAAAAAAAAATGTTTTGTTCATACAACAAACAGTTCACAAGCAAATCCAGATAACACGGTTAAATCACTCATCTGGTATACAGAACAGAATAATGGCGGTTCGAAGAAGCAAACAAAAATATTTTATAAAACTATCTAAGTCGAGATTGTCAAAAAGTTTTTCGATTACGAAATTACAATTATGTAGTCGATGGATTGGAAGACTGTAATAAAATTTAGAAAAATAATCGTTTTTTTTTTTGGAACCTCTATACTAGGGAGACCCCTCGAGCCCATCTGCTTAGCGTCGGAATAGCTACGGGGAAAGAGCAACGTGTTTGTTTGTTGTATCCGTAGGACTTCCACGTAATCTTTATCTATGCACCCGACGAAAGGGCGGTCGTGTACGATTTAGATAGCGTGTTGCCGTTTCCGACGCATTTCTGGAAGTACGCGATGGAAACGTTTAGATCCGACGAGGTGGTGCCGCCGGAGCATCACAGAAGATTTAGAGTATTGCCAGCCAGCGTATACTTGCGAGAGTTCGCGTCAGATCGGCATCACATGAAACGCGAGGATGGTACATGGATCAAGACTCCGCCGGATTATCCGCCGATCTCAACACCAAGTACGTTCAATGGAACAGGTTGACCCCATTTACATCCGCCATTGCATCCATCGAAAGCAACATTTACCCGTACTCGCGTCTCTTTCCACCATTGGTTAACCTTTTTAAACTCACGGCACAATTTACAATAGTTACTCTCAAGTGAATAACAAGATTTTGCTTCGACACGTTAAGGAGGAGATTCTCGTGTAACAGCGTATTAAAATTCCTTTTCCTTTTTAATTTTTTAAGAGCTCTATTGTACTAGCCTTTTAGGAACCTGAAGAAGGACCCTTAAACTGTACGAAAATATTTTTTTAGTTCATTTTTTATCATTTTTGGTTAAATAGTTAATTCTATTGGACGATGTAACCATAGTTGGTGTACAAAAATTTTCTTAAAGCTGGTTGGTTTCCATCGGTTCCGATCCAATTTTAAACAATATTTTAAATTTGGTTGAACGGGTTTTCAATTGTAAATAAACATAGAAGTGAAAAAAAGAATTCTTTTCAAAAGTTGAAGAAATGCTTCGTGCACGGTGAACAGGTCATTTCGGCAGAACACACACATTTCCTATGAAAAATTGGTGAAACTACCGCTCGTTTTGGGCCTGACGCAGCGTAAACGAGCATCATTTCTTATCCAACATGTGCATTTCTGTTTGCATACGTTCTAGGATGCAAGGATAACTTGGATACCTTTATCAACACGGATCCAGAGACCGGGTTGGGGGTCGTGTTGACGTTAGAGAAACTATTCGACCGGTTTCATAGGCCGATCGCGAACCCATCGGTCCCTCGTTCACCCCAGCCACAACCGACACCGACATAAACGTGCCGCTTAAGTAAGTTCCGCAGGGTGACGATCGTTTTGCTTTGATTTCGAATGTCAAAATCAATTGTATGGCCTAAGGGAATTGGTTGGCGCATGTACCTTCACGAGCGGAAACATTGGGTCATAATCGGATAATTATGTTTGCTTAACCGTTGCTCACGACGTTTCCGTGTAACATGAAATATATACTGGAACCGATCGATCGTTTACCAAATATTAGATCGTTCATGCTCGATGCGTAAGTCGATGTTTAAACGTTACTTGATGCGTGCCCCGTTCTTGCCACCGATTAAATTTAATCGTAAGACGCGTTGATCGACGCTACGAATTTAGCTAGTCGTCGTTGAGTGTACAGAGCAACGTATTCGAAAACATTCTTTTCTTTTTCCATTGTCTCCAAAATCAAAAATCGGATCGACAACATTAACGGATCGCGTTGTCTGTGCCGGTACGCGAGCTCGCGGACGAGCAAAGTGATCGTGCTGTGCTGCTGTTTTCCAATGTATCTCGAATAAGTATTTTGCCCGTTGTATTTCTAGGCTATGCTGAAAAACGTTTCTTTCGTCCCTTTCGAAAAAAGTGTTATTTGCAGCGCGTCGCGGAGATCCTTTGTCTCTATTGTGTACTATCACGTTACGATCGACCATGTTTCAAGTTTTTGAGTCGTGGTTCCATGAGTGTCCTCGTGTTTGTATGTTTTACCATACATTCGTATAGAAATCTATTTCACCGCTTTGCTCTATCGATGGTATTGTATCGTTATAATTATTGTGTCAAAGACTGATTGTATTTACGGAGAATCTCCGAGAAGCTCGATGGTAGGTCGCCCTTCGATCGACGCATATATCTATTAACGCGCGTCCGAGACACAGACGCGACTAAAAAAAAAACGCTTATTATTATCGTGCGATCGATATAGTAAGGTCAAGAACTCAAATTCTTCGCGAGATAATGTAATTATTACGATTATTGTAATTCTTGTGATACTTTACACTTTCTACTTTGAATACCTACAAGCTATTTGTCTACTGTTTATACTAAGGAAAAAAAAAAATAATACTGATTCTTAACGACTGTGCGTTCGCTCGTCGACGCGACTATCTTCCGTACAGCGGGGTCGATGTTGGACGAGCGAAATGAAATCGGCAAATCGAACCAAATTCGTACCAGGGTTGCGACCCCCGCACGACCAATCGTCTACATCGAAAGATCGTCCTCGAGTCAACGAACGCGCGCGCGCATCCCTCGTATCCCGAATGCCAAAACAATCCTGACAACGAAAACTTTGAATCGTTGATTATTCGCGACGAAATGTAACAAAATTACAGCGAGACGCTGTAACGTTCGCTCGCGGTGCTCTTACGATCGCCATTCCCGAATTTATTGTCACGATCGGTAAAGAATTTTGGGGGAAAAAGTATCGATCGACGAGCGAACGCAAACGGACCGTCGTCGCGTCGGTTCGTCGATCAAGCGACGATGAATCGATTAGTCGGCGTCGATAATTTAAGAGTTCGTCCACTCTTTGCCTTCCAGAATCTTTCACTAGTTCTCTTTGTCTTCTATCGTCGACGTGCGTTTCGCTGCGATTCGCTTGTATCGTGTTACGTACGATTATTCGAAAAACATCTAGTCACCGAAAGAAAATCGAGTACGATCCACGACGACGGAACACGCCCGCGTCGTTTTTACACGGACGCCCGGCGTCGTGTCGTGCGTGAAAAAATCCCGGGACCTTTCTAGCGTGCAGTATATTCGATTATTAAAATAGAAGAAACGAGAGAGCCAGAGACCTAATCTCTCTGTCGTTCAAGGTATTACTAAATATATCAGAGGAAATTGATAACTATTGCATATATACATATGTATGTATATGTATAATATAAATGTTGCGGGACAAACACGGACACGTACACGTACACTCATATTAATCAACATTTCATATTTATTATATTGATATATTTAATTATATTGTGTCGATTTCGATACACCGATGAGAGAGTTTAGTCGGAAATGTTGAATTATACACTGTTTTATACATATACATGCGTACATATACATACATATATGTATATGTTTGTCAACGTTCGGTGACATATTCTCTTATCATTGTCATTCTGCAAGATACGTTATAATACGACTTTCAGGATTACAAGTCTTTTATCACGATACGTGCTCATGTTCACTGAAAATTTAAAAAAAAAAAAAAACAAAAAAAAAATACGTTGGAAGAACCTCTTTATAAACTTCGTCTTTCGAATCTACGATAATTTAATTATATAATAAATGGACACACTCCGTTTGTCTCAGCTTGAAATTTTATGAATGTACTTTTTAAATCTTTATATAAAGAAATCATTACGTGCTCCGAAATCCTCTGTGCCTCCCCCCTCCCCCCTTTCTTCGACGAACAGCACCAATGTCAACAAAAATAGAAGAAAATACTCTGAAAACGGTAATCGAAGCAAATTCTCCGAGCGTGCATATTTCGTTCTCCTCCCACGATGCGTTTTTAATCGACGGGACGAGTGTATTGCTTTCCAAGAACGTTGTCTATCAATTATTAAGCTAAGTTTATCCGATACTTCTGCACGATCGACTTTCTATTAGACCTTGCGACGTGTACGAGAATGCTTGGTGTTTGTTCAAGTTACCCCCCACTCACACACACACACACACACACAAGTGATTTAACGTTTTTGCTCATTATGGCGCACAATATTCCGGTGTGTGCCGTTTGATCCAGGTCAAACGCTGTTAAGATTATCGTACCTTAGGCATCGGAGAATTAAGAGAGAAGCGATAACGCGCATGAATTTTCAAATGTATATTGTATTCAATTTGCAAAAATATATATAATGTACAATTACAGAAGTTACATGGTGAATTACGATATTCGACACCCTTTCGAACCTCACGAGGAACGCTTTCGTTTACAACGTAATCTCCACGCTTTAAAGATTCTTGGTTACTGGTAAATTCATATAATTTGCGTAACATTACGCGATACTGCGTAAAAATTACTGTTGTTCGACGGTTTAACCAGTCAAGCGTCGAGATAACGATGATCGCGCAAAGAGCGTAATTAACATTTGCTTTAAGAAGATCGCTATTCGTCGCATAGCAACGCGTCTTCGTCGTTACGTGCTATTAAACCGTACAATATAAATATCTATCGTTAAGACGAGTTAATGCTCCAAGTTATTTATGCTAAGTAACAATTAAAAGGATCAATCGTTTTTAATACTAGTCGTTCAGTATGCACCCTTCGTTCGATAGATTCTTACAAAGAAACAGCCTTGATATCTTTCCTCTTTTTTTTTTTGGGTGTTTTGATAGATACGATATTTCGACGATAGTACTAGGATAATAAATATCTATATAATAACGAATAATTAAGAATTAAGTAATGCTAACACTGAGTTACGTCGACGTGAACAGCGTAGCCGAAAGTGACAAAGTAGATTGGTAATAAATTGTATTATTTTCTCTGTTGTTTTCGGCTACGTTACGATACCAGTCACAGTTCTTCGATCATTGTCTTTGTTAAAATGTTACTAAACTAGACTTCTCGGATCTCACGTTCGATAGTACGGCCGGTATGTAGACATCGGAATATTATTTTTCGACAAATGGTGCACGTCGCCCTGATCGTACTCCACATCGTTGTAGATTCCGCTTTGATTCTATAATGAAACAGAAATCACGTGTTTTGAAACCACTCAGAAACCAGAACGGAGTCTAAAAATTAAATTTTTATTTATTTTTCGTTGTATATCAGCAAATGTATCAAGCATTAAGGCTGTTTTAAGTTTCTAGTTTTGTTTGTACCTTCATGAATAAGTAAAAACATACATATATATTTAATTCATCCTATAAAAAATATAATTCATAATTTTGTAAAGCACCAATCAAATATTCAAAGAATTAAGTTCATAAGTTTTTGGTAATGTAATGAGACTGAGCTCCCAACGAACCCCCCAGGATCGTTTGAGAGGTGAAAAGTTGTGAAATATTGGGAAGGTGGCTCGTTTTGCTATGTACTATCGAATAAGGTAGGTACTCACCGCCAAGGATGACCTAGACTTCGGCCTGGGAACATGGAAGCCGCTGTTCTGCGGGATCAAGTCAGCCCTATCCTTATCCTGTAGCTCGGAGTCCGAGCTGTCCGGGTCTGGTTGGTGTCTTTGTCTTGATCTCGGTGGAGCTTGAAGTCTTGGCAACGGAACTGGTGGTAATGTTCCGTGAACGTTCAGAGGTGGATAGCCAAACACGGCTGAACTGGGTCGAGTCGGACCCATGGGCTCCGTCTATAGTCAAACCACAACTTAACACACAATGTCTCGACAGAAATTATTGAATAGAAGTCTAGAAAGCAATCAGACCTCTGAAAACAATAGAACGTAGAACAGTGTTGAGTGAGTTTTGCTCAACCTCTGTAAAAAATAGCTCAACTCTATTTCTGTTTTAATTGTTACAAATGATAAGTAATCATCATCAAAATGAGTAAATAGAAGGTTCTCGAAAAAAGAAACAAATTACAGTCAATTGACGTACATTCGAGCTGCATAGGTCGAGCGACGCTCAGCTTCGAGTCGGCTTCGCTTTACCTTTTTTATTTATAGAATATTTATAAACGAATAAAGCTTCGATTCATAAAGGCTTTCGAGTTACAGAGGTCCGACTTTGTACATCCCTTTCCCCTCGAATTGTGAACCCAGCGAAAATGCTTTCTAACGCGGTAAAGGGCTTTCCCCGTTTTACGCTTTATCGATAAACTCATAAAACAACAATGGAAGGATGCACCGAGCTGTGGATGCAACCTTCCGGCGTGCAAGTTTGTTCGGCGCAAGGTTAACTGTGTTAAAGTTGATACCAACCGCGTATACGTTGGCAGTCGCCATGTGATCAGCAAAGTGTGCCCACATATAGGGTGGCAAGTTGGTCGGTGGTCCTTGCTTTACGGAAGCCAGAGTGCCCACGGAACCGACCCTCGCTAAAGTTCCTGGGAGTGTACCAGGGATACCACCCTGAATGTATCCGTAAACTGGCGAACCAACCGATTTCTGTTCCCGCGACCATCTTCGACTGCAGCACGTGTTAAATGCGATTACCAAGGCGTCAACGAAAACATGTTTTAACGAGATTCTACTTACCTCCACATGACCAGACATACGAGCGTTAAAACTATAATTATTAAAGCAGCTACCGACGCTCCTATTGCTACGCCCAGGACCTCTCCATCGACCTCGCATTGAGCACCATAGTAATTACCAGTACACCTGCGAAACCGAAAACCTTTGTAGGAGTACAAAAATATTTGGATAACTGCAATTACACTTCACACACTGTGAAGTTCAACCTTGAACGACCTGCGTAGTGTAACCTGATTTGAACTCATATATGGGTGATACAATGGGTACAGAATGCAAAAGTGAAACTTTTTTATTTTTATTTTTTTTTTAATGAAACTTTTACCATCGTGTTTGTGACAGTTTCCCGATTAAAATAAGACCAAATACGATATAATTTATTTTCTACCTACTCCTAATAGAGTATAAAATCGCGTTAAATACGATTACATACGCAAATATGATTCGAGTTATATCCTGATTCTTTAATTAAAATAAATATCCTTAGTTCGCTGTTTTATATCAATCAAGCTTTTACAACTGCTTCGCTTCCGTATTTCTCGCAGTTATCCAAGATTTACTGTACAGAACTTCCTTTTTGCTTTTATCAACGAACAATTTCATTCACTCACGTGCACTGCATGTGGTCTCCCTGGTAGGAGCACGATCCTCGATTGTTGCAGTAAGTCGAGGGACAGGATATACAGGTCCTGCCGGATTCATTAGGGTCATCCTTGTGAGTATCTTTCAATCCCGGATTGCAAGAGCAAGTGAACCCGCCCCAATTGTTTACGCAAGTTGCCAACGAATGACAGTCGTTCAATTCCGACGACATGCACTCGTCCAGATCTAAAATGTAAAATATAGAGTCGTACTTTGTGACGCGAAACGTACGGTTCAGATAAGTTCTTTAATCATTGTTACGAGTCCGACCTTGTAGGTTTGATATAGATCCCGGTGGACTGTCGACGTACAGGGCACTGTTTCCTATATTATTGCTTCTTCTGTGAATAACACCGAGCAAATGTCTCTGCAATTCTCCCGCCAGGCTCGGTCTGATCGTTCTCGGTTCGTAAGTGAGTTTCAACGTTGCGTTGACGAAGACACCTCCTTGCCCTTGGCTCACGTCACCCTGATACACGCCGTTTATCGAGGAGCCCATGTACTCGTCCGAGAACGGCGTCATCGACATGGCGGATTCGATCTAAACAACGCGAACAATTCAAAAGATTCGTTTCGCTCATCGAGACGTAAGATTCAAGGCTGGTCGAACTTACAGCTCGATTGGCTTCGTAGGCCAAAGTCTGGTAGGATTCGGAGTCCTTGTCCGTGAACCCTTGATCCCACACGACTTTCCTGTCGTAGATCTTGTCCACTCTCATGGACACCACGATACTGATGATTTCTGAGAAAATAGGATCGGTATTGATCGAAGGGTAACTAATTTTGGATTTTCATCCGGTAAGTTTGAACATCTACGAACTTTTGCACGGCAAGGAGTGCTGCAATCTGGCGTATCCTGGCTTACAGTGACAAGCAGACACTCCTTGGACGGTGGCGCACGCCTCGTGCTGACTGATGTCGCAAGTGCTCGTGTCGCCCACGATGCAAGTGTCGATTCTCACCGGGGGTTGAGTCGGTCTCCTGTGGAACGTTGGCCTTCGAATCGGTCCTATGGGTCTTGGACTCAGAGCTGGAGGATCGGGTTGTGGGACCGCGAATCTGTAACAAACGATATTGAAAATCTCGATATTTTCGAGACCTCTCACACCCCTACTATGTAGTAAAAGCTGGATATATGCTAAAAAATTGGGACCCCAATCGATTGTCGAGCGTAGAAAGGAGCAACTAGTCAAGGGGAATGTCTCCTCAGTGGTAGGGATGAACACCGAGCATTTATCGCGTAGGTCGATTCGTGCATACATCGAACGTTCATTATAGTCAAGTAAAAATTTTTCGGGAAACAAACCCAGTGCCGACAACAGCAGGCGGTTGCGTCCTCGTCGGTTGAGGCTGCGACTGCACGTGCGTCGACGTTTGATCCGTATTTTCGAACAGGTTCAGGTACGTCCTTTTCCCGTCGATGCTGACGAATCCTTGACCCTCGACAGCGGATGTTAGAATCACGTCCGCGCTGCCCGCGTTTACCGGCACCCTGACTCCGTCCCCTGTGGTCAAAGGAAAAAAGGGACGTACAGAATTGTTCGCGCGAGCGTTTGTGCAATTAGCGCGCGTTAATGTTTACCGGAGCCTCCACCGCCAGGGCCTTGGATAGCCGAGACCGTGACATCAAAAATATCACCGAGAGGTGGATGCCTCGGTGGCGCGTACGGTCGTTGAGTCGCCAGTCCCTGAGATCCTGTGTAATCCAAGGTATCGTCGAGGACGATTCCAGGTCGGGGTCGGTAAGCATAGCGATCCGTGGGGGCTACAAAGGAAATTAATTTACCGTGACGGCTATCGGGGTGTACAAAGGAAACTAATTAAGCGTGCTTGTTGTTCTCGTAGGCTACGCGTAGAAATTCATTATAGATCGAATGCGATATTCTTAACGTATATCGAGCCGTTCGAGCATTCGTGAGAACGTCTTACCTGAACTCTTGGTAAAAGTGTTGGTGGCTGGTGCGTGAATCGTGCTTTTCTCCGTGGTCGATGTGGTTTTCGTGAACGTGGATGGGAAATTGTCCGTTGGCGTCGGGACGCTCGACGTGCTCGTCGCGGTATCGAAATCGGACGATTTGCTCGGCTCCAATGCCACCATGGTCGTCGTGTCCGGGAGATTGTTACTCGAATTATCAGCGGTGGCAAGCTTCGTGGCCGAGACGATCGTTTTCGTCGTCGTGGGTTGAATCACGTGGACCGACGAGCTGGTCTCGATGTTCAGCGTGGACGTAGCGAAGGATTTCGTCGTCGTCTTGGTAATCGTCGACTTCTCCATAGTCTTCTCGTTGCTCGGTTTTAAAGTGGCGTTGTGAGCGTCGGTGTTCTTGGTCGATTTCGTCGGTTTTACTTCCAACGGTATCACAGGCTTCGGAGAGTCATCGTGCTTCGCGTCGCTCACTTGATTGGAATGACTAGGCTCCACTCCAACTGTCGTCGTCTTCTCGTTACTTATTTTATTCTCCTTATGCGGCGATTGATGCTTGTGCTCTTTTTTCGTCGAGCTCTCGGCGTCTGGTTTTTTCGTCGCGTCCTCACCGATCGGTTTTTCCGCGATCCTCGAGTCGTTTTTATCTTTCTGGTGGTTATCCTCCGCGTGGACTTTGGCTGGATATTCCAGACCATTCGTGGTGGTCTCGTTCCGATAGTTCTCGTCCTTTTTAGGGGAGGATTCGTTCGTCGGCTTGCCGTCGGGTTTCGAGTCGAAGTGATATTTATCCGTGTGCTTGTCGTCCTGTTCCTTCTCCCGATGAAAGGAGGAATCCAACGACGGCGGCAGCGGTTTGTACGGCGGGATCGGTCGTCTGTTGCCCCCTGAATGACCAAAATCGACGCGAGCGATTAAAACGATAAGCAAGGAAAAGAAACGGACGTGTATATGGGCTGGCAACATTACCGGGACGATTCCATGTCCACGGGCGATTCCCTTGCGGAACAATTTGCTCTGGCAACGGGACTCCGTTCACGAAGGGTCTGACCGGTCTTTCCGGTGGTAGCTGATTGACCAATGGTCTATCTGGTGCCGGCGGTTTCTCGAATGGGTAAGGATGATCCGGCGGAGGAGGAGGATTCATTCCAGGCGTGTCGAAGTCCGGTGGTAACGGCGGTACGTCGGAAATTCGCGGTGGCCCTCTGTTATTGATCCTTCAAAAAGATAATTACGCGCTGGTATTCAGAGTGCGTCAGAAAAAAATTACATAATGTGATGTAATACTTTCGGTAAAGAATTCTTTTCGCGAAAGCACGTAGGATTTTGGGGGTATGTGTATTCACCAAAAATAATTTTTTTTGGAACGATTTGAAATTTTTTAATTTTGTCCTTGTACCTGGTAGCTTGGATCGGTCTCAGTGGCCTAACAGTGTTCGCTGCGACGTTTACGTTTCCATTTAGCAGCTTGACGATCCCCGTGATGATGTCCTGTATGTCGGGGTTCGCCTGTCGTTGCCCTGGAGAAGCGGTCTGCAGAATAGGCGGCGGTGCGTGTTCGCTATAGATCCTCGCGGTCTCCTGGCGTGCTCGTCTTTGTTGATCTACCGCCTGCAGATATTGTGCTTGTTGGGGCGACACTCCAGCTAGCTGATGGGGCTCCGTCAAGAGTTTCGGTCTCTGCGGAGCCCCTTGTCCTTCCCCCGACAAGAATTCGCTCGCTGTGGGTGATATACTGTAGTGGACAAAATATTATTTTTAGTATCGATCGTCTGCGCTACGTAAAAGGTACTGTACACTCGCGAGAAGTTGGCTAGCAAGACGGCAAAGTCTTATCAAAATTGAAACGGGGGCAAGTTCGTGTCAAAAGATTTTGTCAAAATGGACCTCCGTTTTTGAGAACTTTGAGTTTCAAGTTTTGCACGCTACCATTAGTTTAGACAGCAAAGTCTTATCAAAATTGAAAGGGGGGCAAGTTCGTGTCAAAAGATCTTGTCAGAATGGGTCTTTGAGAACTTTGAGTTTCAAGTTTTGCACGCTACCATTAGTTTAGATAACAAAGTCTTATCAAAATTGAAAGGGGGGCAAGTTCGTGTCAAAAGATCTTGTCAGAATGGGTCTTTGAGAACTTTGAGTTTCAAGTTTTGCACGCTACCATTAGTTTAGATAACAAAGTCTTATCAAAATTGAAAGGGGGGCAAGTTCGTGTCAAAAGATCTTGTCAGAATGGGTCTTTGAGAACTTTGAGTTTCAAGTTTTGCACGCTACCATTAGTTTAGTTTCGTAAACCATGACAACAGTGAACAGTTGTAGCTGCAGCGGTAAAGTGTTCAGTTATGGTGCTAGAGGTATGCGATTCGAATCCCAATAAGGTAAAAGACCCAATACTTGGACAGGTCCCCCTACTCGAACATCAGTGTACATAATGTTGATTATTATCTTTGATATTTCCTCAATTATATTTCTAAAAATGTATTTATATGCTCGTTCCCATTCCTTAAAATAAATTTCCGTGGTAAACAAAAATTTTGTAACATATATTTACGTATCGTTTCTTGTTAGCTTTACTTTTTTATGTCGTGTCTCGAGAAGCTTGTATCCCGTTTTAGCATGGCAAATAAACGTACGACTTACTGATAGTATTTGTCAGGTTTGACTTCTATATTGTTGCCATCGATATGGTCGATGTATTTCGAGGACGTCAACTCGTCCATAGCTTCCACGTGTCTGGTATCCTCGTCTTCGAATCTCACTTCGTTTTTGTCGAAGTTGTCAACGCTCCTTGAGCTTTCCAGTTGGAACGCCGGAACGGTCCTCTGGAAAGTCGGCGATCCATCACGGTGTAAGACGTTTGACGTCTTTTCCCAATTCGGGTACCTCTGGGTGTCACTGCTAGCAACCGTGACTTCTTGGGAGGAACGGGAGGACGTTCGGTTGTTTTGGATAGTCAGCACACCTGTACATAGTTAGACAGCAATTTATAAACCTGTTTTACCAATGTCTTCTATTTTTCTTTTTCTAATAACCTTCGAGTGCTCCTGTTTTGCATAAATTCGCCATTGCATTCGAGCACGGAAGGCATCGCGATAAGCAACGGACCCAAGAAAAAGGTTTGCGCGGCTCATTACGCACAAAACCACGTAATTGCCCTATATAGAGATAGGTAATTGTATCGCGATTAAATCTTGTAATAGAACCTTTGTTGTTCGCGTGAGAAGGACGTCGGTTACTCGACTCGAACAATCTTGGATTTTTATTTACAAGTAACGAATAAACAATTCTTTTCTCGCAGATGCGACGAGTTTGCTAGCAAATAAAAATATATAATTAGAGAACTGAATAAAATTATTCTTTAACCCTTTGCACTCCAAATTATATTCCAATTTTGTTACCAGCGGCTCCCAATATGCTTTTAAGTGTTTTATTTACACTGTTGTATTTTGTAATTTTCAAGTGTATAATATCTGTTTGGTTTGGACTTGAAAAAATGTCGAATGAGACTTGACGAAGGAGCTCCTGAATAATAATTGATGTATAGTCGCACTCGACATAGGAGTGCAAAGGGTTAATGGATCTAACGAATATCAGAGATAATCAACATTATACACGCTGGTGTTCAACGATCGGATATTTTACCTTAACGTAGGAGCATGGCAATTTTGTGGTCTTTCCATCGATCGAGCATTTAAGTCGGAGCGTCGCGTAAACCGCAAGAAGCGTCGCGCTGTCGATGGCCGTGGCAGAATCGCAAAAAATCGTGAAGATCACGGCTGATCGGCAAGGAAAACGGTACTCGAGCGGTTGACATTCTCGAGGCCGGTATCGAGTGGTTTGACCAACCGTGGACGTGACGCGTATGAAATTACTACTCTTTCTCTCTCTTTTGTACTCTCCCGTTCTCGTTACTCGCGTCACACCTTCTACCTTTTGGCGAGGGGGGCAAAAAAACGTTCGTCGAGATCGCGCGCATTGAATTCTTTTTAATTGCACACCGTGGACGATCCCTTTCGAGAATTTTCAACCACTCTCCACTTTCAGTCGCTCGAGAAATGAATTTTTTCATTTTTTCAATGATTAAAATAAGTTTTCGGGTCCATTGTTTTTCGTAATCGCCGTCAGAGGGAGCGTTCTTCTCGCAAGCGTTCACCCAAATTCCTTAGTAGCCTCACTAGAGAACTACAGACCTGAAGATATTCCTTTCAAAATGCAAATCTCCCAAACCTAGTTGATTCTAACACACACATCGCATGATGTATGATAAGGGGGTTTTTGAAATCTTTCCCTCTAACAGTAACCATGAAATCTAACTAGAAAAAATACCACACAAATTCTAAATGCAGGTTATAGGGAGAAAGGAACTGCACACACCCAGTGAGAAACAACCCCCCATCCCCAATATTCCTCTTTCACAGAACCCCACAGTAGCATGAAAAAATCGACAAATGCATCGTAAGCAATGGTGGTTACTTCTAGACCGAATAAATAGTGAATATTTATTAAACAGGGTAGCTTCGTTGGGCGGCTGGTGCGCGTATAACTATTTTACGGTCGCGTTCAGGTACAGTTCTAGCGTTGAAATTCCCTGGCAGACGAGCCAGAAGGGAACAATGGGGGGCTTTCCATGCAGCGATTCAACGACGCGCGAAGCAATTTAAGTGAAACTACAATTGCCGGCCGGTTGCAGAGATCATCGCGACTCGATAATAACGATCGAGTGCCCTGAATATCGCGTGGAAACTTGGATTACTAACCGAGATAATTAATCGTTTCGATCGACGCGCCACGCGAGTGGTCGATCCAGCTACGTGTGTACGTAAGCGGTGCGGGTAAATACGCGTCTCGAAACCCGACGAAAGTAGATGTTCGCGAACGATTCGCCGGTGCTTTGTTCCTTAGAAAGTGCATGCATATTATAGTATCATTTTCCTGGGTTTTTTCTTCTATTCGGACCTTTCACCGTCTTCCAACGGTCGATTCGAGGAGCGCCTAGTCTGCAGCGGAGTTCCTGTCGCTAACGAGGCAACGAGGATAATCGCCTAACGGGGCTCGTCCAATTTATTAAACTCGCCGATCGATTTAAGGAATTATTTCATCGGTGAATCAAAAGCTAATTGTTTTCGTTCGCTCGTTACGGCTTCTTTTTCGCGAAGGAACAGGCAGCTTTTGTATAATTGATGTGCCCATGGCTCGTTGCATTTGTTATCGTTCTACGTTGATAATTAATTACCCATCGCCGAAGCGGTAGGCTGGTCGTGTAACGAGCATACATGCTATCTACTATTCTTCTTTCGCGTTAGGAATTTTATTTTATTTCTATTTCATGTCGTCTTTGTAGCGCGGCAAACGAGCTAATAGAATAGAGAGGCAAAGTTGCAGAACTCGAAACAATTTTTTTAACTTATTCTTCTTTTTTATTTTCATTCTTCCTGTGTACAAAGGTAATGTTTAAAGATAGAAATTGTTGAAGTCGTCGTACATACTTGTGAATAAACGTGGCGTGTGCCTGAAATACGGTAGATATAATGCACATGCTTGTGTTGCATAATATAATTGGAAACTTGATATTTTAATTGAATTCAGAAACTTGTTTGCGTAGGGCGATGATTATGATGGAACATTGAAATATAATTATTTTCCAGTATAAATTTTGTGTAGAGAACAGTACCTACACGAAATAGAATGTTTGATGAATCTAGTTCAGCACGCGTGCTATTGAACGTGAGAGAATATGAATCACGCATGAAACATTTGCCATTCAATACCTACGCGATAGAAAAAATCCCGCTAATAGATAATTGTGTTGATTTTTATTAACTATACAAAGGCAATAAAATAGGATTCGTGAACGTTTGGTACGCGAACGCGAACAAGTTTGCCGACTCTGCTGGGTCAGTTAGTCGGGAAAATTCTGTAGGAAAATCACGATTTTCATTTCCGTTGATCGCAACGGCGTCGACGATCTATCGCTAATTGCTCATTAGGAACTGTGTTAAGCGACACGATTATCAGACAGCTGCTCGTCAGGGATTGCAATTAAGTTAACCGCTGCTTCGTTCTACTCGTCGAGCATCGTGCTCTCGATGTTCTCTCTCTGATCCCCGCTGAGATGCGCAGAGGAACGCTGACGAAGCAGATGATCCCTTCGAGATCGGTCTGACGCGTACGCCGATATTGAGATTCACGGCGTGCGGTCGTACGACCGCCAGGAAACCGTCTCTAGTTATCAGAAACGTAACGCATCGACGTTTCTAAACGGTTCTTTCAACGATCGTCGACGATAACATTTAAATTGCACGCATCGGGCTGAAACTACAGTTATCCGCCGCTCCGTGCACGCGCTCGCTTAATTCAATTTTCCCTCTGCTATTATGGAAAACCTGGTGCATTGTTGCACATGGTATCTCGAAATTATATGCCACGACCACCACCAGTGTGATTCTACGCTTTTGGAACGGCGGAAATCTACCAAAAATTGTCCTTGGACATTTGAATAATTTGACAGCAACAATACATTCATATTTATGTATATTTAGAAATTCCCTTTTATTAACAACGTATGTACACACGTTATTGCTATGAACGAGAGCTAATGACTCCATTGATCCAACTTAGATTTGTGAGTCCAGGGTCATTTCAAGGTCATCAAAATATATGTATACGACGCCATTTAAACAAATATCGCAACTTTTTAAGTAATCAATTATTAATAAGATATATTAGGGAATTGCAAACTGACTGAAATAAGTCTGACAACACTTCTTTTGTTCGTAAGAATCGCAACCAGTTGTAGAGTTCGTTACCGGGACTTTCCGTTTCCTATTTCGATGCGCGTATAAATAATAATTATAACCGCGGCTGGCATGCCGCGTACGAGTAACGGTGTTCACGTGAACACCATAACCTTCCTAACGTGAGAGCATCTGATAGGGATGCCGTGAGAATGTAGGTGAATTGCATGGTTGATTCTGTTGCAATGAACGGAATGCAGTCTCCTGCTGGTCAGGTTCGAAACACGACCGTTTCGAATGGTTCCGCGGTCCAGGACTCTCGTTCACAGGATTTATGACTTGTCCCTGCCCGAAACCACCCATACAGCACAGTTAATCGACAGGAATATTCTAGAAATATTTTCAAAATTATTGCCAAATTATCTTAGAAATATACAAATTATTTTCGGAAGATAGCCAAGTATACTCTTGGTCACTTGCAACAATATTGTTTAGAGCACAATTTCTATTCGTTGTGAAACATTTTATTCCATAATTTAAATACTTATTTCCATTTAATACAAATGGATGATCGATTATTTTAATTCGTTGCTCGAACACGCGCTCCACGAGGTAACGAGGGTACGTAACATAGTTGTGTCTTATGTGCAAACCGTCCGTAAAAATGATTACCGGTTCTGAATATCTACGATTGCCTGCCATGATACGCGCCTATAGCGATAATATTTACCAGCCTCTATGGATCCCGCTAATGGGATCTCAGCGTGTACGCGATTAACGGCCGCGTTTCCCTGTTCATTGACTTGAATGGCTCTCCGTTTCCAATTACCGAGACACCTTCGACGCTCGTGGCACCTTTGGATCCTCGAATCATTTCGTTGTCAGGCCGCGCCATCGATCGCTCCGAGCGTGCACGGGAAAAACAATCGATAAAGATGGCGTGCATCTGCCATTCGACGCCAGGAAGTCGAGAGTTGCGATCGGACGCATGAATCATAATACAGTCGCACGTAGCAAAATAGGCTGGCTCTTATTTTTTCACGAAATCTTTACAATCGTTAAAAAAATTATTTCTGCAAAAGGGAAGGTAACTCTGTTTTAAAAATGTAAAAGAAGAATTTAATAGAAGCGTTATTTAGTCGCAATATTTATCGACTAGATTCAATAATTTATTCGGACGTTTGTGTTTTCAGCGTATAGGAGTATAAATATAACTAAGCACTGTTTT